TAAAGGAGAACCGGGTGATCGTGGTTCAGATGGACAACCTGGACGAAGAGGTTTAAAAGGAGATCGTGGGCCTAGAGGAATAGACGGTCCAAAGGGAAATACTGCTAATTGCACGGCAGCGGGTGGTAGTCTGACTCAAAAAGGAGAAAAAGGAGAACCTGGTGTGAATGGACTTCGAGGGAGGGACGGTCAGCCTGGTGTAAAAGGCTCTACAGGAAAAGACGGCAGAGTCGGTCCTAGAGGATCCCCAGGTTTACCTGGATTGTCTGGCCAGAAGGGTGATAAGGGAAACATGGGATCCCCCGGATCTAGAGGGCTAGATGGCAATCCGGGTGAAAATGGGATACCAGGACAAAAGGGTGATTCAGGTCCTCAAGGTTTTAAAGGTATAATAACCATTATTTGAATTTCTTTATATATATAGTTCTTTTGTTATTTAAATTTCTTTTAACAGGAGAACCTGGTAGTTTCACAAATGGAATTAAAGGAGATAAAGGAGAGATCGGGTATCCTGGGAAGTTAGGACTCACGGGTCTTCCTGGCAGAAAAGGTATTACCACAAATTTTTTTAGTTCAATTTAACACATTACATACTAAATTTTTTGTACTTCAGGAGATAAAGGTGTTCCTGGTGAAAGAGGAAAAGATGGCGTGAATGGTGCAGATGGAAGTTCTGGTCCTCCTGGATTACCGGGACAGAAGGGGTCCCCTGGATATGGACAGAAAGGAATGAAGGGGGAGAGAGGTGAATTGGGATATGATGGTCGAAAGGGAGAGCCTGGAGATCGAGGTGCAACAGGTAGCGACGGGTTACCAGGTTCAGTTGGTGTACCGGGAATGCCTGGTAGAAAAGGTGACAGAGGACCACAGGGACAACCAGGAGAGACTGTAAGGGGAGAACCAGGAGAAAAAGGTGAAGCTGGTTACCCAGGACAAGACGGAAAATCTGGAGAAAAAGGCTCTATGGGACCTCCTGGTCGAATGGGGAATCCAGGAACTCCTGGAAGCAGAGGTCATCCTGGTGAAAGTGGTAGAGACGGACCAGAAGGCCCAAAAGGCGATAGGGGTCTACCAGGAAAGCAAGGTTTGCGAATTTTATTAAAAACATGATACTTCCACAACTATATTTTTTGTGAGATACCATTTATCTAAAATATATAATACAGTCACGATAATAACTAATTATAACAAGGGATAAAAAGTTTTAAACATGTGAATTCTTTGACGATCAAAATATGTTTATGGTATAGATTATTTCACAAGCTATTAAGTAATTTTAACACAGTTGCTATGACGTTACAATTAAGAGTTATTATCTCCCAGATCACAAACAATAACAAGGAAAATGAAATTGTAGATTACAAAAAAATGAAGATTTAAACCAAACTGGACAGGACAAGAAATTTTACCAAACTGTACTGTTCCTATTCAGATATCATTGTCTGATGTTAAAAAGGTTTTATGCAAATAGAAGTTGAAATGAAAGAGTTGAAAAATAGGCCCTTCTAAAATCCAACTCTAAAAAGGAAGCAAATTAACTAACTTTTACAGTGTTTCAACCAAGACTTGACGTACAGATTTAATATGATGATTAGGCAAATTAAATTATATAACACCAAATAATCACCTTATAAAACTTTTTTTCTTTGTACTAATTACTTATTATCGTGACTGTATTAGATAATATGTTTTTAAATCATAATAACTGCAGTTACTGTGACTGATTTTGGACTTTTGCAGGATTAATTGGTATTCCTGGACAGAAGGGTGACAGAGGACCAAAAGGTGAGAGGAGTGGTTCCAGTCTTAAAGGACCAAAAGGATCAAGAGGAGACAAAGGAAATCCAGGTTCAACAGGTCCTAAAGGAGAGCGGGGTTTTGACGGAATTGAGGGGCAGAAGGGAGAAAAGGGTACTTCGGGAGTATGTTCTAAAGGCGAAAAGGGAAATCCAGGGTTAACCGGCTCCAAAGGTGCCAAAGGTAGTCAAGGTTTCAATGGTATCAGAGGACAAAAGGGAGACAGAGGTCCTGAAGGTTCAGTAGGGAAAAAGGTAATTTTTCAGACGTTATTAACTAAATATGCAGATATATGAAATTTCTTTTTAGGGAGAAGTAGGACCACCGGGATACCGTGGATCAGTAGGACTTTCTGGACTTCCTGGTCAAAAAGGAAATCCTGGTAAACCTGGAAAGGTGGGTGAAAAGGGTTCTAAAGGAGCTCCTGGTTTTGGCCGTCCTGGAGAACCTGGTGCTTCTGGTGTTCCTGGAGAGCCTGGTCTTAAAGGACCAAAGGGAGAGCGAGGAAATGACGGCCTCGATGGAAAATCGGGCTTAAATGGTGTTCAAGGCTTAAGAGGTGATAAAGGTGAACCAGGAAGGTCGAGTGGACCGGGCGCTAAAGGAGATCCCGGAACTGCGGGAACTGATGGTATTCCTGGTGCTAAAGGTGAGAGGGGCGAAGCCGGAATCGCTGGTCAAAAAGGAGCTACAGGTCCGAGAGGCTACGATGGGAAAAAGGGTGATAGGGGTGATCCTGGAGCAAAAGGAAATCCCGGAATTTCAACCTCAGTCCCTGGCAAGCCTGGACCAAAAGGGAATCAAGGTATTCCTGGGTTACCAGGATTAGAAGGAGCTGCAGGTTAACTTTCTAGATTACATTTAGTATTATTATGCATAACTTGAAGTATTTGTAGGACAAAAGGGAGACAAAGGAAACACCGGCCCCAAAGGATCAGATATTGACTGCTCAGGCTTTCTACCTCCAGGTCCTCCAGGTGATCCTGGTGCTAACGGTTTGAATGGTAATCCAGGTCAAAAAGGCGCAAAAGGATCAAGAGGCACAGATGGTGAAAGAGGACCGAAAGGTGAAAGAGGATTAACTGGTGAGACTGGAAATCCAGGTCTTAATGGCCTACCAGGGCGAAAAGGTTATTTCATTTTTCATTTTCTTCTGTATAGGCTGATTAATATTTCTATTTGAAAAGGAAACAAGGGGGAAAAAGGAACAGGCATTACTGGGCCTAAAGGTCCAAGAGGTCCTACTGGTGACAGTGGTAGACCTGGTGAAGATGGAGCTGAGGGTCCCAGAGGTGATAGAGGCGATCCTGGACAACCTGGGAAGCCTGGATACGGGCTTCCAGGCCAAAAAGGTGAAAAAGGGGAAAATGGTTTACCAGGACCAAGAGGTTATGATGGAGAGAGCGGTCAAGATGGATTGCAAGGAGAACCAGGTTTTTTAGTTCAAAAATTTGTGCATGTAGTCTTTTATTTTTATATTTGAAGGTCAAAGAGGACCAAAAGGTATACTAGGAAGAGCTGGAGAGAAAGGTTCGGTTGGAGAGCGGGGCGCACCTGGTCTAGATGGTATACCTGGTCAAAAAGGAGAAAGAGGTTATCCAGGTCCTAAAGGAAATAAAGGCCAGAATGGAAGTGTAAAGCAGAAACTAACTTTTCCTACTGGGTTCACTTATACAATACATAGTCAGATAGAAGAAGTACCCGAATGCGTGGAACCTGGCCATCAAACATTATGGTCCGGTTATTCTCTTGTTCATATTCTTGGAAATTCTAGGGCTCAACATCAAGATTTAGGTTGGGCGGGAAGCTGTGTCAAGCGCTTTTCTGTCATGCCAGTATTGCGCTGTCAGTTTGACGTATGTACTTACGCCGCCTCCAATGACAAATCCTATTGGTTAGCCACAACTAAGGAAAGACCTATGATGCCTCCTGAAGGAGACAATATTAAACCATACATTTCCAGATGTAAAGTTTGTGAAGCTCCTGGCAACGTTATTGCTCTTCATAGCCAATCCTCTAAATTACCCTCCTGTCCAGATACAATGCATTGGAAAGAATTATGGTCAGGCTACAGTTTCGCTCTTCATACTGGAGCTGGAGCACAAGGAGGTGGTCAGAGTCTCTCCAGTCCTGGTTCTTGCTTACAGCATTTTAATAATATGCCATTCATTGAGTGTACGGGAGGAGGTGGTTCGTGTAATTTCCATGCTGGAAAATATAGTTTCTGGTTAGTTGCGTCAGATAAAGTTAAGAACTATCAAACTGGTGAACAAAGCACTTTAACTCTAAAGTCCGGAGGACAAAAAGCCTATATTTCTCGATGCATCGTTTGTATGAAAAAACAATCTAGAGTGAATTAAATCAATTATATATTTAGAAGCGTATTCAGAATTTGAGGTATTTCAAGCATTTCGTCATATTTAATCTATAATACTTTAAAGTAATAGATTGTAAAGTGAAAAATGCTCTAACATATTTACAACATTTTACTTTATCATATTTTCCGAAAAAGATGAAAATTTTGTATTATGTAATGGTCGAATTACCTCAAAAATGTATAGACAATCAGTCTACCGGTATATAGTTTAAATATCAGTGAAATACAGATGTTTAGAGTACTTTATTATATTTGTCTGTAGTCTTCTCTTTGTGCTTATTTGAAAATGATTGTACTCTAGTTGACCTAAAACATAACATGTTTGTCATGCAGTGTGCTATAGTTTATACGTAATTACATATTTGATTATTCTCTCTTGATTTTAGTACAAATAAAAGTACGACCGTATACGTAAATTTCTTTTAAATATTTTATCGAGTATTTTACAAAATAGCTTCAATTATCAACCACATATCCCCCGAAAAATTTATAGAAAAAGGCACCAATTTTTAGAATGTTTGCATTTCACAATGAATAATTATTGAACCAGACTCATTCAATATGCTGCGTAGGCCAATCAGCTATGTTAGGTTTTATTCTATACTAATTTCAATACAGCTGAAATAGATAAGATTCAAGTTTCTTCAAATAATTTTGCATATTTTTGAACAGGTATGAATCTGATTTCTAGTACAGCTTCAAATGTTTAGGTAATCAGTAAAAGACGACATGAAGACTTTTCATTGCTCTCTGTTTTTTTTTAACATAAAAAGTTTATCTTCTCTGACATTAAGATAATTGCTATAACGATCCCAGATTGCTGGTCATACATATTTTTCTCAAGTTACAGACATGGTTGATTTCGAAGGATTGTTTAGACACTATATCACAGGTTGGAGGCCTCGCTTCACCCATGACTATGATTATAGATCAACTATTCGGGATATTGGAGAGGGCTCTTCGAAAACTAAAAGATATGGATATAGAAGAAGGGAGGAAGTATAGACTTTTTCATTTAGTTGACGTTATAGTAACTTTGATAATTTAAATCTAAAAGGAAGAACCACAAACCTATGAGGATATTAAAGAGACATATTCGGCAAATGGGGAATTGTGGGAAGATCCTGATTTTCCTGCCGAAGACAAATCCATATTTTTCAAAAAACCGCCTTCTTGTTGGCCAAATATTGAATGGTTGCGACCTCATGTAAGCTTCTATTTATTATAATATAATCAGAATCAAATTTGTATATTTTTCAAAAGGAAATTTGTGATAATCCAAAGTTTTTACATGAAGGAGCTTCCAGAATGGATATAAATCAAGGAGCTTTAGGTAATTCTTTATGAGATTAATTCTTGGAAATATTTATTTTCAAAGGGACCTCCCAAAATTTAGGAGACTGCTGGTTTTTGGCAGCCGTTGCATGTCTAACTCAAAATGAAGCCCTCTTTCATAGAGTCGTACCTGATGATCAAGATTTTTTAAACAGCTATGCAGGAATATTTCGATTCCAATTCTGGCAGTATGGGAGATGGGTTGAGGTAATCATCGATGATCGCTTGCCGACTTCGAATGGCAGGCTCATATATTTACATTCCAATGAGGGTAACGAATTTTGGCCTGCAATGCTAGAAAAAGCCTATGCCAAGTAAACTTCGTTACATTTGAAGTTAGTTTCTTAAAGTCCTTTTTTTAAGATTGAATGGTTCGTATGAGTCCCTAAGCGGTGGATTAACGGGGGAGGCTCTTGTCGATTTTACTGGAGGTATTATCGAAAAGTGGAATTTCCCAGAGGATGGAACTGAAGGCCTATACGAAAGAATGAAGACCTCTTTGAAAAAAGGAGGTTTTATGGCTTGTTCGATTGACGTACGCATAATAAAATGAATTTTAAATTTGTGACTAATAGTGTATATATACTTATATATACAAAATGATATTTAAATCAATAGTCCTCCCCTGATACAATGGAATCTCGCCTTGAAAATGGTTTAGTTATAGGACATGCGTATAGTATTACAGACGTCAGGAATGTCACTGTGGAAACGCCAACAGTTTCTGGGCAGATAGCGATGATCCGTATTAGAAACCCTTGGGGCAACGAAGCGGAGTGGAAAGGAGCTTGGAGTGACGGGTTCAAAATTTATTCTTCTTTAATTATTTGATAAATTGCAATTTAATTATCAACATTTAGATCACCAGAGTGGGAGTACATTCCAGAAGAAGAACGGCAAAATATCGGTCTTACTTTTGAAGCTGATGGCGAATTTTGGATGTCTTTCGATGACTTCTCAAATAATTTTCAACGAATGGAAATCTGTCATCTTGGACCTGATTCTATTCCAGAAGGTGAAGGCGTTAAATGGGAAATGTCACTTATGGAAGGAAGCTGGAAGCGAAATATAAATGCCGGAGGCTGTGCTAATTATAAATGTAAAATCAATGGCGTCATTATTCTTTTTTTTTACAATATAAATTTGTTTACAGCCCATGCTCTTAATCCGGCCTACAAAATTACCCTGGATGAGGCTGATGGTGAAGATGAAGAAGGAAGAATCTGTCTTCTGCTTGGCGTAATGCAAAAAGAGAGGAGAAAAAAAAGGATGGAAGGTGAGGCAGATTTGCCAATAGGATACGCTATCTACAAGGTCAGTCGAAATACTCTTCTCCACAATTTTTTGTTAAATTTAAATAAAAACATTCCAGATGAATGACCCTGATGAGAAATTAAGCTATAAGAGCTTGCGTTATTTGGAGAGAGTTGCAGGAAGTAAGAGTTTCATCAACTCGAGGGAAGTTGCTGACTATCACTTCTTGTATCCCGGATCTTATGCCGTGGTGCCATCGACTTTTGAGCCTCAGCAAGAAGCTGACTTCTTGTTGAGACTTTTTGCTGAGAAACCAGGAACAATCGAGTAAAGAAATTTTTCTTCTATTTACCATTCTTTCAACTATTTATCTTTTCTTTCGCACTTTTCGTCTGATATTTGTATCATCTATCTTAGTGATAAGTAAGTTATGTGCTTACGAAAATTCTCCATTCGTCTTAGTGTTGATTATTAAGCGGAAAAGCTAATAACCTGATTTTGTAAAACAATTTGGTTAAGGTTTAGCATTAAAAGAAAATATTTGAAGCATTATAAGAATTTTGATTGTGAATAATTGCCTATCAAAAATCCTAATTAAAATTTATTGTATATCTAACACTCATCGACATCTTTTCCATAGGGAACCAGACGAAATTACCGGAAAAGGAGAACCAGATGTGAGAAACCATTTCTTCTTATCAGATTTCTTGTAGAGGTAACCTATTTATTTCGAAGCCGGATGAGGTGAAAGATGAAACTGCTGAAGAAAAAACAATTGTCGCTATCGAAGCTTTCAGAGCAGCTGCTGGATATGACAATGAAATTGATGCTTATGAACTTATGAATTTACTTAATACCGTGGCTAAGCAAGGTTTTTAATTGTTTCACTATTTGACATTCGTAATAAGCACAATTAATTTTTCAGAATTCGATTTTGAGGGCTTTAATGTTGACATTTGTCGAAGTATGGTTGCGATGCGGGATGTATCCTTTTTAATAAGCTATTTTCTATTGGTTGAAACTTAATACTTCGAAAGTTTACCTTGACTTTTTTTATAGATTAATTTGACAGGAACACTGGGCTTTGATGAATTTAAAGGACTTTGGGATGATCTTTTGAAGTGGATTGTACGTAAAAAGTATAATATAATCCTGTCAAATAACTTTTTCTTGATGTAGCACATCTTTCAAATCTACGATATTGATAAATCTGGCAGTTTTGATTGTTTCGAGTTACGAAAAGCTTTGGATGGAGCTGGTTAGTAACATCAATAGCAATATATTTCCTGACACTCTTCCCACTTGAATATTTTCCTATTAGGGCTACATCTCTCGAATTCTACATTTGAGGCTGTGGCAATAAGATACAGCGATAAACATGGGGTTGTGCGTTTTAATGATTTTATAAGTTGCATTATAAAATTAAATACAATGTTCCGTAAGTACTTAATGAACCGGGTATGAATTATATTAATAACGATCAAATTAATACAGTAATTTACCAAGAAAAGGACAGAAATAATGAAAATTTGGCATCATTTACTTTGGATGAGGTACATATTTAATTAAAGAGTTAAGAAAATTCTAATTGAAATTTTTTTTAGTTTATTCAATTTACGGTTTATGCCTGAAAAATAAAAGAAAATATTCCTTTATGCAAATCAAATCAAGGGAAATATAATTATAATACATAATAAAAACAACATTTTCTTGTCTTGTCAATTCCGAGAATACACAAGTTGGCAATAAAAAAAATAGTAAGAATTAGGCTCTAATTGTTTAATACACAAAGAGTACAATAGAAATTTGTAGCAAAACAACTGTTTTCGATCAAAAAAGTTATAGTTTGAGTAAATGTTAATAAAATTCAAGAAATTATTAATATATAACCATGACAATACCATAAAACCATGAATGGTTTTGGCCAGAATAGGTCTATTTATTTTTATGATATTTATTTTTATTTACACACTCGCTAAAGCAATGTCGAAAAGAAATACACATATTAAGAAAAAAAAACAAGCCTTCAGAGCCCTACTCTCAGGTTACTTTTATTTCTATATGAAAATTAGTGATTTACACACTGTTTGACATACATAATATTTATAAATATTGGATTCTTTTTCCAGGATTTATCGAATTTACGAGAGGATTTCGCACGGGTTCACGAGCTTGTATGCAGTAAACGACGGAAAATATCACGTCATCTTGTAATATTGAAAAAGATGAGAGTCATAATGCATTTACTAATTTTTCATCAAATTATATTGTTAATTCTGAATAGCTTGAATAGTTTTAACCCATCTTAATAAAAAATATGAATATTGCATTACAAAATTTTCTGTACTTCATAATTTACCAATTAATATTTTGTAATAAATTAGTTCGTAACTCCAATCGTTATTCTCGTAATGGAATTCTCATATCATTACCCAACATGATAAGAGATAACTAAATAGTATTTTCAACTGAATATATTATTAAGAGTTAGCTCTTTCAAATATAAATTTATTTTTTGAATTTTGTCCAGGTTATGTTCAATTTATCACACGAAAGGCTTTATTGAAAAGGCCAGCTTCAAAAATCTTTTTGTGTCGTTACTAAAGTTTTTGTATTCCTCTATAGTGAATTTAAAGAAGTATATGTACTAGTTTTAAGCTTTCTCTTTTCAAATAAATTCCAATAATAAGTCTGTTACAGAAACGAAAAAAAAATATAATTGAATATCTGCGATTTAAGTCTTATAGTAAAATTAATATAAATGAGATAAAGAACATATTTGCATATTTAGTCAAAAGTATACTTGGTCTAAAAGCATGACTTCAATCAAGTAGTCATAAATATAATCTTTGAAAAGCACTCTTTAAAACTACACGTACAACTAGAATCAACTTCAGATGTCACTACCGTACCATCAATGGAGCAATATTAAAAGTTCTGACCCAAATTATTTCTGTGTTTTAACTTTGCCTAATGCAACAAATTAATATCTACTCTAATTTAATCGCCTTTATTTTCAAATATTATATGTTTAGCAGAGATTTTACGTCATATATGCAGTTCCAAAAGTACACTATTACTTTTTTCGTATAAAATTATCAGCGACTATGGAATTCTGTATATTTTTTATTCCAATAACGATTAATCATAACGATTGTATTATAGTTTTTCCTATGAAATTGTTAAAATTTACATTAAATATCTAACATATGCTACATGACGTTTTAGTTATAATTCTTTATTCTGATAAAAAGAAATGCTCAGAACATCTTAAATTTACTGACGTAATCATATTTTGTATTTAGAGAGCCTTTTATTGAGGTTAGATCAACGTCAATCATTAATATTCGACGAATTCCACTCATTTGCAATATATTGACATATAAATATATTTTTCAAGGCTATCATGACATCTTACACTTCTCTGAGAAAAAGTGCTGCGGTAAGATATCGTCGCTCTGTATTAAAATAGATATTGTTTTAAAAATAGATTTGAATAATTCTTTAGCTACTTAATCACAATGGTTTAACTCGGACTAGTATAGGAGATTTATTCGAGTCCAGAATTTTAGTTTGTATTTAATTTAGCTGATTACATAATTAGATAAATGCAATCTTTCAATGCTTTAGGAATCCATTACTTTTTGCTTTAGATGACTCTATTTGGTCGAAATAAATTTATATCTTATACAAATTTAAAATACTTAACGTGTAACTTTTACACTTTTAATCAATATCATTAAATCTTAGAAGACGTTTTCGACAATACTGTAACGAATAGATTTTATTTAATCATAAAGAGATCTTTAAAATCCAAGTCATAATAAGGCTTAATCAATCTGTCAACCAGGATGAAAATGAAATCTATTGCTCTGTTTGGGTAATAGTTGATTTAAATACTCTTTTATGACTTCTTTTATGATTTTTCCCTGTGGCTTATATTTTCCGATCTATACCATTAACGATAGCTATTTCATTAATTATATCATATAATTCTAAGATAATTCTATAAATGCCTTATTCAAATTACTAATGAAAACAAGGAAGATATTTGTATTGTTTATTGAAAATAAATTTATTGAAAATATTTAAAATGTTTTCCTGAGGTCAATCGAGTTCGTGTGGTAAACAGATGACCAGATAATGTACTTTTTTCTATTTTTACAAAGAGTATACAAGATGAATGAGAAAGTCGCTTTATAAATCATAAATAATAATCTAAATGGAAAATAATTTCAATTCTAAACTCATTGAAGTGATTCATTGACAGAGCTTTAATAGTATTATAAAAAAATTTAGTAACTCTAGATGGCAGCTTAAGTTAACATTTGTAAGGTTTCGTTATTTCATACTTTCCTTACAATCACATCAGATGCCACTATTTAAAATTTTAATGACTTTTTTACAAAGTTAGAGACATTAAATGACAGATATTAAATATTATAAGAGAAAGGTTATGTATTTTATTTTCATAACTTCCTGATTGGGATAAAATATATTATCATTTAAATTTGAAATTGTTTCAACTGGCAATACTTAAAAAGGCTAGAGGTAAAAGTTATACTTTGTAATTCTGTTCATGTAGTGTAGAGATATTTGCCTTTCATAAATCTCTAGGAGCTGTACGGAAGTCAATTTATAATGTACCTTACAAGAGACACGAAACATCAAAAAATTCCAAGCTAACTGCTAATAAAACTTTAATAGATTTTACGTATTGGTGTCAACTATCGTAAAGAAATGCGCAGACATGAAACGTAAATAAAATGACAATGAAGATACACAGTCGAGTCGCTCAGACGGTTAGTCTCAGAGTTGTCCTTCTCGTAGATTGTTGAAACATTAAAACCTATGTAAATAAAAATAATATTGGCTTGCGCACCTGTTTCCAAAAACGTTGAACGTACAAATAATATATTAAAGAAATATTAATCAATTAACTTCATAAAAATGGCCAAAAATATGGTGTATTCTAAATAAAGAATGTAATAGGCTAATTTATAATGCACTCCTCCGCTTAGTTAAACAGATCTTCCTGTCAAAACTCGACATCACCTACCTTTAGATCGTTTCTTAGCCAATCACCGACGAAGAAATTTTCGATGAAAAGCCAATTGGCTGCGATAGTTTTCCTCATTTACATATCAACAAATACATATCGTCCGTTTCTATTCAAGTGAATACAAAACGTCAATGGCAAAGTTTTCATACACAATCACTGTCGTTTTTATCCACACTTAAGTGGCGAAAATCATGCCAAAGTCTTTTCTGATTCGTAAGTTGATCAGTGATGAGGATGTAGAAAATCCAAAAAAGGATTCAAGGAAGATTGAAAGACTAGCTGAAGCAAAAATTATCAAATTACGTAAGTTTTTAGTATTGATGTTTCTTCCAATTTTCTAGCTGTACTTGTATAAGTTGAAGAATGTATATTTATATTAATAAATATATATCTAAATTTATGAAAGTTTGTAATATAATATAATATAATATTTACTGTATATATTAATATATATTAATATACACGTACATGTACATAGAATAATATCAAAAAGATTATCTTACATTTGTAAGATAAGTCATTAGTTTAACAATAATTTTAAAAAATTATGAAACTATATATAGTTGCATAACTAATCACGAAGCAGAATATATGTAACTTATTCGTTATATAAATTATAGACCGTTAAGTGGATTATACAACATAATCTGATTATAGTTTGTATTAAAAATAGAATTTGGTTTTATTGATGATAAGCAGGCTCTTTTCTCTTTCTGACCAAATCAAATCAATATTATTTTTTAGAAATTGTAAAAGCATAATGACAGCCTAAAGATCTTTGTTTTGTTTATGTAATAGTTATTACACAGTAGCATATTTTATTAGTCCAATTCCCCAGCGGACATAATTTTAATCAAATGAACTTTAATCTTATCTACGTGGGTGGCTAGTAAAGAGCAAAATTCTTTTGTAATGAAACACAGTAGTGGAAATAACGGACCGTAATACGGGTGCCTCAAAAAGTTCCATTAATTTCAAAGGAAAGCAGAGGGGGGCAAAATAGCGCGGGCACATAGACACCATCTTTGATCGTTTTCTACTCGCCCTAATGATACCGCCTCAGGGTTTATCTAACTGAATGTTCTTTTTAATCTTTGTACCTGGCATGCGCAGATGACGATGAAATTATAGGTGTTGGTCGCGTAAATGAACAACGAATTCAAGCGGAGCCTGCATTTTCGTCCCTGATTTATAGCTCTTCGACAGCTACTGTACGGAACAGACAACAGCTACCCTTTTCTCCTCCGATACCTCCTACCGTTCCTCCTCCAGCTACTACAATACACCCTCCTCCTCTTGTAGAAACTGTTAATGGTGGCTATGGGATAAAAAATCCCTTATCAAAATCCGTTTCTCTAACTGAATTAGGTACTTTTTTATCTTTTATTAGGTTTCCTTTTGGATATGATTGTTAAATGAAATTTAAATGCTTATAGGTGAAAAGCTCGGTGACACGTACATATGTCGTGTATGTAAAAAAACATTTCAACTGCAACGTTTGTTAAATCGCCATCTAAAATGCCATTCTCACGTGAAGCGTTATTTATGCACTTTTTGTGGTAAAGGCTTTAATGATACTTTTGATTTAAAAAGACATACGCGGACTCACACCGGAGTTCGACCATATAAATGCGAACTTTGCGAAAGAGCATTTACGGTAGGTCTAAAACAGTCTTAAATTTTTTATGCTTTTTTATTCTTTTCGACAGCAAAGGTGCTCCTTAGAAGCTCATTTAAAGAAACTTCATAATGTAAATTTCTCTTTCGTATATAAGCAACGTCGAGATAAACTTTATGTGTGTGAAGAATGTGGTTTTACAAGCTGCGAAGCAGAGAAACACTTTGAACATGTTTCTCGTCTTCACCCATACTCCGCTAGCTTTCGCTCAATGAGGTTGGATCGGAAAACTTCTGGCGGAAGTTACTGTTAGAGAATATGATTTGATACAATTTTTGAATTCTTACAATAAATTTAACCTAATATACTAAAAAGAAGCTTTATTCAGAATGACGAGTTACTATCATTATATATTGTAACAGGCCATCATTCAAGCATAAAACACAATAATGCATTCATTCAAAAATGCGGCTTGAGAATCGTATTGTTATAGTGTAAAATATACGAACGACAGCAAAAGAATTGAATTTAATTTTTGTAAACACTTTTACACAAAAAAGAAGAAAAAAGAGAAATGTCTACTCGAGGATGGAACGTGATCTATTTAAATCGCAGTCTCTATAAGGCCATTAAAATAGCACAACCGCTTCCTTGTGCCTAACAAAGATGAATGTCAATAAGTGTTATTTGTGAAAAGTAATAGAGTTTGTTATTGGCTATTGATTTAGTGGCGACTTGAATGGTACAATAGTAGCAGTTGTATATAACTGCTATATTTGGCATTTTAGCGAAAATTAAACTCTAACTCGCATATCGGGAAAATTCCGAAGGATCGTAAACGAGTCAGAAAAGCGAAGGTATTGTTAAGAATGTTTATGTCAGTGCCATATCGCATTTACATCGCCGCTATAGTCACTTTCAATGGAGAATTGACGCTAATTTTAAGGAGTCGATTATAGTTCAGCAGTTCTTTTTTTATTTTAATATTGACTAGCAGAAAAGCAATTAATAATTATTTTTGGTATGTCATCCGTTAACGATTTAAAAGCAATTTATTACATCTAATTTTTCGGAACACAGACAAAATATTGAAGTAATTGTTTAATTTCTCAATGTACTTAAACTTTCACACATGAAATAATAACTTGAAATTTGTCATTGTTTATTGGTAGATAGTTTCCTAACAGGTGCCGACCAGTATTTTAAGCATACATATTTTAAACAAATCATGAAAAAAAGTATTAATATACCTTTTTGGGTTGACTTCTATTTAATAGAACTTAAATTAATATTTGCTTTTCATCGATGATGTAAACTTTTTCCCTTGAAATTGGATAGCAAATTATATTTGAAGGGATTTTGAACCATACTAGACTGACTAGATGGAATTTTAATGATAAAAGTTGCTTCAAGTTTCTTATATTTACTTCATATCAAAAATTTTTCTTTGCTTTACTTTTATATTTTCTTATGTATTTTGAAAGAACATTCAAGTAGGATAACAGCCTTTTACTACGAATCGAAATCAATTTTAACAGGTACTTTCAAAACGAATAATAAGGTTTTATGAGCTTGTATAACAGAAAAAATTCACAGGTCAAAAAAATAATTGAACAGATAAATAGAGAACTTTCTTTGACTTTCACTTATTCACATAACTGTCAGATTTGCGTTAATATTCTTTGTATTGTTATCGTTCCGAAGTTGTTAAGTATAAAGTTCGTATTGCAAAAGTGCAATAGATATCAGTCTTAAAAAAATACCCTGTTATTATAAATTGAATAAGGGAAATTCGGGATTACAATTGATTTTTTCACTTATTATCCAACAAGATTAATATTGATATTAACATTTATTATGATTTAAGTGTAAACTGGTAAACGTGTGTCAGATTATTGTGTTCTTTTCATTGCTACGCTCATTCACATCAATAACTTTCCTAAACCAAAGTATTTCAAATTTTCTTTAAAAATACTTAAATTCTGTCGATTTTATATTCATCACGTTAATTGGCCTTTTGTAGCTAATAATTTCGGCTTACTCCTCTTAATAACTGATAACGGATTAATTTGAGGCCAAACCATCATTATTTAAAATGCGAAGAATTCTTTTAGGTATAGTAGTAAAAGCTATGTATCTATAATTACTTAATTGCGTGTCATTTTAATGAGAAGACTTCTGATGTCTGAGTATGATTTATTTAATACGAAGTTAAAGAATGTATAGTGGGTAGTATATCTAAGACACATTTAAGTCAAATTGGCTTGTGGCCTACATTGTTCGGCTCCTTAAAACCTTGATAACTAAAACGGCCAAATGGGATTTTTCGATCGAAACTTGTTATTTAGGGGTGAATAGTTAATACTAAATTCAGAAGCAGTTAACAAAGGTAACGAGAAGAGCCATCTATTTTTGGAAATATTTTCTTTACCTTAAAAAATTGATATATTGTGACCACTTCAATATATTTTGATGTAATTTGTGTCCACTTTAATTTTAGGTGAGACATTTTTTACGAATATCTAACTCGCTAAATGCTTTTTTACATGTTTGATTAAAACATATTAAAATTAAATCAACATAACTCAAGACTTATAGCAAATTAAATCTGTCATAAATTTCTTACAAATCTCACTAGCTGGCTTTCTGAAAGAATTCTATTCCTTTCGTAACCAATAATTATTCAGGTGATTTGATTCTTTTATGATTATAATTGACTGTGCGATTTCTCACCTCTGGCAATTTAAAAGAAATATTATTAATTTATCGTGGTTAATAAATATGTCAAAGATGGATATTAACATTTAAAAATAGCGATATATTAAAGTTGATATCAGAAAAGAGGTCAATAAGCTTTAAGATCTGAAATTTATTCTAAATTAAAAAATTCAAATAGTAAAGATCATAAAAATTGAAGATTAAATATAAACTTACTTGAATATTAATGAATTTGACATATTTTTAATTACTTCTTTAACGATGATATTTTTGAGTGTGTTAAATTTTACTATTTTCCTCACCAGTTTCTAATAGAAACTTTCATTGTATGAAATTTGAGCTGAAAAAAATTAATATTTTAAGAAATTAAATACTGTCATAAATTTTTCTCTTATGCACAACTTTAATCTATACCTGTTTTAATCTCAAATCGGCTTAGTAGCGGAAAATGAATTAAGAAAGTTCAGCTAAAAGTTCATCTCTCAGTAATATTTAACCCTTCATATCTATTTTCTATACTTTACGTGCTACGGGAGTTTTAACTATTGTGTTTATTTTTTAATTTGAGAAGAGAACTTATGGTTGACTTGGCTCTACTGTTTCGTCTTCTTTAATGTTTGCATTCACATTTTCTCCAGGAGAAAGTGAGCGACTGACATATAATTTAGGGGAAATATTGTGTCTATTATTAATGTGAAAATATATTGCAAACTTAACTTCGCGCTGACTCTTTCAGTATTTTTCCATCTTATATGTATCAATAAGAAATATAGTTTATCCCAATTTAGCCATTTTACATGAGAGTAATTCAATTTTTTAAAAGCTTTTGTGTTTGTCTTTTTGAAGTATGGAATAATTTTTTGAATCATCGTTTATTCAATATGTAAGCCACAGAAACCGCTGTGATTTATTTAGCCTTTATAGACATATATCATGTGAATTTCTTCTAACCGAAAGATGTCACTAGTTAGTTCTAGCTCACTGAAGGAATTCTCAAAATTCCAGAGCGCCATCTGTTAAATTTTCTATGAAACACTTATATATTTTTTGTTGGCATGGTATTCAGAGCTTATGATTTGGTTTGCATTGAGCCTGAGTCAACCTCAGCCATCTGTGAGATCTAGTCTTGTTTTTTTAAAGCTCAAGCTTAGTATTCAATATTGTATTGTAAAGAGGAGAGCTTTGAGTAACAATTAAAGTTAATTACGTAATAAACAAAGAATACTCACACAATTAACTAAAAAAATAACACTTTAATAGTGTGTAATACATTACTTTCAATTTCACAAAATGTTTTCAAGTATAATTAAAAACGAATTTATTTTAAAGACTTTTTATCTTAAGTATCACTAATTTGATAGAAATATTTGCAGTTTCAGATTAAAAAAGCCTGTTTAAAATTATAAACATATAGAGATTTTAGCTTAATTTTGACTAAGCTAAATTCCTAATTGAGATGTGCAAGTGAAAAATAATACATTAATTAAAGGAATATGCAAACGGTAGTAAAAACACTTTCTTTAGGTCAGTAAATATAACGTGGAAAACCACTGTAAATATGAATAAATTTTCTAAATAATGGAAGTGAACGATACAGACAGGTATTTTAACTTTAGAGTACAAATTGCTATAATTTATGTTGTTTCAAATATAGATGTATATCGATCATGAGTTCAAGATCGATTTTTCTTTGTTATTATATTTTTTTATGGACAATGATAGAACAAGTCGATTCGATTGTATAAACTATATGATACCCATAGAAAACACTATAAATATATACTGTGTGCAATTTTATAACGCATCATAGAAACCAAACAAGTTAAAAATTTTTGTTGACTGAACCCGTTATGCAAACTCTTTGATGATAAAGTATTCACTATAATCTTAATTAACTGTGTTAGCAAACATATTCAGCATTGAAATTAAACCAAACATTGCTTAATGAAATGTCCTAATATGTATTTATTGATAATAAAATTGTATAAATAAAGCTTAAGTTTTTTAGTTTCATAAAATTATAATAGACACCAGAATACTAAGGCAGAGAAACTATGAATATTTTTATTATTATTTTATCATCTTTGGCATTTCTTTCTGAAATTCGTAAATACATGCAGTATATTAATTATTGATGAAATTTATTAACAAGATATTTTTTTCAGATGCCGTCACTATTGGTGATGGTTGCGTTACAGATACTCAATGCACAAGGGGCTCTGATGGTATACAGAACTCAGAGTGTAAAAAAGAAGATTCCATCTGTCATCAGGGAAGCTGCCAATGCAAATCCTATCATTTTTATAGAAATTCAAACTGCAAACCATGTGAGATTTTCTATTCGATTTTATTTTTAACATATTTAAAAAAGGAAAAATATTTCAGATAAAAAATATGGTGAAGACTGTAATGCCAATGACCTATGTTTCCAAAAAAATGGTGATCCGCTTAGAATGAGATGCGATAACGGAAAATGCAGATGTAGTGATGAAACAAAATTTGAAAAAGATACCGATTACATTTGTAAACCAAAGAGCCCTAAACAACCGGAAGAGTCCTGTCAGAACACAGATTTCTGCATTGGACGTTAGTATTTTGCTTCTAAAATGATTTTCTTTATAATTAAACAATTTCAGTTTCCACATGTACGGGTGGCAAATGCAAGTGTAATAGCCGTTATATGTGGGATTCAAATAGGAGGCAATGTCGATTCGGTACGTTATGAATTCTTAAATATGAGTTGAAATAATCCGAGTTTTCTTATAGCTGAGAAAGATGAAGACTGCAAAAATCAAATAGAATGTGCAGCCAGTTTGGGCTTGGAATGTTCAAGCAATGATAAATGTATTTGTAAAAACCAAATGACTTGGACAACCGTCAATAGGATTATTGATAATAAAATAGAGAAGAAAGGAATATGTAAACATGAAAAAGCGTTCACAGATCCTACATACTCTACTTGTGACGAAGAACTTGCGGACGATAAAAAAATATTTTGTGGAGTCAGTGATGTATGCCATCTCTGTGTGGAATCAAAGAAAAAAATGTGTTTTCCAAGTAAGAAGTAATAATGTAGTATACTTTAATACTTTCACAATGTATGCTATTACTAGTATAAATTTATAGATTCTTAGTTACATTAAAATTTAGAAAATAATTTTTAAATGTTAACAAATTCTTTTTTTATTACTTAAATTAGCAAGACAACAAATCTAAACAAATTTCTATCGATCTTTTTCATAGCATCCAAACCAAGGAACAATAATGGTGCGGCAGGCGTTGTTTCTTCAACAGCTCAATTAATCCTCTTTGGTGTAGCCCTACTCTATTGATTGTGTACAATTCTCCATTCTTAAGATAAAATTTTTCACTTAGCACACTAATGATCAGATTACTTAATGAATCTGGGATGTGTGTTTTAATGATCTTATAGGAAATAAAAGAACTTTATAATGATTTATATTTAAAATATTTGTATACACAATTTTTATGGAAGAATGAATGATAAAAATAAAGAATCTTAGAAAGATGTGTTTCTAAATATGATTGAAGTTATCTATTTCATGATAGCACACTGATAAGTTCAATTTTTTTCAATCTTTTTGATAAAAAAGTGGACTGTTGGCGATTCAGAATCAACAACGTATAAGAAAATTTGACTCTGAACAGCTGATAAACGTATAAAGGACGGCTCGAATTTGAGGGTAATGCTTTGGCACAATTCGCCTCTTTTGTTAAAAAGATCCAAACATTTTCGTTCATTATTTGCCACTAATACAGCTTCAGTAAAAAATTCGCAAACACCCAAAGGATTTTCCAAAAGCGAATTTTCAATTTGACAAATGTTCGAGCCGTCTTTAAAGTTTAAAATCGTTAAGCTACTATTTCCCATCCTGGTTATGTAAACAAGATCTCCTAAGACACAAGTTCTGCAGGCATCCTGCACAAAACTTTTCCAGTGCCTCTCTTTTCTGAAATCATATTTAATAATTGTGTCCTTGCTTACAGCCATTAGGTAACGGTCAACTGTGTAGAGACCCCAAACATTTTCTAATTCAATCCAAGTTTGAAATTCGAAATCAACTTCATTTGCAAATATTATTTCATCGTCAGTATAGTTTGCTGCATATACGATCCCATTTTTGGCTGCAACGTCTTTTAAGCGCTTTTCCAGTTCTAGTATTCTTACGGGAAATTTACCGCTTAACGACATCTACGCGTGATTCAGAATAGTTAATATTTACAAAATTTGAATATAAAAAGCCTATTTGTGCCCAGAATAACATTTTTGCAAGGTTTGTTTTTAACGAAAAAAATTGTAGTTAAAAATTCTGGCTTTCTTGAATTACGCTTATATTTCGGAAAGTTTGTTTAGAAACACCCAAACTAAAATAACAATTCTGAATCACGACCCTTATAGATGCAAGAAAAAGATTCTTCGTCATTGCATAGTGCTACATAAAGAGACTTAGAATACTCTGAAACACATAAGCCCTCAACTACCATAGATTTGTCAAACTTCTTGGCTTTCTTCCAACTAAATGATTCCAAACCGTTTGGTAGATAAACAATGTCACCGAAATCGCATGAATTTCCCGCTTGAAATGCTACAAAATTGTTGATTAGTGAAAAATTTACTCCATTCTTACATAGCTTTACAATATCATCAACAGGCTCTTCCCCGTCTTTGTTATATAAGACGGCATTCACCACTTTTTGCGAGGCTTCTTTCAAAATATCCTTGACCTTGTATTTAAGTGACTCGGCTTGATTTTCAATCAGTATTTTCGCTTTATAGGAATAAGCGTCGATATCTTCTACAAGATCCTCTTTTTTAAGGTCCACCTCAGATCGCTTCGCCATTGAAATGTGTTGTACACAAATAAACAAAACAGCAGGGGCAACTATATATTATATCGACAACTTCGATTCAATGCTTTCGATAAGAATAGGCCGAATAGGCCAAGAATTTATTGAAATAGTCACTGTGTTTGGTATGCTAACAGGTTGGAATAAATTTTAAATTGATTTTATTTTGCAAAAGAATAGCGCAAATAAAAAAATCCACAAGCCTAGTTTTAAAGTACTCTCTGCAAAATCGCTAATGGCTTATTAAGACTTTTTTTACATTAATCAACAGGTGGCGCCTCTAAACATTTAAATTTCTTAGATACGTCCTTATCTGAGGAATACGAAAACATTACATCAATCAATACACAAGTGTATATAACGAGCGCGCGTCATTAGCATCGTTACATTAAAACTAAATCCATACAATTTCATAGCGCAGGCTCACTCAGGTAACATCATGGCAGCTCTTATATGATAGTCCGATTTGTGATTTATGAATATATTGAAATCGTGACACTGAAACTATCTACATGGGTTGTGGATTATCAAGAGAGCCTGAAACAAAGAAGTTTTACTATCCCAACCCTGAAACTGAACTGGAATCTGTTGACTCAATACAAAATGATGATAATAATCAGAATCAGAATGACAATACTTACAAAAATGATAGCAATAGATTGTCAACTTCAAAAAAAGAGGACGATTTGAATACGAGTCAACAGTATTAAATCGTTAAGTTATCTTTGGAAACTGAAATAATTACACTTTTGCAATGGTTAGTGCCGAACTGATATTGTTATATTTAAAGAACTTTCTTATATGTAATATAATTATACATCACACAATATCCTTGTTCACTAACTCTTTAATGACTACAAGTACAGAAGGTGAGAGTAACTCAGTCCGAAAATCGAGTATATTCTGCATTAAAAATACAGCTTAATTACGATATTCTTTTCAAATTTATTTATAAATATCATAATTTCCTCAACTCACTTAGTTCTTTGAAAATTGAGTAAAAGATGTATTAGAATATTAGGTAAGTGGCTTAACATTTTCCTCTTTCAGAGATCATATGTCCTATTTCTTATTAAAACTTACACATTAAACAATGTCTTGATAAGACAGTAAAATTAAATTATATCTGTTTTATTATAATGTTTATTATAATTTTTTTAATGCTGTAGAAATATTGCTGATTTATATCTTCATTTTTCCTGTATCAATTTATGTAAACAATTGTCAGCCGTGTTAGTCAACACGATTGCTGATTACATCTTGAGCAGCAACACGTGTAACTATGTTGGATCAATGACTTTCATCGCTTCTTTCTATAGTATTTATTACATTTTCAATAAGAATATTTCCATAATTATAGTGCTTTGTTGCAATAAGAAAAGATTGAAAGATTTGATTAAGAAAGTGCAGTGAATTGACATCTTATTATCATTTATTCGTCAGGTTAATCTTGTCAATAGTCGTTCTTAGTTAGCTTTTCGCCTGTGACGGCATTTGGATTCATTTACAGATCATATTCATCTAGGTTAAAGTCCTCTTCGTTTTCTTCATTTATTGAATTAGAAAAAGACATTTTATATCGAAGTATGCCTCCTATTCCCCCGAAGCCTGCTATAAATTGTTTGCCTTCTTGTGTTCCATTAGTAATTATTTTCATATCAGTTCCAAATTTAGAATACTTTTCTATCAGATATTCAACTAATAATTCTTGCTCGACAAGTTCCAAACGAAAACCAGTATTACTATCCTTAAAAATATTTAAATTCTGAGCTTCTCTCGGAGATAAATAATGAGTAGTGAATATTTCCTCTCTGGAATTTTTTAATTTGAAATACATAACCTCCAAATCTTCCCAACAAATCAAAGTTTCTACTGCTCCCTTTTTCAGAGCTTCCATCGTATCCTCACATCCATAGCAATATTTACCATTATCTCGCTGAATACAATCAAAAAAATTCCTTATGATGGCTTTTTCTTTTACAAAATGCAAATTACCAATTTTTTCTGCGGCCAAATCAATAGCTCTATTTAAGCCTATGACATCACCATATTCAATATCCACAACTTCAATAATCTTCTCCTTTATCCTATTGTCCAAGAGGTCATATTTAATTAAATCCGTCTTCAATTCTGCACTACCGGCTACAATAATACCTGAAACATTAGCTTTTAGCTCAGCATTTATAAAACAATCTTTAGCCGTTTCTGCAACCTTCTTAATGTAGGCTTGACGTTTCAATAATCTCTCGCGTCCGAATCTCGCAGCCGATGAGCCACCTCTTGCATGCTTTTTTGGCAAACCAGCAGAAAATTTTTGAAGTATTGTTCGAGCGTTACCCGAAACATTTGCAAATAGGGTCCCTTGTCCATCTATTATAATAAATCCATAACTTTCCTCCTCACGCAACATTGATTTAAGTGGTTCTATATAAAATTTATTATCACACAAGTATAATTTATCAGACATTGGTTTAGTAGGCTCGAAATCTAGAATATGCTTTTTATTTTTTCCTTCTTTAGTAATTACCGTTCCAGAAAATATTACAAGTCCATTTTTAGGCACACATTTGTATAATTTTAATTTTTGTAAAATTGATGTTATCGCAGATTCCACCGATTGTCTGTTGAGCTTAGACTTGATACTAGATGCTGTTCCAAGTTCTTCGCCTAACATTCTTGTTACTCTACTGATTTGATCTTTTTGAGGAATTAATAGAGTTATTAAAGAAGTTCCATTGCCTTTTGCAAATTCTAGGAATTTTAAAAGTTTTTTAAATCTCCAAAAATCGACACAGGAGTCAAAAGCTTTTTCAGCCATTTCGTTAATATATCAATTAAACTTTATTATATTAGAATATAGCATAAAGAAGTATTTCACAACAATAGGAAAATTCAAATGTTGCGCAATTATCGAAAAGATTTAGTTAGCATGGCTAGAAGAAAACTTTCACTCAAGAGAATTGGAATGGAACACAAACCATATTTCAACGTTATTTCAATCTCCACTCTCGTACGGCGTTTCCGGTTCAAAATGGCGAACAAGCCTGGCAGCGCGAAAGGGGAAAGATTTGCTCCCTATTTAAAACGAAAAACGCATCCTAATGAGAAAATAGAACAGAAAAACGAGACACACCGAAGAGAGTTCGGAAATACATTCGACGAAAGCATAACTGTACCAACAGTCGCTCAATCTGGATATGAAGAGCAGGTGTGTTTTCTTGTTGTTATTCTTTTAAAATAACACCGGTTAAGCTATGAAGCAATTAATATTGAACATAGCTTAATATCTTATAAATCTCCAATTATATTGTAAACAATAACCTTTTAAGTATATTTAAGAAAGTACTTTCTCTTATCTTATGGAAACGGGTCGTTTGCAGTATAATTGCACAATAATATGTATTTTTTCTTTATAAATCAATGATTTTCATTGTAAACCATGTATAAATGGTACAAATTTAAAAAAAACTATTTGAAAACATCTAAATATTTCTATTCAAACAAATTACAGCCAGAAATGCCGGATACAACGGGTTCAGAGATTATTCAAGAGCAAGGAGATCCGATTCCAACAATGCCTTCCCAAACAGACGACTCTCAGCAGAGAACATTGTACATAAGCATCTATTCTTAAACCCTAAACTATCAATAATATTTATATATATGTTTTTGTTTTCAGATACGTAGGAAATTTAGATCCACATGTAACCGAAGATCTCTTGTTAGCTCTGTTTAGTCAAATAACTCCATGTAGAGGATGTAAAATAATATATGAGGTGGTTGTGTCCCAAAAATAAAATTTTAAATTAAAACGAGTTATTTTCCAGCCAGGAAACGATCCTTATGCCTTTATTGACTTCGAAGAACATAGCGGTGCATCGGCTGCTTTGCAAGCCATGAATAAAATTCAAGTATTAGGAAGGGTGAGTTGTCAATTTATTTTTAGGAATGAGGTAAGCTCGAGTAAAATTAAGAAAACGAATTACGAGGTGCATTAGGAAGATTTGTTTGTCAACGTGCTGATACATAAGTAAATATATGTGTGTACAATATTGATATTGAAAAATTATGAACGTATCGATGGGATGAAAAGTCTTTAGACTTGCCTTATACTGGGAGTAAATTTTTATTTTTACTTTTATCCGTTTTGCTGACATTGTGGCACATGGAAAATCAAGGTGATCAGAGTTAAGTTGCCTATCAGCAATATTTTATAGCCTCAGAACATATCAGCTGAATTGACGGGTGAGAAACTTTCTCATTTTTTTAAGAGTTGATGACGCCATTCGATGTTGAAGGTTAAAAGGTAAGTTTAATGTATGCATTATTTGAGTGTCAGCTTATCGTAAATAATCGCGTTGTATACCCATTTATGATATTTGCATGCCAAATATAAGCGTAAAATAGAGTTTGTACCAACAAGCAGTAAAACGCAAGGTTAACGCCAATTTCACACTACTCTATGAAGCAATTTTTAATATTTAAAAGACCAATGTAAAGTTTTCAAGACAAATATTATGAAATATACCCTTTAATGAAAGTAAATTGGCTTCTCCTCAGATCTCAGTTTCGATTAAGAAAAAAAACAGATGGCCCTAGCGAACAAGATAATGATAAGTCATATCTAGAAAACAATCAAATGTTTTAAATCACCCTTAAGTTTTAGCTAAAGATATTTATCTAATATTAAATAAAATTGACTATGAAACGATATTAAGACAAATCGCGCTTTTTTCGTTCGTTGTCTATACTAATATCGATGTGAGAAATTTACTATTTCTCAAATTTGACAATATTTAAAAACTAAACTTATTCTATTGGATATGATGTAACCTACTATTACATACAAGCAGGATAAGTTAGTAATGTATTCCAAATATTTCTTAAGTCTGAACATAGGATTTGTCAATCTCTATCATGCATAATGACTGGCACGCTACAATAACAAAGATTAAAATGTTACTACTAAAATATCGTAATTGTTTGTGTTTTGCTCGGTTTGTTCATGAATTTTTTCCATGAGGATTATCCATATCTCTGATAGGACGTGACGGATGTTGCTCGTAGTATATTAGTCTGATTAGGTAATGTTGCATTCTTAATGAGACCATTTAGTTGAAAGTATAAATACTACTCCTTTGAAAAATGGTCATTTTATTGCGTAGTATTCATAAGTAGTTTATGCGACTTAGGTCATTCGTCATCTCAGATGGAGTTTGTATCGTAATTTCTGTTGGCGTTCAAAGTTTGTCACGCCATATCGTAGTTGAGGCAGCAGAAAGTTAGAACACATAACGATTATCAACCGACCCTAACGAGCACTGGTTCGGTTGAGTTAATTAATTTGCTTTTGTATATGCAAGTAAAATGTCATTATAGGGTAATGGCGACTTTATTAGGTCCTTAGGGAAATGATTCGATTTCTAGTCGCCTACCATCCGTTGTAATTCTTCGGCTGATTTTTTAATTGTTTTATTGTTTTAGTGTCAATATCCAACTCCGTTTGTATATGTAGATTGCATGCAAAACGTATGCGTTTTATATTTTTTAAGTAATTGAGGTTGGACTTGTGGGATGAATGAAGCAAGCAAGTTGATTAATGATGTATGAAGAGGGGTGTGTTTTTTCACTACAGTAAAAATTTCGTGGATGTTACGAAAGGGCTTCACTTAATGTACCCTCACGTTCGATAATATTCGTTCTACAATTCTAAGTTAATATCCTAATGGGAACGCGTAAGGATGAAAAAGGAATAGATAAATCGGTGATTAAAATAAAATGAAATAATAAATAAAAAAAGAGGCAGCGAGGGTACACGAGTGGTTTAGTATTCTGCGGAGAGAAGCTAGGCAAATTACGGCTTGTAATTACGCACTCTCTCACCAGTTAGCCAATAAGAAATTCATGAAGAACACGTCTTTGATGCAGTCCCTCGGTCCATGTTGCCCGATCCCGTGGGTCTAACGCAGTGCCAGACAACATTAGATTATTTATTTTGCTATGTACTCTGGTCTTTCTGGTTGAGAAGTGCCCGATTCTGCAAATAGAGAATTAGCAAAACTGTGCTCCATTATTTTCAATGAGCTAAAAGAATTCTTTAATACATTTTCGAAAGGCTTTATCAAAAATAATTATGCAGTTTATTAAAGAAAATTTAATTATTCTAATATCTCTGACTTTACTGCTACATCCTTGGAATGCTGAAAAGAAAAGGAGTTATAAATTGAGATTAAACTCATAATTAGCAATTAAATATTAAGTAAATCTAAAATACAAAATTGGATAATTTTTTTAAAGGATTTTCTAGAAAACAGAGATGAGCTTAAAATTACCATATAAAGCCTCTTCTAGCATTATTAAGTTTGTTTCTATTGATAGAACAGTGAATTCCTGTAGAAGTAAATAAATAGCTGAAGTGTAATAGATCCAATGGGTTGATATTTGTGGAAAAGAGAAAAAATAAAGTTGAATTATTGAGCAGCTTTAGGGAGTTGTTGCGTCACTAATTAATTGCTATTGTGGTGTTTTTCCTGTTACACTTTTTGGTAAAAGCTTCTAATACTGTAATGCCGTAGCGAACGACAAGTTCTACAATGCATCTGACAAACGTATAGATTAAATCTTAAATAATTAATGCAACCCATATCCTTTGGAGACAAGTTTTTTGCGTTTTGTAGTTTTTATGTCCGTAGGTCAACGCCCTCTAGCGTCATCCGTCTTGTAAACTGGCAAGCGTCTCTTTAAAAGCATTTTACGTAATTAAGAATTGGGATTATTGAGCGCGGTATGTTTTTTCTAGGCATTGTATTCGCTGTGGATGAGTATATTTACTAGCGATTATGTTATATGAATTTTTAATAAAGTTGTTCGATGCGTGTTCATCGATTTCAAATGGTAATGAGTATATTAAAAAGTGAATTGTTTTTGTCGCGGGAATAAATTATGTCAATTTTCGCCGACGCTCATAGAACAGAGAAAAACAATACGGCAGTTGAGTAGATAATGCGCAAAGTCATCGTTTGTTCTAGGGACGAAATGTTTACACATTTGCTTTAGCCGAGCTATTTTATATAGTTTATTGTACGTCTGTTTATAATTTATATTTTACATTGTAAATATTTCGTATATATTATGCAATTCCAGGCGTTTATAGCTGAATGATTTTGGAGCAAAAAATTTGAACGCTCGACTGCTACCTAAAATGTCAAAATAAACAAAAGCGTCGTAATCATTGTTCCATAATGCATTGACGGGGAGTTGGCGCTTTTAAACGAGTTGGATTTCTAATTGAAACGCCATCGACCGGGTTATATACGATTCGATTTTTTTCAGACGGGTATTTCAGGCCTATTTCGCCGTTCGTTTCGTCCGATCAAACATTCGACGGCGCGTTAATGCGAGCTGGAGTAGTGGAAAATATTTGCAGGGGTCGAAGTTATGCAGGCGTCCCGTTGGCCGAGTATTTGCACGGCGTCTCGTTAAGTGCTTGCCCGTGTTGTAGTTAACGAGCCGTCGGTAGCTAGCGGGTTTGGTATTATATATATATATATATATATATATATATATACGAAAGACTTGCAGGCTATTTTCACTCTTACAGGCCGCATATGATACACTATAAATTGAACATACACGAAGTCTATAATATTTTCAGATTTCTTATAAAAATTAACATATTTAATGCAGTTAAACATTCGACATGAAGCGGAGTTAAAAACAGAAAATTTTAAAATAATAGTAGGGTATGGCTAATTCGTGACGTCAGCCTTGGCATTGTAGTGAATATTTTATAAGTATGCGTCAGTTTGATGTAATATCGTGCCATGGTGATGATTAGTTACGCTTATTGCTGCGTTTTGTTCATTTTTTATACGAATTTGGCGCGTTTCTAACCAAGTGTTGCGTAAAGTGTCTGAACGTTTGCTGTATTTTTTGACGTAAATTTATCATATATTATTGTTGAAATAGTTTTAAGTAAGCTCTTCTCCACATTATCAGATGGAGATTAGGTTTTAAATAATTAAACGTTATGATTGGAAATATATTGCAAAATTTTCACTCTTTCTGACTTGCAATTAGCAATTAGAATTGTTAAATGCAGCCATTCTGATATTCAATCATTGAATAAATAAGCTATTTTACCTGGGTTTGTAAGAGTAAATAAGAAATTGATAACTTATTCCTTATTAATAATACTAAATATATTTACTATCAAGCTTTGTGTACCTTATATTTGTTTTTATTCATTTGGCCCGTTGACACTTCTCCATGTTGACTAACTAGTACGTTGTCGCGATGAAACCAAATTGTAAGACGCGATTCAAGGAGAGTTCTATCAGATATTACAAATTAATGTAAAATTTTGAATAATAATCTGGAATAACCTATAAAGCCAATACTATAACTTTGAATTAGTAGGAGTAAAGGCTACGTAACGTAAACAATTCCTTTAAATAAATATATTTTAATGAAATGATAACTTCTCTGAATACTTGTGTTTGAAGAATGACAACAAAATACTAATAGCCTCTATTACAGATTGCATACAAACTGTTTCATTGGTATATGATTGCTTTGTACTACAGCTTGTACGCAATTTAAATTGTTATAAGATGATAGAGTCAATTCACCAGTATAAGAATCTTTTATTTTACTTTTATTTTTGTATTGTATTATGAATTCGTAGAAAATAGGAGATTCAAATTTCTAAAGTTTTAAAGCAACGTCTTTGAATATATTAATTGTTTAATTGATCAGCATGAAATTTGTCGTACGCTCAAAAGAAGTCTCAGAAACTCCGGTTACCTGATAAACTTTTAAGGATTCTTTTAAAAGAAACTTTGCATACAGATCCCTTATACAACACGTTTTCATAACATTAACCAACTATGTTCGTGTCCTCGGTAAAAGGTTTACTGAAAATTATAATGATTTACTTCAGTAGAATATCAAATCGACCAACATTAGACCAGGTTGTTAGTAGTATGATTACGTCTAGGAACTGTCTCAAGTTCAAGACACTTTTTCGCATTCAATTAAAAGTCGGCTATAAATTGAATAACCCCTAATATCAACTATTATTGTTTTGCTATAAATCATTAAGTATTCTTTGTTCTGAATTGGCCTAAATACGATCAAGGTTTTAGTTTAGGAATTCGACCAAAAAAAATATAAGTCGAGATTTATAACAAATATATTCATGCAAATGAACAGTCTTTTATATACTTATGTGTAGGCAAGAGAGAGAGAGAGAGAGAGAGAGACGCTTCATCCGTCTACTTAATTTGCATATCGAACTGCATCGTCTATGCTCATGGTACTCTCGCTGACAACCGCAATTGCCCGAAGGGTGCTATACTTGACCACTGTCCACTAGAGACCCGACCCGGCTATACGTAGCTTTTACTCAATTGCCTTCATTTTTAATGCTTTCTCGCCGCTCTTCTTTGCGTTTATTTGCACAATACCCAAACTGTATGATACTTTACTGTTTCAGCTATGACATCAGCACTGCTACTACAATCTCACCGATCCTTTGACCCTGTTCAAAGATATCGAAATGAAACAAAAGAACGCGGTATGTTCAAAACCAGATTCCTTTTATTAAATGGATCGATAGTGTACTTCTATCATCCGTAAGTGGATGCTCTATCGATCCTCTTCGTTTTCTCTTTTCTTCATCAAAATAGGCCTTAATGAAAATGTAAGAAAATAAGTGTAGATAAGAATACTAATTGAATATTAGAACTGACACGTTATTTTTTTTTACTTTATTTTTTGTCCGTACGAAAGCGACATCTGCCAAACAGCGCTGAGATATCGATTGTATGCGGGAGGGGAAAAGGGAAAAAGGCGTTTAGTGACTTTGGTAATGCGAGCGGTTTGTCCAGAGTTTGACTGCGAAAACGCTTGTTTAAACAGTCGAACGACAGAATCGGTTTAATTGACTTTTGCGGTTTGAAGAAAAGGCAGCGTATGAGCGGAAAATGATGGATGGTGACGAGATGAAAACGTCGTAAATTTATTTAATAATATCCATATATGAGAAATATTAGGAATTTATACGGCCGATATTGCCCGGGATTTATACTGCAATTGTATAGCGATATATACATTAATCCGTCCACCTTTGACCGTACCACACGAACTCTGTCAGGGTCTAACACGATAAGGCTAGAGAACGAAAAGAAAAATAATTAATAAAAGGACGCTTTACGAGTATTTAGAGCGTACGTTTGGCGTTTTCAGACGACGGTCGGAGACGTCGTGATCGGCATTTTCGTTGCGAGTTGATGAGGCGATTTGGCTGGGTATTTTGTTGTGATTAGTGCTCTCGGTCGATTGGTTTTTTTTTTCGACCGACCGCAAAGAGTGGACAGAGTAAAAGATTACTAAATTATCTTCATAAGTCTTGCTATTCACTATTTAAGGAATTCTTTTCAGTATTATTTTTTAGAATGAACTATATATAGTTTAGCTGGATACATTATATAATTTAAATTAACTACGAAATAGTAAAACAATGCTCTTTTTATTTCAAAGTAATGATATATTCTAATTTTGTTTCCTTGATAATTTATTTGGTTAGCATTTTATTTTGATAATTTTGTTGAAATAGCAATCTGTTATAGATTCTCAATTGAAAATCGATCTTAACCATATGACAATAAATAAATAAATAGTGATGGTGTCATAATAATTTTAAAGTTTACAAACTGTTGTCCATAATTTTTTCTTTGTACCACTGTCAATGGTAAAAATTGCGGTATTATTTCCATTAAGACATTTAAGAGCTAATGTGACTTCTATCCCCTAAAGTATCAGTTTTTGTTTTCATACTTTTATTATCAGTATTAAACCTAAAATAATTTATTATTAAAAATTCGTAGTGAATTTCTATCTGCTAGTTTCATAAAATTAATGTGTGGACTGTGAAATAATAGTATAATAATCTTATTTAAAAAAATGAATTTCAACTTTTGAAATTCGTTTTACACATCATTTTTCACTTATAACTTGTGAAATCGAAATTTCATCATAAAAAGTCTTTGACAAGCCTTGGTCACGTGACGTGACACTTACAAATACCCAATACTGGAAAAGCTGCTTTCAAGACGGAGACTTCTAAATGCCTGGAAAGCCAAGCGAGTAAGGGGAGTAGTCGTTTCCTCACGATTGTTTGTATCAGTGGACTCTTATTGAGTTTGTCCGCTTTGTAAGCTGACTAGAGGATGAATGGCGACGGACGAAGTATAGAATGATCAGAATGTGCGAAAACATGTGTTACTGTGTGAATCATCAGCGCGTCGTTTCGCATTAATAAAGTGATTAGCGAAGAATTTATGCGTCGTAATCGTTTTAGCCATATTTCCCGCGAGCTTTACGCCGGTGCAGCAAATTGCGTTAAGGCGGTCGCCTATAGAGAGAGAAGAACTAGAGAAAAAAGACTACTAAGCTAAAATATAAGAGCTAGAGATGCTAGTCTACTTAATACTCACAAGATGTAAATTATTATCTCGTTCCTAGCCTGGGTACTCAAATTTAAATAATAATAATACACATAGAATAAATATTAAGCGCATATTTTGGCAGTAATTATTTAAACTAAAAGTCAAATTGTAATCAAGTATATAATATCGTTCAGCATTATATATATATATTTGAATGTAGCAAAAACACAATTTTAAGTTCAAATGTTTAAAAATGAGAGACCGCTCTTTGCGGTAGACGTCACGGCTGTCTCCTGACGTGATCCATCACCTCCTGTATGCGTCACCCGTATGCACGTTGGCGAATTTCTGGCGTACTCTGAATTATTGATGATGATTATGTTTTTCGAATATACTGTGACATTATACAGTTGCGTGGCTAGAGGATATTGTCCATCTTATATTGCGGCTTTTAATGGAGAAGATTAAATGGGGAATGCATCAGCGATTCGATCGTGCATCGGCACCCGTGACACGGCGCCGTCTCTTGAGTGGCATAATGCGAACGAGCCTGCATCTCTCGTGAGACAAATCGCTCTTTTCTAAAAAAATTGTAAGAAACGAGAGAAAAGAAAAGGTAATTGTTAGCCTAAGGCATCTAGCAATAATTCTGATACTTTTGTTTATATACTAAAACTACAGTACGTGTAGAGTTTTATTCCCGATTTTACCTAATTTTAAAAATGATAGTGTTGATTTATTGAAGTTATTCGAAATAAATACAGATAGACGAATTTATTTCCAGAGATAACTTAGACTTAGAAATAGCTAGACACAAAAGAACTAAAAGTGAGATTTAAGCGAACTGGGACTGTGTCAGCTGGCGCCTGACAGGTGTATTGTGAGTATACGCAGCATATTTTGCAGCGGCAGCAGCAACGCTGCAATACACGCCCTCTATCGACGCCTTTCGTCCGGCATCATTGTGGCCGACGACGCTGTACGGACTAGACGCTTTTGTCAGTGTGTGTTTTTACAATTTTTTGAACGAAGATAATTTATTTCGTCAAGACGGTGTACGTTCAGAGTTTAAGCGCTTGCGCAGCTTCGGCCGCCGCAGGAACACCTTTGGTCGCCATGGCTGCGCCGGCCGCTCTTCCAGAACATGTTTTTGTTGTACCTGCTGCTCCTTCTCTTCCCATCATTCCAACTTCGGCAGCCGTTTATCCGGCTTCCGCTGCCTTACTCCAGCAGCAGCGGGTTGCTGCTGCTTTGGCTGCGCAAGCAAATGGTATTACTTCACCGATTGCGGTACGTTTTACAGTCATGTGTGTTTACACAATGTGTGTTCAACACCTATTCTATTAACAAAGTGCAGTTTAGCATTTATCGAGAAAAAGGGCAGCTCTTCTGTATTTTGTTATGAAATGGCATTCGCAGGTGAAGAAGCACACAAGCTTGTGATGTGTTATATTTATTTGGATCATTTTTTAAAGAATTTCAGTCGTTGACAAACAAATGATTTATCACAGACTAATCCTTTATTTTTACAAAATAATTCTGAATGTCAATTGTCTCTTCGTCACAGGAAATGAAGGTAAACTGGGCCAGTTCACCAGGGAACTCCGCGCCAAAGACAGACACTAGTAGTGAGTATCAAATTATTATCTGTTATTTTCTCTTCTTTCGGTTTATATGTTGAAATTTTAAAGTAGTAAAGTATTGCATCTAAACTATAAAATTACGAATTCTAAACAAAACTGTACATTCTAAAGCATTTGATAATGAGATGCAAGCCATTTATAAAAAAATGAAAGAAAAATTTTCTAGGATTGTAGCTTATGTATAGTAAAGAGCATTGTGTTTATTGGCTTAACAAGGCGTGTAATTGAAGCGTGCCGTGTGACCTTTAATTAGGCTGGATGGTCACACAAGTACTTAGACGTTTATCGAAGGTGTGACTGAAGTAGTGGACGCTGCAAATGGACGTGCCCCGCGGCTTGTAGACGATTTCTCCTATTGTTTTCCAATCGATGTCGATTTTATTTCGAAGAGAACAGATGTTTATACGTTATTTTTTGTATGGAGGTAGCGATGAATATTTGATAACAGAGTAGGACGGATAATAATAATAATTACCGACTCTTGGTACAGCCGATTTTGTTGATTGCGTTCTCAATTATTAACGGTTTTGGGCTTGCGACGTTGTTGTAATTAATTTCTCTCTATTTCTCTTTTCTTGTTTGACGCGTCCTCTATCGATTTGCATTGTTAGTAATGAGCAACGCTAGTGACGCTTCGCTCGGAGCGGGATTGAACGTAATGACAGCATCGGAGAGAAGTTTGCTATAGTATGGCCTGAGGGCGAATATGACCTCTGTCACTAATACCAATAGCTTAAGCGCCGTCTATCCCGGTAAATTCTTTGATGGTAAACTCTAGTTGCATAACGGAGCGAGTTCATCTAAACGCGTGCCGTTTCGACGCGACATTTCGGATGCGATCAATTATTTCGCGCGTGGACGCTTTCTTCCATGCCTATCACATATATACTCGATCACGGCTCACACAGTCCGATAAGAAATTGTCTTCACCCACCATTGTAAAAGAATGTTAGAATTTGTAGATAGCATAAAGCTTTGTTTTGCAAATTGGTTTGCCTTGCCTCCTTCCCCAAAAAGTGAAAACAAGGGGTGCTGAGTATAAAAAATAAGAACAATTGTTTAAAGAGTCTTTTGTCGGCAAACCGATAGAAAGATTGCATGATAAACGTTGGTCTTAATTGCATCCTTGCATGATATGTTAGAGGGGCTGTAGGGAAAAGTTATAAGGGAGTACTGCATCTCAAGACTTATTGTTTCGGTTTTGCTTAAACGGATTACAACAAGGCCTGCTGAATCCAAACGTATTGGGGAATTTATAAATAATTATTTTATGTTGTTTCACTTGTATGATTATTGTCAGTTGGAATTTATGCGTGTATGTATGCATATGTAAGAGTGTACGTGTATAGAATGTATGTGCATTCACTGTTTTCTTTGTATTTTATGTACATATGGTACACAGTTTAATTTGTTTGTAATATGCATCCATTTTCGTATCCACCGGAAAGACTATTTCTAATGAGACTTTGCCAATTACGTATTGTTGGTGAGATGAGAATAGAGTAGGTATTGAAGATGGATGAGAAGAGAGTGTGATGTATCAACAGCGGCCTGCTTAGTTTCGATTAGTAAAGGTATACTAAATCTACAGCTCTTGAAGGACAAAATCTAGAAAATATTTTTACCTGGGAACGAGTTTTATTAACTGACCCTATTGTTAATTCACTTGTCGAGAACGGATAAACATGATATTAGTAACAGTTTTAGCAAGTTTGTCAGTAAAATACTATGAATAACGTTTATTGTTTCGTCGACAATTAGACACCGGATTTTGGCAATTAACGGGATAGATAAGTCGTATCCGTTTCAGGTAAATGTGTACACAGGAATTTTCGGTCCGGTTACGTTCGGATCGATAGTATGACAGAGTGTGGTTTTTCTTCTTCGTATCGATGTGTTTTCACTTGCACGCACATGTATATGACTTACTAGAAACGACAAATACAACTATCCAGAGTGATATATAGATGTCTTAAGTGCAACGATATTCCGTTCAGAATGAAAGATGGTAGAGCAAGATGTCAGCTTGGCTATTGATTGCCTTGAATATGCCTATATCTTGCATTATTTGCGAATTCTCATCATGTTTATCCTCGAGTGACCCTGTAGAAAAAGGGGTAGAAAATTTTCCCTCTTTAAAAACTATATATACCGTGATTACTCGCTGTCGTGACTACGACTTGCTGCCGCTGATGCAGTCCTAGACACGTTTCGATAGCGTGCGGTTGCTGATTGCCGAACGCCAGTATTGTGGCATTGCCAGTCGAAATGAGATGATGCCAGTTTATTTTGCCGTTTCTTTTCCCATTCATTTGAGTTATATGACTAGCCGTTGTTATGCAGAGTTTTTCCACCCTCTTATTTCATCTTTTTTTTCTTTCTGTTAACTTAAGTTGTCTTTGATAAATAAGTATGCATTGTACATTAAGTTTAATTAAGCGATACAGGCTAAATGTTTTTCGATATGAATCTCTAAAATGTTCTTATATACTGGAAAACATTTATTTATCGGTATTAGGATAACTTTGGGATATATAAACTAATGTATATTGCACATAGCGTTTGTATGGCTTTAGCTTTTTCTTGACGTTTTAACGTCTGTTCTCTTAATAGCTGTTTAAAAGTCGTATATCTGACTCTACGCTTGCTCGATCATGCATTTAAATGGGTTGTAGCATTGTATGCATATGGCACGCAAATTTAATGAAAAATTGTTAAAAGCTGTCTATGTCTAAGACACTCTTTCAGTTAGACCCTGAAATCAGTTTTAGACATTCAATATTTCGTCAATGCGTATGAGCTTTTATTCCAAAATAATCGTTAATTACGTAAGTACTAATAATAAATGTAGCTATTAAACAACCTGAAAGAGGCAGGTGCGGTTATGTCCCAGGCGTTTGCGTGACTGTATCTGCTTTTATCTGTTTTTCATGTGATATCGCATGAAAATTCTTCGTTTATGCTACTCTCCTACAGCGACTGTGCACATCATGTATTAGATGTATACATTATTATGAATAAGGCTGTAAAAGCTGCTTAGTAGACTTTGATGTTTTTTTTTAGTCTTTGTTTTTGCTTACAGAACATTTCCATATATTCGTCGGAGACTTGAGTCCGGATATCGAACCGCATCAGCTGAGAGACGCTTTCACTCCGTTCGGAGTCATATCGTAAGTATTGCTTTTTTACTCTCTCGACAAGTAACAATAGGGGAAGCGTTTAATCATTTTAATGAACACGAGAGGAAAAAGAATGAGAATTGATGAATGAAACGGACAGCGCCACTCGCTTATTTCCTATCATTTCCTGGATGAGCTACCGCGTTGATTCGGGGCAGATAACGGGGTCGGTTAGGGAGACGCTAGCGCCAGTAAATAGACGCCTTTAAGGTTGAGCAAGTCGGTATAGTGAATCGATATGAGGGAAAAATGACGCTGGGACGTTAGATGGTACGCTACTCTCGCGGGACTCTGCAACGCTGCATGGCCTATTAGTGGATTAGAATGTCGAGTGACCTGTTCTGTACTTTGACAGTCAAGTAGTTTGTTACTGTCTGCTTCTGGTTGGTTGGTGGCGTTTCTGTTTTTATGATTAAGTGCCTAAACGCTCTCTTGCACGGTCAAGTAGTGCAATAATTTTGATACACGACTCTCGTAAAGCTATCTAAAAACGCCACCTAGCGTTTTCTCATTGTTAAATAAAAAAGTAATATGTATGAAGGCGCGCGTATTGCGTAAATTACGACTGCAGTCGGCGCATGCCAAATGCACAAGCTTCAACATCTGTCAACATTGTAAAAGAGTTTGGCATTTGCACCTGTTTTTGTTTGGTTCCGCCGGCTGAATAGTTTATGTTTATAGTCTCGATTTTCCTCTATTGTGTTGATCACCTTAATATTATTTTAGCCGATCTAAATTTAGAGCCTTGGTGTTGAAAAGAAAAAAGCTAACTCGCTTGACCTGAGTTGGTGACCCAGTGCAATGGAGGAAATTGTGTAGAGGGAAAGGGTGAAAAATCTCATCGTTTTTTATCGATTTCTTTCGGTTTCGCTCGGACAATGCGGAAAGCGTGTTCATGCAACAACAAAAATGTAAATATTGATTCGACGCTAATGCGACTGTGTCACGGTTTGTTGATTATTTAGGCCGAACGACACCTTACTTTAAGGGCGACGAATTAGGGAGAGATTTTCTGTATGTCGGGCGTCGAGTAATCGGTCGCTTATTGTGTACACGAACGCCTGTGCCGTTGCTGATTAGCGGAAAGAATGTATCCGCATCGATTTGTTAGCCGGCGCCTCGTTATCTGCTTTTTGTCTCTGAGGCCTGACTGCAGCATATCTAGTTTTTTTAGTTAGACGATTTCTGTTCGGATCCACTGTTTACACTCCTTAAAAAAAGGCGTCTATTGTATGAAATGTTTATTTTCTATAACGCTTAACGAAGCCGATTACGTAAGGGTTTGGGACTGAATTGACGGCAATTCAATCAACCGGTTGCCGGCTAGCGCAGATATATATTATTGTAGTCGGCGCCTTCAAGGACAACGAACGCGTCTCAATTTTTTATTCCTATGCACTTCGATATTAAGCTGACCTGTTTTATATTTAAAATTTTTTTCAGTGACGTAAAAATAATCAAGGATCCACATACACTCAAATCCAAGGGCTACGGTTTCGTGTCGTTCGTCAAGAAAGAGGTTTGTAGGCGGTATTAGAATAGAATAGGAGAACAAAAGGCGGGCGGAGCGGATTCTAATTGCCAGAGCGTTGGGCGAGGACGGAATAAGCAATGAGTCTAGCCTTTTCATTCATATCTATCATGCGGCCGCCTTTTAATATCGAGTTAAATAAAGCTAGACGGTGCCTGCTTGATGGCAATGTAAGGCGAATTGAAGCAATTGCAGAACTGTCAACTACTTTAAGGACTGACCGCCTCGGGCTGTAACTATAGTCGGTCGGCTTGACCGTGCTCTGTAAAAAAAAAAAGGAAAGCCGAATGATTCTGACTGTTCTCGACTAAATTATTCAATAGACGATGCGCGTAAATTACATTTACCGTTTAAGCCGTACGTTTATATAGGGAAAATATGCTCACTAGAAGTTTATCTTTCACTGTATTAACATAAACAGCCTGCAAACTATATTCAAAACGAAAGTTTGCATTGGTAGCAAAAAAAAAACTAAGCTCTCAGCTTACCAACAACCGAAAATTACTTGATTAATTGGCGGATATATGATGAAATTATTCGGTATGACCTACGTTCAAAGTAATGATGACTTTTAATGGAGCATAATGTACTATCCTTAATCACTCATACATTTGCGGAATAGAGGGAAAATAAGTTAATTTACCGCTCTTCGCCGAGTTCTTCCTGCTCTGTTTCCGCCGTCGGCGGATGTCAATCGTTGTTAAACAGAAATAAGCCAATTTCTTTTTTGTGTTTAGGATGCGGAAAATGCTATCCAAGGAATGAATGGACAGTGGATTGGTTCGCGAGCAATTCGAACAAACTGGGCTAGCCGAAAGCCTTCAGCACCACAAGATGCTAGAAGTAAGACATTTCATAATATCAAACTATATGTGTCATTTTCCAGACTATATACTATAACTATTCCATTCTGGTTTCAGACCAAAAACAATTGACTTATGATGAGGTTTTTGGACAAAGTTCGCCCACAAATTGTACCGTATATGTCGGTGGCATATTATCTGGTTTAACCGGTTGGTGGCGCAGCTTGTAACAGAAAGAAATTCTATTCTTTTTTTCTTGCAGAGGAATTAATGCACCAGACTTTTGGAGAATTGGGGAATATACAAGAAGTTAGGGTATTTAAAGACAAGGGATATGCTTTCGTTCGGTACGACAATAAAGAATGCGCAACAAATGCTATAATTAAGTATCATGGAACGGAAATCGCTGGCCATATTGTTAAGTGTTCATGGGGAAAAGAAAGTCCAGACGTAGGCGGTAGTGCAACGGTAAAAACATTTAATAAATTCCTATGCTTTATCTTCTAAAATGTATTTATAACATTAAATAGACCCAGTATACTGCTCCAGCCGGTGCTGCTAATGCAGGTTATTACGGAGCACCCCCTCAAATGGGTTATGGTTACGGTTATGGACAGCAAGGATATGGTGTTCAAGGAGGAGGATATAGCGTTCCTCCTTATCAACAAGTACGAGGAGCTTTTTCACCGTTTTTACTTGCATATGTTTCTTAACTCATCATTTTATATATAAGTGCTTTCTTAATTAATATAATAAACTATTCTTCAGGGTTATTATGGACAGCAAGGATATGGGATGCCGATGGGTCAGTGGCCTGGTTATCAAGGTCAGAATCCACCGCCGGCGCAAGGCGCTTATTCTATGCAACAAGGTTATATAAATAAAAATTAGTTTTTAAAATAATTTAATTTTTCTCTAGTAATCTTTCCATACATGAACACTTTTTATAGTTGTTATAAATAAAACCCTTTCGTTTATTGTAATTTTTAAATAATATTTTAGTTTTTGATCAACGATAGTCTAAATTAAAATAGTTTTCTTGACCTAACGTCTATATGGACACTAAATGTCGGTTTCTAAATTAAAAATCGGCTGAAATAATGAATAAAGGAAATAACAAAAATGTCGTAGCATCAAAAACTAAATGAGGTTACACAACTACTTCAAATTCGTGCATGACCTCCCTTTTTCCTCTTTTTTATTCTTTTTATTCTTAAAATTTTTAGGCGGTGGTAACGGCGGTCAAGGATACTAAATTTGGGAAAGTAAGGAAGAAAACTGATCGGTTAAAACAGGTGATTTTGCATGACTTTTCTTCAGAATGCTTTTTTTAGTGCTCTTTTCCATTATAAATTTTATAGTTGTATTCATTTAATAAAATCTGCCATCCGGCAGGAATGCAGCAGTAACAACCGTTGCTTCATCAGTGCCTACATCACCGACGAGCTCAGCTCAGCCGGTTGTTTTCCTCCAGTCCGCCTAGTAACTCGTTTTAATTTTGAAGGAAACGTTTGGATGAAAAAATATAGTTGTACAGAACGGTGTAGTTTCGTCGTCTGCAGTAACGTATATATTGCTTTAGTGTAATTATAAATTAATTGTAAATATGTTAGCGAATGTACCGCTGCTCGGCTGCTGTTAATCTGTATATTGTATTTGTTATAAGTGTTCTGTTTATGCATCTGTACATACAGGATACGCAATATATGTACACTTCATATTGAAATATTTATATATATATATATATATATATATATATATATACCATCATTTATATATATTTATACCAATATATATATATATATTTTAGCACAAAATCTGCTCCTGTTTTTATGATACTTTGTCTAGCCATATAAGGTAACAAAATACGTGAATTTTAGGGGTGAAACTTTAATTGAAAATTTAGGAAATATATATTGCAACCATAATTAATTTGATAGTTTGACAAATTCAAGCAGATAGTCATTCAAATTTCATTGCGATATTTTGGTTTGAAAATTAATCTTTTGAAAAATTTTTGTATCCTATCTGTTTGGGTTACGAAAATTTTCACAATATGAAGTACAGTATATTATCCTATCTTAAAATAGTTCTATAAAATATCGAAAACTTATGTTCACATGGCTCTTCAAAGTTTTAATGATAATAGGATCTTGTTTTGTATCTAACTCATGTATACATATAGATGTATATATAGTGAGCAGTTTTTGCTATAACAAATTGTCATAAGCGTCTTATAAAAATGCAGATGGGCTTGTTGTATAGTCGCACGTGATGGGAAAAGAATTTTCTACTGATTTCTTATAGCAAAGAGATGTCGGGTTTGGTGATGTTTGCATTGCCATAAAAACCATTTCAACAATTTCATTCATTTGTTCACTATTTTTTTTTACATATTAATTATATGTAAAACCCGTAAGAGATTCAATAAGCAAACAAATATAAATTCATGCCGCAATGCTCAAACGGATTCATTCGAAAAGTTTATGTATCAATTATGTATGCTCTCTACATATTGCGTCTCAGTTTCTGTTTATCATTTATCTTGTCATTGTTATTTTAAAGAATTTGTGCCTAAGTTTTCTTAATTCATTTTAGGGCAAAAGAATTTGTTTGTTATACATAGGATTTTTACAGCGAAATGTTGTCTGTAAAACTGTTAACAAAATACAACAATGATGCGTGCGATATTTATACATATGATATACCCAAGTCTTATTTCATTTAATCTGACTTTGAGATAATTCCAACTTAGCTTTCAAGCACTCCTGTTACATGGGCGATAGGCTGGATTGAAATTCTGTAATGCTAAATTTAATACTAAAAGTTTGAGACGTAAGATTTCTAATTCAAAAAACTTTCGTTCAAATGGTAATAATTTTAATAGTTGATCAAAAGACTTATCTTTTATACCTTCACAATGACTTAACTAAGAATATCATACTTAAATGGAAATACTTTATATGAATATAAATATATGATTCAAGTTCAACTAGAAATATCTATTCAATTCGAAGTTAAAGTGATTGAAATGCTAAATCATGTGACATTCCATGTTTTATGCGATATCTAAAGAGTTATTCTATAAAATACTTCTTTCAGAAGATCACCTGTTTCATAGTTGGTTATCTTTGCAGAGTTTTTTTCTAGTGAAAACTAATTTTTCTTTAGGTAAGATTTAAAATATAATAATTTGGTGATAGTCTTGCTTGAACTCTAAAACAGTGAATAATTTATTAAGATTGTATAGGGTAAATTTTCTTTATTAAGTAAAAATTCATTAATCAACAGTCACTATATTTAATTTATCTACGCGTAAAAAACTTCAAAGATGTAATTAAGAGTTAATCTAAAAAAATTTAAAATTTATAGGCACACTGCTGCTCAGCTGGCTATTTGACAACGCAAATTCTCTCTTCAAGAGATGTCGCATGCAATTATATCGAATTTGACTACGTGAACTAGCTTTGTATTTTAAACCATAATATATATTTTATATTAAATACATGGTCATTCAGCATTTTGCGTTAGATTTCGTTCAAATTATTCACATTGTAGGTACTGTCCAGAAGCAATTCGAAATAAAAGAATTTACATTTTTATATATTCACTTTCGACAGCATGATCGCAGAAGGAATGGGAAAGAAGCTACGTTTTGTAGCTTTTACATCTATCTGCCAACTTGTCTTTATCATTCTCTTTGCATCTTTAGGAGAGTACAGCCCTGAAGCAGATCCAACGAAACATCATAGACTGATATCAACGTTAAATCTGAATGCTTATCCAAGTATAATAATAATTTTTATTTTACACATTACATCTGCACAATCAATACTTTTCCCATTTGACCACTCTCTAACGATTTAAACTTCAGTTCACAACCAAAATGACATATATTTTATTAAAATTATAGTTAACATTTTCTTTTCACTGAATATAAAACTCTTTGTACAAAGTCTTATCATAGACTTTTCCCCTGCTTTGTTGTGACATGTTTTACTCACAAAGATATATCATAACAATGGCATATTCTATATATCATCTATTCATAAGATGTAGAATGATGCTCTCCATTATAGTTAAGTAATGATATAAGTTTTTCTCTTTCACGAACTAGTGTTTCAAGACGTTCATGTTATGATGTTTATTGGTTTTGGCTTTTTAATGACGTTTTTGAAAAAGTACGGGTTTGGAGCTGTTGGTTTAAATTTTTTAATATCTGCGTTTACTATTCAATGGGCAACAATTTTTCATGGTTTATTCCTTCTTGAAGGACATGATACTGTTGAACTCGATATTCTAACGTTAGATACTTTCAAATTTTTAATTTTGTGCTAGAATTTAAAGTAATGTACTTCCAGCTTGCTGAACTCTGACTTTACGGCAGCTGCTGTCTTAATTAGCTTCGGAGCCGTCCTTGGAAAATTTAGTCCCTTACAATTATTATTTATGGCGCTCGTTGAGGTCGTGCTTAAATTTGCAAATGAATATATTTTGTTGGAACATTTCCACATTTCTGATGTTGGTGGCTCGATTATAGTTCATATTTTTGGAGCTTACTTTGGTCTTGCAGTTGCTCGTACCGCATTTAATCCAAACACTACGAAAGCAGCTGAAGAGAAAGCCTCTTCCATGTACCATTCTGATTTGTTTGCTATGATTGGTTCGATATTTTTATGGTTGTTTTGGCCTTCATTCAATTCGGCAATAGCGGTAACTCCCGACGGCCAATTAAGGGCTATTATAAATACTTACTACAGTTTAGCAGCATGTACTGTATTGACTTTTATTGTGTCATCTTTAGTTCATAAACAAGGTAAATTTAATATGGTCCACATCCAAAATGCCGCATTGGCTGGTGGAGTGGCAATTGGAACTACGGCAGATCTAATGTTGAATGGATGGGGAGCGCTACTTATTGGTTCGCTTGCTGGTATAGTATCAACTATGGGTTTTGAATATTTACAACCACTTCTAGAGAGAATAAAACTTCACGATACATGTGGGGTACATAATTTGCATGGAGTTCCTGGTATTTTGGCTGGTATAATTGGTATTATCGCGGCTGGTGTGGCAAAAGAGAGTGATTACGGAAATTCGTGAGTATTACTGCAAAAATAAATAACGTATAATCAATGTCTCTTGGAGTGTATAAGTAGAATAGGTATAATCGATGCCTGTGGTAGTCGATACATTTTAGTTGAAAGACTAGTCGCGTGACTATTAGTAAATCCCCCTGTAAAATGTCTACAGACTCTATATAATCTACCCATCTCGAGCACCAGTAGAAGGTATATTAAAATCTAATTTAACAAATGAAGTAAGTATATGAAATAACATTATACATTCGAGATCTCACGATATATTTCTATTTAGGACTACCTGATCGAGCCCGGATCAGGCAGATCCGCTTCTTCTCAAGCTCTCTATCAGCTTGCTGCGATCTTTGTAACACTAGGAATCGCTATCTTGGGTGGAGTAGTAACCGGTCTAATTCTGCGTTTGCCGTTTTGGGACGAACCGGATGAAAACGACAAGTTCGACGACAACGGAGATTGGATTCTAGAAGATGATATACCGGACGTTGTTATAAAAGGGAAGATAGTGGCTCTTCTAGACAGTCGTTAAATATTAATGCTGTAGAACGAATAACTAGGAAAAAAAAGAGGAATGAGCTTTGATATATTTCAAAACATAATCTGCGTGTGTACTGTTTCAACTAAGATGAAGACATGAAAGATATTGGTTTTTAGCACCGTTAAAATAAGCGGCGTTATCTCCGGAATATAATTATACTTAAGGTTTACTAAAGTATAATATATCATACTAGTTTAATCTTGTGGCATCTCTAATTTAGATTTTAATCAGCATCAACTTCAAAACATTTCCTTTTACAGGAGACAGTATTTACTAATTGATTGAGCAAAAGTTACCCAAAAATGTTAAACGTTTACATCAGATTTTATTATATAAAAAAGACTTCGAAAGTAGTAAAAGAGATACTTAATACTTACTATGAAAGTTAACTGGAAAAGGCTTTTCCCCACTTGTTATTTTATAATCAATAAGTTACGAAAGAATTCAATAGATATTGGTTGATATATAATTCATTTAAATTTGATTGAAATGAGGCTAACATCTCATAATATGAAAATGAAACTTAAAATTTTCCTGACATTGTCAGTTCATATTATCTTTTTTATTCAAAAGATGGAAGAAACTATTCTCTAGGGTTCTTTTCTGTTTGGTGAAGTGAAGGGGCATACAAAATATGAATGTTAGGTAGCTATCTCTAGTCTAGAAGAGCCACTATATCTCACAGACAAAACAACGAATGAAATAGATATCGTAGAGAAACGAGACACTGGAAATGGGCATGCCTCTTCCGATGATTGTTCATTATGATCGACTATAGAAGTTGATTTGAACTATTTAACGTGAAAAGCTTATTCTATTTTATAGCTTTTTTTCACGCCTCTCGGCGTAGTCTTAAATGATTTGGTATATTTACCGCTAGGTGGAGCTCAATAAAGCGCTATCTATTGCTCATTATTTTTATATTATTATCAGACAGATAAAGAATCGATCATATGATATCATTTAAACTGGTACAAAGATAAACTGAATACCACTTTTATATGCAACCCTCTGAATTAGCGCATTACGTTTGAGAGCGTTGCATTATTTATTATAGGCCTATAGGACACATCTGGTATAGGCCTATGTATTCCGTATAGACTCTTTGGTATTGACGATCGAAAGAAGCGTCGTTTTTTTATCGAATTTCCCCTCACATATATCATATCATTTGCATGTTAAGAAAACTATTGATGATCATTGAAATATTTCTAAACGAAATTTTATTAATATAGATTATGCATTGTTCTAGTATTTGTATATATAAATACGATAATATATACAATATACATATATACTGAATATATATATATTGCTGTTCATATATATATTTAACAGTTTTATTAATGCTTACTATACGAATATATAATATGTGAAGTGTATTTACGACATATATGCTTACTGGAGGGTATCCCGCATTTATATCAAACAGAATACTAGTTATTTTTATTAGGTATTCAATGCACAAATCATGCATAATTGATTACTTAATTAAAAATTTTTAAATGTAACTTTTCTTTATGTCTTTCTAAGATCATAGTAATACACCTAATGGCGTTTATCTATTTCCATATCATCTTTCTATTCCGAACCGTGTGAATTTTCTATCCTCAGCTTCAATTTTCTAATTGAAGTAATAACATGGTAGCGATCGAATGCTATTTGTCATAGTATGAAAACTTTCATCGGATAATCAGAATCATTTGAAGTATTTTCGCGAGAGATTTATTAAATTTAAAAATAAATGTAAAATATAGGATATGAATCTATGAGGTACTATATTTCCTAAAAGTAACGTTATTCATACATATTTTACAATTATTAGTGTTGTAATTAACTTTCGGTGTTGTTCTATGGACCATATTCTTCTTCTAGCAAGTCATTAAATTTAACTATAACCTCGTTATATATCAAAGAAGTTTGATGGTAAACAGTAATGAGCTAAAGATAAGGAATTAAATTTATTTATTTATTCTTTTTTGACTCGGGATTTAGATGGATTCGAATTTATGGAATTCATACGGTAGACAAGGGAAATCAAAGCACTACATTTATCTTTAAGAAATTAATTTATTCATATATTGAATTTTATCAGCAATGATGTAGCAGTATTCACGATTTACACTAAATCTTCTCTTAACTCTTTGTGTGTTTTCTCTGGTCAAAATAGTTCTCCTAAGGGTTATTTGGCTGTCTTTTAACGCAGCCGATTCGGAAGTCAAACAAAGATTAGGGGCTATACTTTATACTTATTCCCCCCAGCGGCTTATTTAGAAACTAATTTCCAGGAATATTCCTTATCAACCTCAATAAAAATACCTACTAAAATCCAGACGAGAACAAAAATTTAAAAGTCTCTTACATATTCTCATATTCTTGATACTTCTGTAGAATTTTTTAATGAAATATAGAATTTGCCCGAGGCTTTACAAAGGGAACTGTTTCCATTGCGAGGATTGGTATTTGGGGAGCAATTCTCCTTAGAAGTACAGTCTGGACCTTTGTCCGTATTAAGATTTTGCTACATTTCAGAGATAAATCGGTTCGACAGCAACGTTTCCCTAACTAACGAAACAGAATAGGGCATATCTCCCTCATTTTGCGACTCGTAATTTTTTTTATTCCTCACACGACATTGTTCATACTATAAGTAGCATGCTGAGAAATTTTGTCTGTCTTCTGGGAACTTTTGTGGTTGTGCTATTCTGAAGGGATAACAAGGTGGAGGCGGATAAACATATAAATATATACCTACAATTATCTTTGCTAATCCCTCACATCAATAATGTATTATTTATCTTCCTTTACAGCATATTTGAAATATCCCGACAGAAATCCCACAGCTTGATATCTAATTAAATAAATAATAATGGTGGAAATTAAAATAACTCTTTCATATTTATCATTCTAGGAAGACGTGTCGATACTTTAAATTCCACTTTTACATTATGATCAACCTGTTATAATGTGCATCTGGAAAAACTAAAAATGAAGAAAGAGTATTGACTCTATTTCCGCCTCAGTACTTTATTATGTTTCATTTTTTCATTTCTATTAATTTTCTTTTAAAAGGATAAGTGTGTTTTAAGGTCGAACAAGTATTTTCATATTTTCTCATCTCAAAATGACCGGAAGAGAAGGAAATATTTGAAGAAATGCTAAGATGTACTCCCTAGAAAGAAGTCAGATTACTCTTCATTGAATGTGAGCGCAACAAAGAGAAAAACAAAGATGATACCAATCTTTTTATGTTTACTGCTCATTCTATTCGAAATAATAAATTTTGAAATACGATAACGCTTTTCTATACTATAGCACAATAGTTTCTATTGCGTCTATTGCAATACATGCTTACACAAAATAAGAAGCATGTGTAAAATGAAAAGTTACATTAATTAGGACAAATAAATCCTTACAGCATTTATCTCTATAATGTATTATTTTTGCACCTAATTTCTTAAGGTTCCAAAAAGAGTTTTCTACGTAATCAACATGTTTCGTTATTGAGTTCGTCATAGAAGTTACGTCTAGCTGATTAGCATTCCAAATTGATGAGTAATAAATAATTGTACATGCATACATGTTCGTTAATACTGGTTTGGATCTATCGAACTTACATTTCACCTGAAAAATTATAATTTACTATAATACAAAATAAATATATACTCTGTTGCAAAAAAGATGTTCATAACGTAAACATGTATTTAACTGCAGATGTCATTGTTATACCTTCATAAGGCGATATTTACTCCAATGAACGCTTCCATTTCTTTTTATCTTCGCTGGATGAGAACGGTATGCAGCCGAATAAGAATCATACGAAATTCTAAGTGAAGTGCACAAAGGCAATTTCTAATTGCAGCTTAACTTTTTAGTTTTTACATTTACCTACAATTGTTGGGTTTAATATCAGGAATCCAGATATACTTATCAGGAAGGCTGATCATATCAACATCCGAATCTGGCCACGATAACCTTGAATCTATCCAAGACTAAAATACGTTAATAGAAAATAGATAAATCAGGATAATTCATAGAAAGTTAAATATTTTTATTTCAAAATATTACATAATCCTCTGCCAATCTTAATGTAAACTCTCCAAGTTTAGGGTCTCCATCAATAATTTCAACCAACCTAATCATCATTTCAACAGTAACTTTTTGTTTCGCATCTCTTATAGGTCTCGATAAGATGCAAGCTGATTTGCAGTTTTCTAAAACCTGCTCAACCACAACTTGCTCTTTAAATTCCACCTGTCCTTTAGCTGCGAATCCAAGGCAGACGAAAATAGCTGAGAAGCATAAAAAAAGCATTACCTTCCTGTTCCACTGATTCTAAATGACTGAAAACCTCGTGTCCAGCGTCTCAATAAAATCTAAACATAATTTCTGACTAATTATTTGAATTAGAGTGATAAATGACAATTTAGTATGATGGATGAGAGTGTTATAGAGCATCAAGGAAAAATACTTATTAAGTCCGTTACGATCCTGATTTCTTTTCATCTATGTCTTCTTATAGCAGATACAAAAGCATCTCGTATTTTGGTAGCCTACATTCAAGAAACTTCTTTCATGGACGAAACGAAATTATAATAAAATTCTATTAAGAAACTGGCGCATCTAACTTGAGCAAAATATGTCATCAACTTTATAAGATATGAAGGAGATATATCACTAAAAGTGCTTCGAATATTCTTATTAAAGTATCAAGTCCCACTCGCTTTTTCTGCAGGAAATTAACTGTAATTAAAAAGCACATTTTCAAGTAAACCTTTTTAACAATATCACAAAAGATTCATTTAATCATATACGAGATTTTAGTAGCGGAGAAAATTTTTTATGTTTTATATATAGTAATTTGATTGCATTGAAATATGAATAAAAAGTTTTTGTAACCAGCAAAAGTTTATTAAATTAATAAAATACCGTTTGCATGAATAACAATAGGAAGACTTTGTAATTAACATTATTTCTTGCAATAAAAGTATTTACTGACTCGTGATCTACATAAATGGTTAAATTTTTCAGTTGCTGTATTTTTCCTTGACATAAAAGACAAGTAACAGAAAGTTGAGACCATTTGTATTATAAGATAGTTAACTATTACGAATCACAGAAATCAATCAATTGCTTCACAGCTCTTTCGTAATTGAGCACTGCCGAAAGGATTATTTTTAGTACGTATAAATGACTTAGAAACCTCCAAAGGGATTCTATCTTTTCAAGTTTAAGCGCTTCTGAATTTAAACATTCTCAAACCGACTGTATTCCATCATTAACGAGTACTAAATGCCTTTTAGCATACAGCGATTTGAGAAGTATTATTCTACCACTGTAATAAGGGCGTAGTAGTATCTTAATTTCAGGAAATGAGCTACTTAGAGTCAATTTTAGAATAATCAACGAGGCTCCTTAGTCAGGAAGCTCTTTCGTAATGTTTTTACAGAGCTTAAAAAGTCAAAAGTTAAGAATTCAAAGTTATCTTTAGCAGTCAGTTCAACATAAATAAAAGCTATATTTGAGTAATAAATTAGTATACAAATATTCTTTGCGTTTTTCAACTGAACTTTTCCGTCAAGTTAACAAGAAAACGAAAGTAAATTTAGCGGAATTATTTGTGAATCCATTAAGTATCATACAATCCGGAAAGAATTTATTATAAATATTTAAAAGGGTGATAAAAGAAAAAATGGATCAAATCGAATTGCAAGTGATGATCACTATAAAAACAAATTAGTCAGAATCTATCAAGTGTGAATGTTTTTTAGATAACATTTAAAACATGTAGTTTCTTTATAGAATAAAATTATATTTTAATTCAACAAATCTTGAATCATAACTTGAGGCGAATAAGGAAATGCTGCTAAAATTTCTTATTTTAATCAAGTCTACTATAAAATTAATTTAATTCCCAATTAAGTGGAATACTTGCTTATAAGTATTATCGATTCTGTTGGTATTCTTTTCGTCAACCGACTCGCTTATACCAGAGTAAACATTAAAGAAAATCAGTAATCTAAATCTAAATTATCATTGTCATCCGATATATACCAAAAACGTATTTGCATCAATAATACTATTTTATCTTTATTGTGTCATACAAACTTATTTGAATAATATGACCGCAGATTGCCTGCTACCCGCTGTACCCGTCAAAGATTTTTTATTCATTGCATATGAAAAGGTTCATAAAAGAATCATTATATAATTCACGGTTCGAGGAGATATTTTGAGATCTTTTCTCAAAAGGGAACAGGAACGTATGTAATTAATTAAATATTTAAATATAAATATACATTAATATCTGAAAAACTGTTGGATCCGAACAGTTCAGTAGTAATTGAAAGCTCTTTGTCCCGAATAGGAATCTTTTACGTAAGACATTTTTTAAAACAAGTAAATAGTTAGATACAATATTGCGACATCATAAAGTTTGAACAATTTAACAAATATAATATATTTATTATGAGAGCCGACTGTTGCGTTTTTGATTTATTAAATGATACAAGAGTTGTATCTAGTTTACTAGTTCTTTATTTATTAAAATGGACTTCATGTTTATATTAGTAAAAATCCTCGATCATCGCTGGAAAAAGACTCTTTAGCGTCTTTCGCTTTCTGCAATAATTTCCTAAGTTAACTGTGGTGCATATTATAAACATTCTATAGTATATACTATTATTGAGAATTTAGAGTCGATTCTAAACCAACTTTTTAGTCTTTTGAGAATCTCTTCGGTCCTTATTTTAAAAACGACCAAAATTTAGCCGCTATTGATTTATTAGTAATAAGTATTATTAATTCTTGGATTTTTTATCAATTAAAATACTCAAGGACGTGAATATGATAATAGGACAAGGATATCAATTTAATATCCCTGCCCGTAGAATTCTCAATAACTTAATTTCCGATAATCAATTCAACAAAATTGGTAGTTATCGAATCGTCGTTTTATTGAACGTCTAAGAATATGAGTTTAGCTTAGATAATCACATTCTGGCTTCAATCCCTTAATTGCATTTCTCGCCGGAACAGCATGATTTTGTCTTCTTTTCTTCCTGTTTTGGCTTTCCGCAGCATCCACCTGAAGATTTTCCAGCCACATGGAATGGATTGATAATTTCAGAGGAATGCTTTTGCTCTTCAACTGTAAAGAATTTCGAGTAACGTGATCCTTTCAACACACCAGACAATTCACCAGTAACTGGCACGGGTATACCTTTCTGTTTATAAGTTAAACATTTATTGGACCTATTGATTTATACAGATACGTTACCACTAACCTGAAAACTGTGATTGTAATCAAATTTCAAATTAGACTCAAAATCTTCTATTCCGCCTTTATAAACTGCAATAGAGTTTCGAAAATCTCCTTTCGGAATTTTGAATAATCTGTACGTAGCTGATATAAATTGAGCACAGCCTGAAAATGATGAGATAAATAAAAGCTATATTTTATAAAACTCAGATGATTAACCAAGAATTTTCTTTAGCTCCTTATTCTTTATATCAATGTAACTCGCACTCACCAGTAGCGGCGAGGTAAAACCTACTTTTATTGCCAAATTAATTAAATCTTCCCAGTATAATGCACCAGCTATGCACTCCCCTGTGTAGAAAATTCATTAGTATTAATAATTATCATGCATTCTTCCTTTTAATTTAAGACATACCCCATAGGACCTCATTTTTTAGAATTTCTTCAGATAGACGTCGATCAGCGTAAACGTCACTAAAATAGAACTCACCTCCTTCCTGGGTGGTATTTGGTGTTAAGTGTAGAGGAGAGCAGTAATGTTATTATATTAAATCTAAATTACCTTTAGAACTTTGTAAGCTTCCGACAGGACGGCCTCCTTATCTGGTGATAGGTTTACGACACAATTAGACCTGGAACGAATAGCATATGAGAGCATAAAACAATTATCACTATTTTAATTACACAATGACGTCAAAAGTAGATGCTTTGATACCGGCCTCCGTTAGTTTTTCGATGTAGCCTTTCTTAAAGTCAATATTAGGTTTAGAATAACCAAATTTTTCGGTATGAAAAGAAATATTTCTATTCGCAACATCTAACTGAAAAGTTCTTTCATATTACATTAACATGACTTTGAGATATTTTATAAAATTGGCTGTCCTCGATTTTTCATTTACCTGCTCTTGTGTCATATCTAGCCCGGTAACATGCCCATTTTCACCAATTAATTTACTTAAGCAGAAGCAGTCACGACCAGCACCACAGCCAAGATCAAGAACTGTGCAATTTTCTAATGCAGGTGGTAAAACAATTCCGCAGCCGTAATATTTTTCGTGAACTTCGTCACTTAACAAGCTAAGGGCGTGTTTAACCGATTTGGACATGGATTCATTCTCCGATGTAGTACAAGCAGTCGTTTTCAGATCACCACTTTTTTGTAGCACCTTACCATAATAATCTTTAACACTATCATGTATTCCATCAGACATATTAATTTTGGTAAACCGTAGCAAATAGAAATTTATACGTCAAGTAGAAAAATCTTTTGCGCTAGCAGAATATTCAGGACCGCATTTATTTTTTAAATAATTTAAAGCCTTTATTATACTGTATATCTTTAAAAATGAATTCTCTATTGAAAGGTGACTTGCTATTTAAAACAAATTTTTTACATAAAAATTAATAATACTTTTGGAGGTATTCCAATTTGGTCTATATCAATATTTTTAGAGCGCTTCTTCTTAGGCCTAAGATGGAATCGACTAACAGAAAACTATTTATAAACTATCGGCCGCCTACCTATCAGATAAGTTGGCTATTGCAGATGAGCGGAGCCTGAAAAGGCCCGCTCTATTCAGGTTTGTACCTTCAAGTTTTTCTTTTTTTAAAATTTATTTTAACACGTGTTCTACAGTTTTCCGATAATTTCGGAATCGACTTTATAAATTTCTAAAATTATCTAGGCATGTGAATATTAGTAATTTTGTTTTTAGTTATTTTTGTGTCGAATTTACGCACACATAAAGATTTTGTAGATTTCCTAAAAGTTTTCGCTGATTCTCAAACTTTCTCACATTCCAGAGATCTTATGTAATGACGTAGTTTCTATAAAAATGTTGCTAGCTTCACAAATCTTTTAACGAATAGTTTCTGCTAGTGTATAAAAATAACTGTATTGGTACTCTGGTAAAATTTTCGTGAAGTGCTAAATGACTAGAATCTGTTTAACTTCAACCGGAAAAGCTCATTGGGCTGACAAATGGTTGCCATTTTTTCAAACAGATTTCTCACGAGAACAAGAACCATACTTAAAAATGGCTCGAGGAAGAGTAAGTAAAGTGATTCAAGACTATTTTCTGAAATAATAGATTGTCTTTTTTTAAATAGTCTTCAAGTTTTAGTTATGCTCATCACTATTATAGTCCTGGGACTGGATTTGCCGACTCATTAATCGATTCTTCTCCGGTGGTCCGTAGAAAGTTTGTTATTGATGACGATGATGACGGAGATATAGCGCCCGGATACTTTCCTGGTAAATTTCAATATATGTTTATTGTAATCTACTGACGACGTAAACTCAGTTTCACGAAGAGCTGCAAGAATAACTCATGCAGGCGTGGATGATATGGAAACCGAACACATTTCTTCAAGAAGACAAGATCAAAGACTATTGAATGATATAACGAATAAAATGGTAAGTTTAACCGCTTCTTTCCCTAACTTCCTTTTGCTTTTTTGCTGTGTATCCGTTATTCATGTGGCGCGTATAGTATAAAATAGAACTCGAAGGTATAAGGCCAGGCTACAATGCTTGGACTCAAAGTGGTCGAAGATTTCCGAAGTTTTTGAAGAAACAGAAAATTTCAAATCGGGGTAACGAAAATGCAACTATGGAACGGCCAATAATTCCTAAAAGAAAAATAAAAAGAGTGGAGACAGAAGAAATCGCTCCACCAACTCTCGAAGAGCGATTGCTGATGCTAAAAGCAAGGGCAAATTTACTGCCAAGATCATATGTAACGGAATTGAACTACGTCGAACAACCTTTCCAACGACCAATTTCATCCTACGTGCCCTACACCCCGATAGATAGAAGAGTCAATGAAAACCGATCAAAGGTTTCGGGTTATGAAGATCTTTTAGATGACAGTAGCGGACGACGTTTGCGCGGTGGTGGAGGTGAGATTTTCAATAGATAAGAAATTCAGCTGTTAATATTGCGACCCAAGTTAACTCAGAATAAAATAGATCTCTAATTCAACCCATTTTACAACTTAATTTAATCGTGCGTAAACACATTGGACCTATTCCATTTACAATTAATACGAAAACGTCATACATCTAACGATTTGTTTGATCATTTGAGATTGTGGTTTCTTGTCTTTGGTAAAGTTTCATCAAACAAATCGTGAGATGGCGCTTTTAATACAGAAATACATTTTGCCTACTTATAATCAGGATGTCCTGATTTACTTCTCCGAATTTCCCCTTAACTCCACCACCGCAGGTCGTTTTGGAACTATCCAATATTTTTACTTTTAGAATATTTAAAATGTTTTTATATAATCTGATTTTATATTATTTCTAAAATAATAACTGGTTTTTATTTGCTTTTTCTACAAAAGTTTGAACATGTTTGTGTATCTAGTATAGCTTTTCCAAAACGAACTGCCTAGTTTGTCTCCTTACTTATTCCTAACCATAAGTTTGTTTTTTGAGCGATCTTAAATCATGTAAGTAATCAAAACAACTAAAGAACTAAATAATTTAAAAATATTTTGTACCAACTTCTTCGAACGTTTTATATAGATTGAAAGCTTTTCTTTAAAGAAAGTCATTGTTTCCATTTAAAAGTTTTTATCTGAAATAGAATTATTACGTTTGAAATCTTAAAACCAACCTCACATTTCTAGAGGCAATGTTTATTTTCAAAGCTTACTTGCTTCAAACCTCCGCAAGCTGTTGTTTGCCTTGCTAGCCATCTCCAACTTTCTTTTTCTATATTTTAAGTACTTTTGAAAAAACTGAAAACAATGAAACAAACGTTCGAAACAGGAGGGTACTGCCTCCCTATCGACAGCCACTGCAATACGGCTCGCTAGACGGTCGATAAGAAAATTTGAAATAGAGGTAGGCTTAATTATTAACCTCCAGTAACAAGTACTAAAAACCCCTTCATCTGTGTAAGATCGCTTCTCTAAAAATGTAGGTCGTGCAAACAACCGTTTTCTCGCAGTTGGTTTTTTTCGCTTTATAATGCGGTCACCATTACTTCTACAGCAGCAACTAGCCGTTTCGGGCTATCCAACGAACGACAGGCGTTCACCGGCTCTTTCGAATTATATTCAACCCCATGTACCGGCTTATGGAACCGCTGTAAGTTTCTTTGTCAAATTTATAAAATAAAATTCTTTTCATTTAAAATTTTTTAAATTATTTCATAGACGAAGACCCGACGATACCAAGGGCTTCCGCCAGGTGGGCCCGTTGCTCGTCTACGAGTCGTTTCTAACGTAAGAAAGATAACAGATTATTTTCAATTTTGAAATTACTTTAAGCTAGTCAAATCAGATATAAGCAAATCATTCCATTCAATGCTTATTTTATTTAGAGAAATTCTTTCTAAGCCTTGTAGCGAATTATTGAAATTATCTGCTTTGTAGGACTCTTCCTACCGCAATTCTTCAGATGTAGAATTGGAAAGACCGCCTTCATCTTATGAATCACTAAGAAATCGAGCGACTGATGCTAAGAACAAAATGCATTTGCACAAAACAATGTTGGACCGCTATTTACCAATTTCCTTTGGTCCTGAAAATGCTGTGGAATATGAGGTCGAGTTTAAATTTGATGAGTTGGCTCAGCGGATGCCGTCTTTGGATCCTCGGAGGCCAACACGGTATTACAGGGGTTCATCTTTACCTCCGCCTTCTCGTGGTACCACCAACAATAAGAGTTTTGCGGTAAGTTTATTTATTTTTCTTTAACTTTCTCGCATGACTCATTCATGAAAATACTATTATGGCTGGGGACTTATGGGAAAAGTTAGCTAGAGAATGTGGATTTATTATTTGGGGCGAGCTGCAAATAGAGAAGTGTAATTGGATGTTATATACATTTGGGGAAATTTCAAGTTCAGCTGGGACAAACTGTTTGGGGAGTTGATCGAATAATACATTATACAGAGTCGAGTGTTACATTAGTTACCTTTCCCAGTTCTTAACTAGTACAAAGACACTGTACATTTATCTATCAATAGTTACGATACATACTATATATAGACAACTTATTTGAGATGAATATATGGGGCGCACAATTATATAGTGCTACATTTATACGATATATTATATTGCCTGTGTAATAATTAACACCTGCATAATTATAGATAAAACGCCGAATAATAAATGTTTTAAGTGCTAATGCTAGTGTTCTGCTATATAGCTTTCGTGTCAAAACATATAGCATATCTTCTTCGTAATGGTGAAAATACCAAGATTCATTCACAATTATGATCAATTCCAATAGAAATTGAGTATTTAAATCTATTTAACTATCGAAATATGAGTTAGATTATATATAAATAAAAATTATAATTGTTTGCTTATTTAAACCTTAAAAATCAAATTTAAAATAGATTAGCTTTATGTCAATATTGAATCTTCTGCTCCGTTACTCAAAAATATCAATAAAAAGAAATGATAAAGATAAGGAAGTCCATTTACTTTTTACGTTGCTGATTCCATGAAAACACTGATTAATTTCAATGATTCAAAACTCTAAATATTACAATATAAAACAAGGGAATTGTAATTAAAAAGTGAACGAAAAGTGATGGAAGGCCAATTACACCTTTGAAATATGAAAAAAATGGAGCCAACCGAGTTCATTCAGAGACGTGACTGGTTTTATTTGTCCTTCAAAAACCAGTACCGTTTTTTTAGCTATAATCTCTTCAAGGAATCTCAGTAACTAGATTTAACTCCAATTAACTTATTGAAAAATGATAATATTAAGGTTCTAAGGAGAAAAACAATTTTAAAAATTGATTGAGAGAACTGTATATTCTTTTCGATTGCCTTTAAAAGTTAGCACTGTATAAATAAAACATATTTTCTCTAAAAAAAAAACTCATTTCGTTAAAAATGAGGTTTCTTGTAATCGAATGGAGTAGAAAAAATTTGCTTTGTTAGTTTACATGCGCTTGGCAGCTTTTTTCCTTTGTGCTTTACTGTCGTTGCTTCGTTAGCACTCTTTCATCTCTATTATATTTTTCTAACAGGAGTCTTATAGACCTGGAATGTCCGATACAAGGAAGAAACTTCGACAAGTTATTTGCCAAGCAAAAAAGGATCCCCACTACTTTGCTTGAGACAGGTAATTAGCCCCATTTGAATATGAAATTAGATGATCAAATTATTTTACTAATAGCAATATAACCACTTCCAGTTTAGACGTTGGCGTGCTTTTGCAGACTTCTCTGAACTCCTCGCTCGATACCTTAGCTTCTTTGTTTTTCGTGAAAGTTTATGATGGCGATCTTTCGGGTTCATTTTTCTTACTCTATTCGTTGATGGCCAGTTTCAAAATAAAATAGTAAAAGCATTTGAATAAGCCATTAACGGATTTGAGTATTTTTGTGTCTTATTAGAGTTTTGTTGCATATAGTACAAAGTGAGAAATTTGAATAAGTGTAGTTTTTGCTTCTTTCCGTAAAATATAGCTCAGAGAAAACAGTATGTAACTCATATTTATCAATAATTTTTTAAACATAAAAACATCTCGGAGGACTCTTTCTTTGCTAATGTAAATTCTCCTAGAGAATTATAGCAGTTAGAAAATTCTTTTAATTTTAAAAGCGAGTACATAATTTATACGATTTAGCGTCACAATCCTTTCTGTCAAGAAAATTTCAATAAATGTTCAAATTTTCTTAACCCTATAATTAATTTCATATTTTTAAAGCTTTTTAGAACTCATGTTGAAACAAACATCAGTTAAAATATGAGATGAGAAAAAAGCGTGTGCGAACGTGATATGGTAATGAATTTTCCCCCAAATGAATTTCTCTATGCCATTTTTGATACTCAACTCTAATATAATAGTTCTTTTATCAAAAATTTCTGACAACATTTTTTGTCATGCTTTCTTTTTACTTTCTATCTTATATATAATCTTGTAAAATCAATAAGTCGACGAAGGTTAGCTATGATGCAATCTGTTCCTCTGCCATCTGTCATTCTATAATAAAACGAACTCGCTTGTGCTACGAAAATTCGAATATTATTAACCTGTTGACAAACCACACAATACCAGATGTCAATATACTAAAAAGATTTATAAACTTTTTACAGTTGCATAACAAAGATGTCATACATCTTATTTATGTTTGTAGGGATAAATAAATTTTCATTTATGGCACGCACTTTGTGGTCCATAGGAAATGTTATTCAATGAAAATAACTTTGTTAATAGAAAACACGAAAACTTATTTGATAAACTATACAGCCAGACAAGGAGTCAAACTGTATAGATTTTTCAAGTAGTATACGAGCTATGGCTCTCTTTCTATTATTTATTATCCTGCATTATTTTCCAGAGGTATTATCATCGAAAAATTATAAAAAATAACGAGAATATCATCAGTCTTATAAGTTCTATAATCTTGGAATGTTTATTGTTGCTGATTTTTGGTATAAGCTGCTTGATACTGGAATTGATCTAAAAGGAATTAAAATAAAAAGAATATACAATTGTTATTAGTTAGAAATTATTTCTACAGTTTATCTAATGGACTTTATCCTTTGAAATGTGTAGTAAAATGTTTCACAAACCTTTTTAAAAACATGCAACCGACAATTAATATTGTAGCACTTATGATTATAGCCACCAACATTATTACAATAATCCACACCCCTGAAATGTATCGAAACAAACCTATTAATAAGCTTTGTTATATTTGACAATTGTACACTTTGTTACCGTATGGCATTTTAATCACACCCCATTTTACTTGGTACCAAAAAGATGATTTAGGCGAACTAATTTTACAGGTATCCCTGCCTTTGTCCTCCACCCACTTCTCCCCCTCACACGTCGCTTTCCAACTTGAATTTTTATTTTTGCATTTTAAGACTACTTCTGTGTATGTTTCAGATACAATTTCTACTAGTTCGTCAGGCTTAAACTCTTCACAGCTTATAGTAGTATAATTGAGAAAAAGACCCTTTCTGGGCGGCAGCAAATTCACTTCCAGTTCGTTGCTCGTAGTATTGTATACAAAATCGGGTTTGTTGTTTGTCGAGCAAACTTTAACGTTTTTAGTCTGACCACCGTCTACTAGTCTAACGTTTACGCAGTCAGAAGCATTTTGACCCCAAATGTACATGTTTGCCGAAATTCGTTTCCGGTTAGTTGTTCGTATTCGCCAAGGGCACGTTGACAGTAAGGAAGAGAAAGCTCCGGTCGATAACATTGATTCGCAATTCTGCATAACTATGCGAAAGAAACAGAAAATATCTGTAGGTCATAGTAATGTTAATACACTATAAAATACACTTAAGCTATTAGTGTGGCAGACAATTAGCATAATATATTCGCTTTAAATAATATGACAGAAATAATAAAAAATTTTTATCGTCATTTAATTAAATTCATTTGGGATATTTATTTTCCTTTTAATATATATCAATAATATCAAGCTATTCATGTTTATTACTTCAAGAAAGAATTTAAATGGAATCTCAGACAGCTAATTTTATTCCTACCTCCACTTTCCCATACACTCTCAATATTTCCTCCGGACAAAATTGTTTCAGTGATGCGTTAGAAACGATTTAGATGTAAATAAGTACTGTAGCATTGTGATTAACGCATAAAAACAAAAGGCAAACAATACGTAAGTTCACGTGTACTTAATTGCTTTTTTAAGTGTTAATTATGGCGACGGCGGTTTCAGCATTTTAGATCGCTTGTCGTTTTAAACTGTTTACAATAATGGACGCCCAAAGGCGATTGGTGGCCCTGTTAAGCGAATTTACTAACCTTCCTGGCAATAATAAAAGAGCTCCAAATAACCCAGGACACCTGAGCACTGTTCATACTGAACTAATTTGTAAACAGGAATACTACATAGCTTTCTTCCGTTACAATCTGTTTGAAGAGGCTTAGTGACATCTTTCTTACATAACTTATCAGGGGATAGAGAAACATCTTGATTGTTTAGGCACATTGATTTGGAATTCATTCGACCATACCATGCTTTAGTAACTATTAAAATTCCATTATGGCACTCTTCTTCAAATTTATCCTGTATGCAAATTTCTGAAAGGAGATTTATGGTTTTTATTTGTAAGAGCGGGTTGTTATTTACCGAGACGTTTTCCAAAAACTGCTGCAGTGCAGAGAAGAAAAGTTGCTATTTGATTCATTACGGAAAGTACTTCATTATGAAACAAAAAGTAATAAAATTATACAAGAGGTGCTATTTGTTTCTTACCTGTTTAAAGCTGAAACAGCACATAAAGCTTGGGTTGTGACAAAATGACTAAGAGGCGTTTCTTAAATGTCCAAAGACGGCTGAGATACCAGACGCTAGAGATGCACAGTCTAAGAAGTGATTTAGTTGAGTTTGCTGCAGAGAGTGTGAATTTTTCATTAGTGTTGATCTGCTTTATTGGCCGAACAGGCGGCGATGCTATTCGGTTCGCGCCCCCTAGGTGTCGAATGTTCGACGCCTGCGTATACGCTAATATAAAATTTCCGACCTCCGAAGGAAATGAAAGGAAAGAGAGAGGAAAAGTCTCTATACAATATAGGGTACACTACGCTTTCTTCTATAAAATAATCTAAGATTAATAGACTATATCAAATATCTTGGCCTTAAAGGGTAAAACTGAAGAGAGCATTAAAGGGTGTACTCTTTATTCAATAAAATCCAAAAAATTATTTATAGAATGTAATTTTCTATTAAATAATTTTTGAATTTGAATGAATTTCTATGAATAAAAGTATTTTTAGCCTTTAATTATTTCTTCTTAAGAAAAAAGAAAACAAAACTTTGATAAATATACTTTTCTTTTTTAAAGGATTTAAAAACTCTCTTGACACTCTTATGAGCAAATTTTGGATAATACTTTTCTTCTATATAAATCAATTGTTCATTTACAATACGTGTGTAATAAATTAGTTTCCCGCAGAATATCTATGATTTAATATAATTTGTATGTATTTTATAAGATTAATATATAAACGTTTATAATGTTATTCAAGGCATTATCAGACAAGTAACATGATTCTCATTTTTCAATCTAACGTACTTTTGTAATATCTATAATAAATAGTAGATTTTTTTCATCGTCAATTTATTGAATCCAAAATCTATCTTCATTTATAATCAAGCATAATAGATTTTAAAGTAAGGTATTAGTTTGTAAGAGGTATAAAATAATTAAAGAGAAAGAATAGAATATCATTAATCAGGACAGGAGCACGATTCGTTAATGTTCGTGAATTTTTTGTTGATCTTAAACAATTAACATAGAATATAAAAGGAAGTTACTCTTTTTTGTTCATTTATCATAGGCAAATATTTAAGTGGCTAGTTTCATGTAAATTTCCAGCAACATTTTAAGAGTCTTCAAGCAGACGCGAAAAAATAAAGCATGCAACGAACTAAATCAATCGTTGCTGTTTGATTGTCTGCTTTTATATATGATCATTCAACCCTTTCTTGCGTTAAACATTGCTACTTTTTATCTGCAATTACTATTCGATCACAACACGAAAATTGCTGCTGCAAAATAAATACTGGATACACTGGCTTGCTGGTATCGTTTCAATTATTGAAACAATATATTTCGGTGGGGATTAAGAGGATAATGTATGGCGATTGCTGGATAGCTATCTTACCTAATATTTTTCAATTACTCCTTATTTCAACGTTTCAGCAATCCTATATAATAACAGCTCGAAGACTAACTTTAAACTGTTGGCATAATTGACTGCTAATATAGAATATAAGAGCAAATAAAGCAGTTTTTTCCCACATGAAGAAAAAACTACGTTAAATAAACATTGATATTCAGGAGTTTGCTTTTTTTAAAGTTACCTTTACCATAATAGGCCATCTGTTACATACTCATTATATTAGATTCATCCGCACTAGACATACTGTATACTGTTCACGATTTCTGTCGTATTGGACGTTTTTCAAGATAAACTGTAATATAGATTACTTCTATTTAGGTATTGTCGTTTTCCTCTTTCCACCTATCGCTCATCGATCTTCATAAGATTCGCGTGTAAGATATATGTATAACTAGAACAAATAAGCCTTTCAAAAACAAATAACTCACTTTTTGACGAAATACACCACTAAAGCTATTACTTACATCCAATTATACAATTAGGAGGATGGAAAAATGTTGAAGAAATACTATACTACTCCTGTCGCTCTCAAATCCAATTTAAGTAGTATTTATCGTTTCTATTTGCAAGCGCTGCCACCTAGTGATGAATTTCGGCACATGCGGATTCTACTGTAGTAAATTTTATAGTAAACATTTGACAAAATTTCTCTATTCATATATTTCAAAAATATTCATATTTTTAATGTATTAGACTATCAAACTACTTAGCCAACAGATGGCGCTTCTCAGAACTTATTAAATAATTTTGTTAATACTTTGTCTACTTGTATTATTGATCAACTTTATTCTAATACAGAATATCAAATAGAACTACTTAGACTTTGAAGTTATTTATCCTTTTGCAAGCTTTTCACAAACAATAGCCATCTTCCTCTCCGTAGTATTCACCATTTCATCATCAATATCACTATACGTGACGAAACGTAAGAGTGTTTCACTAAAAGGTGCTGACATAACTGGCTGAGGCCCCTGTTTTATATTTTTTCGTATAATTATAAAATAATATAATACATACTGTATATTTATAATGATAAGTACTGTACAAATTTGCAGTATACAACTTATTTCTCAAGAATGATGCCATCTTACGGTTGAAAACACTACGAATAGTAGGCTTACAACTGTATAATTATGCATTACAGAAACAATATAAACGTTCTATTGTTTGATCAATCATATCATTTGTTATTGACGAGTGAAGGCACATCCGTAGAATTTTATTAGAAAATCTGGATGGATTAGCAATTATCTTAATCCCAATACGAACCTCTGCTAAATAGTCACTCAAGTCTTTAGCCGTTATTCCATCCTTAATCACTTCTATATAAATGATATTCGTTTGAATTGGTTTAACTTTAAAGAGGTCTTTGCCACAATTTTCAAAAGCTTCTCCTAATCTCTTAGCTCTCCTATGGTCGGCAGCTAATCGCGAGTAAACATCGTTTAATCCCACCTGACAAGCCGCGGCCAAATGTCCTGGCTGACGCCAACCTCCGCCGAGAACTTTCCTCAATCGCTTAATCCTTTATTCGAGAAAACACTTGTAGATACTATTATTATGAACTATAAGCGACAATTATGACTTACTTCCATATAAATTTCTCATCTCCAACTACAACTGTCCCAACTGGAGCACCAACGCCTTTTGACAAACAAATGCTGGCTGTATCAAATTCTTTACACAGTTCTTTTACACTTTTTCCTTCAGCTACAGCCGCATTGAAAATTCTGGCACCATCCAAATGTAAAGACAAATTGTATTCGTCACAAACTGATCGTACATCTCTTATAAATTTTTCGGGAACAACGGCACCGGCACAAAAATTGTGGCTATTTTCTATACAAATTAGCTTTGTGTGAGGCTGATGAGGATCATAAAGAGGGCGAATTACATTTCGAAGGTTACTAATATCAAATGACCCATCAGAAAAATTATTTAATTGTCGACTATGAACACCTCCAAGGGTTGAAATTCCACCCTGTTCATAAAGGCATATATGCGATTTATCGCCCAAAATAACTTCCTGACCCCTTTCATCGCAATGAGCCAAAACACTAGCTAAGTTACCCATTGTTCCCGAGCAAACGAATGCTCCTTTTTGCTTTCCAAACATTTCAGCCACATTATTTTCCAATTCTTTGACCGTTGTACACTCGTCAAATACATCATCTCCAACAACTGCCAAAGCCATTGCCTCCCGCATTGCAGGAGTGGGTTTACTAAGAACATCACTTCTAAAATCAATTGTTCTTACTGAAGAAAAGAGCCGTAAACTACTCCTGACTATTTTCAACTTGTACATTATCGATTTCTAACTGCTGGTAGCAATGTAATATTGAAAAAATTATAATATAAAAAGGCTTATCTGAGAAGTTTCAAAGTTTACTTTTTATATGGTCTGATTTAGATCAAATTTCAACATTTTCTCAAAAAAGATTGTTTTTTGACGGCAAAAATGAAATTTTCCAGTACTAGGGGGATTGTAAAAGATGTTTCACTAGAGCAGACTGTATTTTCAGGATATGCTTTAGATGGAGGCATATTCCTACCTAATTTTATACCAAAGCTTACAAAAGAAAATTTAGAATTGTTAAGAAATTTATCTTATGTAGAATTGGCTGAAGAAATTTTGAGTTATTATGTCGAAAATGATCAAATACCAAAAGAAGTATTGAAAGGTCTATTAACCAAAGTTATTTTTTAATATTCTTTCAGAATATACAATATTCTTTTAAATAGGAATTCTAAGAAAAAGTTGGGGAAATTTTGCTAAAGATAATATTGTTGAGATGGCAAGTTTTGACAACATACATATAATGGAGCTATTTCATGGACCAACATTAGCTTTTAAGGATTTAGCGATGAGAATTTTGGGACAAATGATGCAATATTTTTTAGCGCGTAATGAGAAAACTGTGACAGTTCTTGTTGGTACGATTATAACAAGATTAGATGCATCATGTTTTATAACCATTATTTTTAATATTTTGTTATAGGAACATCTGGAGATACAGGAAGCTCTGCAATAGAGGCAGTCAAAGGTTTATCTAATATCAATATAATTGTTCTATTACCGAAAGGCAAATGTTCTCCTCTGCAAGCACTACAAATGACTTCAGTTAATGAAAAGAACGTTTTGGTGTTTGAAGTGGAGGGGACTTCTGATGACCTTGATAGACCAATCAAAGAATGCTTTGGAGATGTTAAATTTGTTGAAGAAAATAGCTTATGCAGTATGAATTCTATAAATTGGATCCGAATTATGGTTCAAGTTGTCCACTATTTTTATGCGTATTTTAAGGTTGCGAAGAACGTTGATGAAACTGTTGAGATTGCTGTCCCAAATGGCGCGATGGGTAATATTACTGGCGGATTTATAGCTCAGCAAATGGGTTTACCAATTAATTTAGTAGCCTGTACGAATGAAAATGACATTACAGCCAAATGTATAAAAACGGGAGACTTGGTCGTAATGGACGAAATTATTATGACGCCAGCCCCATCTATGGATATATCCTTTCCTTACAATATTGAGCGAATTATATATTTGCTCTCCAATAGGGATACTAAACTTGTAACAAAATTAATGACTGAGTTTGAATCCAAAGGAAAAACAACAATTCCTAGTTGTATTTTGGAAAGGGTATGATTTATCATTTAAAAGCTCAATGTTTTCTATTTAGAGATAAATTTGAAACTTCTTTCCAGATGCAAAAAGTATTTCTAACCTCGACAGCTAGTAATTCGAATATATTGAGCTGCATACAGGAGGTACATGATAGATATAATTACCTAATTTGTCCTCATACTGCCACGGCTGTTTGGTATTGTTTGCAAAATAGAAGGTGCCTATCTATATTATTTCTTATCTGTGACAAAATCCAAATTTTTTAATATGCTTCCCTGCTTTTATAGCAAGCATCCGCAAGTTGCTATAGCGACTGCTTCACCAGCAAAATTTCCAGAAGTTATTGAAAGTATTGGTTTGAGAGCTCCGATAATGGAGACAACGGCAAAGTTAAGATCAGCAAAAAATTATGCTCGTTCAATGAAACTTGGAGAGAATTGGTTGGAAATATTGAAGCAGGCTGTTCTTGAGTTAAATTCTAAAAAGAGTATATAGCAATTATGTTCGTAATGAGCAAGCTTAAAATTTAAGAAATATACTTGAGATATTCAAATATATAGCGAAGCGCTATAAAACGAAACATATTTTTACACTCTGCAAAACAGTTCAGCTTACTTTTGAAAGCATCAAAACTATGCTATCACAATAAAACTTATTGATGACGTTGTAAACGACCCATTGTTCAATGTAAAAAAACTGATTGAATAATTTGATATCTTACTAAGAAAAAGATTATCTGCTAAGTTAAAGAACTTCTCAATAAATTTAAACCCATCGACATTAAGATTGTTCAGACTAATCTATATAAAATGTTTAAAGCTTCCATTTTATGCATTTTGAACTATAAAACATTTTAATATTGAATATCGTATTAAGACGAACATTTGAAGATATTCTAAATCAAAACAAAATACGGTACTGAATATCATAGTGCAATGCATAGGTTACCCATCTCCTCGTCAATTACTTATTGTTGTTGATATAACTCACGGCTAATTATCTGATGGGATATTTCATTACTGAAAGTAATATCGTAATTCGTTTATTAAAAATATATTTCATGTCTTAAACTCATATTGTTTCATTATTTTCCTTAAAATGTAAACCCTACATTACAATATATTTGGAAAATATCTGCTCCCGAAAATCCCGCTTTCATTACACAAACAGTGAAGATACAGTTATAAAAAACAAATTTTTTTCTATCGACGCAAATGTGTCCAAAAAGGAGTTCTGATTGTTACGTTTAACGAACTGAAACGTTTAGCAATCAAAATATTCTGACCAAGAATTGGACAAATGAGAAGAGAAAGAATTATTTTAAAACAAAAGGGAAAGATATACTCTTATACGCAGTAATTTCATCTATAAATTATGCGCGAAATTTATATAGGTTGTGCTTATAGAGATCCGCTTTTAGTGTACTTGAAAGAGATGAAGAAAGCCGGACGAAAAGGACGAAGAAAAGAAGTGATGAAGTGATAAAATATTTTTCACAGAAATTGAAGAGAGAGAGAGAGAGAGAGAGAGAGATTTATTCTTTTGACAATATAAGTAATAATTACAAAGAAATCATTAACATTTACTACATTTCGTTTTTTAGTAATCGTACCCTAAATTATTGCATAAATTTTTAAATTATATAAGACTGCGATGAAACTGGCCTCAATCTTCTTCTGATTGTTATTGTGAGTATGATACCTCTTTTTTTGTGCTTTAGCGTTGGCGGAGAAGCTTTCAGATGTCAGAAAATTATTTATACGTATGAATTTCTTACTCAAATGTAAAGAGACAATAAAATGCTTTAATAATTTAATGACTAATGATAGTTTTTATCTATCGGTAAATTTTTAAAAGTCGGTCTATACGATTACAGCCTTCAGCTATTAAATGAAGCCGGTTTATGAGTAGGAAGTTAATGCATACAAACCAGTATATGAGTGACATATTAGCAAAATATTACTGTTTTATGACAGTTAACAAATGAAACGTAGAACCTTTATTTTCTCTAGTTTAATTGAAAACTATATATATATACTGTATTTTAATATTACCTTTCTCAATAGACCTCTTTACAACTAAAACCTCGAAGTCAAAGCGTTAGCCATTTAAATTCTGGGAAAGAAAAAAAAATCCTAGCTCTCTGATTGAAATTCCCGGAGCTGTCGATTATGTAAATTAACTCTTATTCTTTGAGGCTGGATATCTATAAATAAGTAACTTACCAGCAAGAGTGAGCAGGCTGATAAAAAAATATAATACTTTATCAGTTGGTACATAAGATGACAATATCTAATGTTCCAACAACTGCAATAATTTTTCTTTAATTAATTTTAAGATTTATATTTTCATTATATTCTTTTATGCTATAAAAATCTTAAATTATTGATAGGTGACAGATATTTGTTATACTTGTAAGTTAATATAAATAAATAAAATACTTTATTTCACAATTATAATTATTTGTAAATTAGTTTTAAAATAATCGAAGAAAATTACGGATGCGGAAAACAGCTTGTAGAAAAGTCGTTCGTCCAATAATACGTTGGTTCGAGATGGTTATTGTTATCGATTTATAAAATAGCAATTTGTATGTTATGTGGTAAAAATAAATATGTGGTCGATTATAGAATTTTACTATTTTTATTATTAAATAATTCTTGTGTCTTTAGCCGTTTTCAGGCAATTTTTTGTATGATGTTCTTTGTATGAAAATATTTTATAGGTCTATATACAAGTTCTTTGTACAAATATTTTGCTTTTAATAGTCAGTATCATTGAAATGCTATAGTAAATAAATATCAAATATTAAAATATGTTCAATATACTCTGTACACTAGTATTCACATAAATATAAGTATTTTAAATAACATGGACTTAAAAAATGAATTTACAGTTAAATTAAAGTAATATAATTGTACAAATAATTTACAGTACTTTTTACAGGTACATAGGCCCAAGAAAAAGAGGTATATGATGTGCTATATAAAAATGGAAATGATTGTTTATCAATATAAACTCTCCTCGTCCGAGCTATCTGCAAGCAAGACAACTTGATCAACGTCCACTGTCTCTTCGACTTCCTGCTAGTAGACAAACAACCCTATAAATATCGTTTGTAATTCACCATTAAGTCGTTCTAATACCTGCTGCTCTTCCTCGCTTTTCGTCCCGTTCGTTTTTTCGTTACACGTTTTCATTACAAAAGCCATTCCGACTATAATAACGGCTAATACAATTCCGCACGCAATTGGAACAAGAACAGTAACTGTATAGACGTTACTCTGTTTACAAAAAAATTTTCGTGTCCATATGTTTTTTGCTTTGAATTATTCAATTAGTATCATAATATTGTATAAATTCAAATTCCAATATTCTCAATCAATACAAAACTATTAATATAGGAACTAAAATAAAATCGTAAAGCTTCAATATGCTTCTTCCCTCGTTATCAATTTTATCGAATATTAAAAACGATTTGTCTATTGAAAAACTTACCCTTGGTGCTTGTTTTTCGTGCACAGTATTTTTTGAATCCAATTTTGTGGTATTTTCGTCTTCTCTTGTAATATTCCATGCCGCAGACGCTGTAAACAGAAGGGCTAAATAGAGGTTTGCAGCGTTCATGATCGATGCCCGGAGTCGAATGCCGTTAATCTCTTTTTTACTTTGACTTACGGAGGAAGCAGATGGTGTTGCTGAGTTTGCGCTTAAAACACGTATTTTCTTATTGAAGAAGAAAATTGAAATACGTTTTCCTCTTTTATAATTTTTATGAAGAAATATCCATCTTATTTCTGCGTCAATTCTGCTTCATTTTCTAGATTTTTGCAAATTCGCATCACGGTTGCTATTGACGCCAAATAATTAAATGAGTAGGTTGGGACGTTTTTCCTTATTTACTTTATTTCACTGCCCAGCTTTCTTTTACCGATATGAGTCTACCAAATTTCGAACGTTGTCTGAAACATGGTTTGAAAGAGCTTGGGGTAAACGAATGTTAAAGCTGATATAAAATTACTTGAATTACCAAATAATAAAACGTCTACTGCCATTTATAAAGCGCCAGTTTAAGCCGTCTTATTTTTATGATTTTATCCACATAAAAAATTGCAAAAATTTTTTCAAAGTATCTTCTAACATAAAGAAAGTCCAATGGAAAAAACATGCTTATTTTTGTCGTAAATCTGACATTAAAGAGTCTTGGAAGGATTAAGTAGAATTCAAGATTTATGCTTCTGAAGACAAAAGTGAAGGCTACAGCATTAAATATTGATTACTTTATTAACTTAATCGCTAAATTTGGAAGAAGTTTTACCATGAAAGGTTTATCTTTCGCTTAACCAGCAGGGGGCGCGAGTATATTGATTGTCTCCACAAATATTTATTAGCTGTAAATATCTTTCCAATTTCTACATCTGATTCTTTTGGGAGGTCGGTAAAACCATAACATCTTAATGGAAAAAAACATGTTAAAATCAGGCACTAAAGTAGTAAATCTTGAAATGACTTAATGGTGAAAAAAATTAAACAATTCTCGTTTTAAAACTAAAAGATTTGAAAGAACGCCTTAAATTATCTCCTATATGTTCTAAAGAATAAAGAAGCTTTTAAATAGACTTTGTACTAAGATTTTCTGTTTAGCAACAAATGTATCATTCTCGAACCAAAAGAAAAATTGATATAACTTGTTGATTCACAATTTAGAAATAAAAAACTACACAATTAACTAAACTCCAACGAATCGCAAATTCTTTATCTTATATTTTTAAGTTTTATTTAAATTGCAAACGAATTTCTTAATTTCTTAAATCGTGACCAACCTTGAAATTTCCAATCTCGACTGTTTTTCTCGATCGGTTTCAGGACTTGACCCCTCTATTAACATAGGCCATTGAAGATACGTGATATAGTTCGGTTTGAATCGTGACAATTTTCCAATCTTTGATTATTTTTTCAATTTGAAATTTTGGGTGATTTGGTATGCTAAATTTTGTCATGATTGTCAATCCTTTCATATTTAATAAGAGGTTTTTGTTTTTTCAGAGAAGTGTTATTAAATATATTAATATAAAGCCATTAACGTAATTTTTTAAATAAAATATTTGTATAGGAAAAATATGTAACCAAGACAGAGTCTTTTAAATCACAGGGCTCCGATTCGTGATACATATCTCAATAGAAGCAGGTATGAGTCATTTTGTGTGCTTTAGTTAAGACCTACCGAATAGGTATAAATACGATTTCACTCTATCGGGTGCACTTTTTCAGCTTTTGTCCTGATTGGAAGAAGTTGATACAATATACTATGGCTCTTCAACATACTCTTTTTATTCTAGCTCTTGGGTGTTTATCCCTTCGTAAGAAATTTTGCATTTATAGTTATTATATTTCAATATATATTTTATAATTGTATATAACTTTCAGAAGCTATAATTGCGGGAAAATGCATTTGCAAAAATAATGGTGAGTACTAAATTTTTGGGTAAAAATTTCCGTTCACAAATTTTTATTTTTTTAGGAAAATGTCAGACATTCTCCTCTGGTGTTACTCTATGTATTTGTCCAGCGGGTTACCAAGGCATTTATTGTGATGTTAAAGTTTTATCAGACTCTCCATGCGCAAGTAGCCCTTGCCAAAACGGAGGTAAAATAGAATAAATGAAAGAAATAAGATACATAACTTCTATTACATACAGCAAAATGCTATGATGTCGGCTCTTCATATTTTTGTAAATGCACTAATGACTTTACTGGTTCACGTTGTTCTGAACGTCGTAACACACAAAGAAGTTTCTGCGATTCTTCACCTTGTCTTCACGGAGGTAAGATTATTTCTCAAAACCAATCTATAAAACAATAAGGTATACAATTAGGGGTTTGCTACGACACACCATCGAGTTTTGAATGCTCTTGTCCGGGAAATTATGAGGGAAAGACTTGCCAAACTCGAAAAAATGTCCAACCTCCCCAGAAAGTGGAAAAATGTTCATCCAATCCCTGCTTTAATAATGGTATGAAAAGATTACGAATATGATACTTTCTGTCTTATAATTATAAACTTTAACAGCTTTGTGTGTCGATCTCTCTGATGGGGTCTTTTGCTATTGTAAACCCGGTTTCTCGGGAAAATATTGCGATATATCACAAGGGAACTTTCAACAATGTTCCTCAGGACCATGCCTTAATGGAGGTTAACTTTTAATACTACTTCTACTCTTTTTCTACTCTTACTCTTACAGAGTAAACTGAAAATGCTATTTATAGGCACATGTGAGAATTTAATTGGAGGGAGTTTTAAATGTCACTGCTCCAGAAACTATTATGGTGGACGTTGCGAACATAAATACGCAGGTTCAATCCCGACTCCTCCTCCCACAAACAACCAACCCTGCAAGACTAACTCCTGCAAAAACAATGGTAAAGATAGTCATAATTAGTGAAAAATGATTTTTTTATTGATTAACTTTCAGGCGTTTGTTACAATGTTGGTACTGTACAATTTTGTAAGTGTCCTTTTGGATTCACCGGTTCAGTTTGTGAAAAGAGAGTTACACATATGGATCCATGCCTCGACAATCCGTGCAATCAAGGAAGTTAGTAGAGTATTAAAATAATACTGGACTTTTGAGTAAAATCAAATGCTTTTAGGATGCGAACGTAATCCTTTCGGATATACTTGCTTTTGTGGTCAACATTACGAAGGTAAAAACTGTGAACGAGCTGCTACTCCAGGAACTGGATCCCCAAAGCCAAATCCTTGCATTTCATCACCTTGTGGACAATTCGGTAATCTAAATTCTTAGCGATTTAATAGATATACAGTATGAGAAATATCTTTAAAGGTAAATGCTACAACATAACGGATACAGCATATTTCTGTCTCTGTAATGAAGGCTATTCGGGAAGTCCATGCAAAAAACATAATAACAATAATGGAAATAATAATGCTTGTAAATCTAACCCATGTCAAAACGGAGGAATATGTATTGACAATGGGTCACCAAGTTCATACCGTTGTAACTGCTTATCTGGAACTTCTGGTATAAATTGTGAGCAAACTACGTGTCCAAAATCTTGTCAAAATAGAGGTAGATTATGTCTAAAGCAAAAGCAAATAATGACAAAACATGATTTTCTCTATAGGACTTTGCAAAAGCGAAAGAAGGATGAATTCAAACACTAGAAGATTTGAGACAGTTTATAAATGTGAATGTTTACCAGAATATCTGGGAGAAAATTGTGAATATAGTAACCCTTGCCTACAAAATCCCTGCGAGAACAAAGGTTGACTTTTCTTTCTTTTGATTGCCATAATGTAGCCAAAGATAGAAAAATGTACATTGTTTCATTTTCAGGAATATGCTCACCACTGATGATAGCAAGCATTTCTAAGCCAGATTTTGCTTGCAAATGTGTCAAAGCCTTTGAAGGAAAAACGTGTTCAATAAGGGCTAAAGATGTATGCGCTGAGAATCCATGCCAAAATGAAGGTATGCCTTTTTCTTTTTCATAAGAATTAATATTTATATCAATTTTCTTTGTTAGGTTCCTGTGTACCTAAACTGAATCCAGAAACTCGTGAAAAAGAATTTTTCTGTGTCTGTATAGGAGATTGGAAAGGAAAAACTTGCTCTGAAAAAATTAGCAATCCTTGTCTTCCTAATCCGTGCAGACATAATGGTAAGCTAAATTGACTTATTTTTTGGCAATAATCAATTATCTCTCTTAATTAGGTATATGCAGGCCGTATGATGGCAGCAACTTTTACTGTACATGTACTCAAGACTATTATGGAAAAATGTGTGAGATTGAGAATCCTTGTTCCGATCGACTTAATCTCTGTCTCAACAAAGGTTAAATTATTTTCCTTCGTTAAAATATTTATTTTAATTTTTTTCATTTTAGCTCTCTGTTTTCCGGAAAGAGTCTATAAAAACTCAGAACTCGTTGATGTGAAAGCTAAATGTGTCTGCCCATTCCAGTATGCTGGTTCACGATGTGAAATTAGAAATCCCTGTCTTGATGGTGGTTTTTGTATGAACCAAGGTAAAGTTATATGAACAATTTATTTTAAATTTTATATATCTTTATATATTTACATCAAACAGGATCATGTGTAACAAAACAAAAAATGGACCCAAAGGGATCTATGTACATACCATCTTACATTGGTTGGGAAGAACCAATATGCAAATGCTCACCGTATTTTGCTGGGAAAAAGTGTCAAATAATAAGTCCTTGTCTTCAGAATTACCCTTGTCAAAATGGTTGTATTAAATATGACTACGAGAGGAATATATAATGCTCTTTTTTGTTAACAGGTGAATGCAGTTCAACTAAAGTCTACGTGACGACAGACACAGGAACCTTTGCAAGTGGTTTTACTGAACCAAAATGCGATTGTCCAGCTGATTATTCTGGAAAGTTCTGTGAAAATAAAATAGGTGATCCATGTGCTGACAATCCCTGCAAAAACAATGGTGAGAAATTATTAAAGTAATTGTTTTATTGATACAAAAATCATTTTAATTTATTATAGGGCGTTGTATATTGGGAGAGGAAGAATTTGAAAAATACTACTGCGAATGCGATGAGGGGTACACAGGAGATCATTGCGAAACCCCAAATATTCGCAATATAATTTTAGAATGTGGTTTTGAAAGTGAATGTAATGAGCTGTCTCATACATATACAGCATATCCAAAAGATAAGGCTTTCAGATGGATAAGAAGAAATAGACCAACTTTGAGCGGAAATACAGGACCATTAAAAGCGGCTGTAGGGTCTTACTTTATCTATACTGAAGCCTCTAAACCAGCGAAAAAAGATGACTTTGCTGATATGTACACTAGATATATGGATATCAAACAAGCTTCTTGTCTTTCTCTTAGTTATCATATGAATGGTGCAAATATTGGTAGCTTATCAATTTTTCTTGAAGATCGAAACAATAAAAAAACAACCATTTGGACTCAGCAGGGACATCAGGGACGGAATTGGTTGAGTTTGGAGAAAGATATTGCTCCTGGTGATTTTCGACTAGTAATTCATGCTGTGAGAGGAAAGGACTACACAGGAGATATTGCTATTGACAATTTAAAGTGGCGAACTGGATCTTGTTTTGGGGCATAATCAGAGTCTTCAATTTTTATGGAACATTTAAATTGATCTGAATTTATCAAAGTGTCTTTAAATAAAATATAATCTGCACTTCAATTGAAATTCTAGTTGGGAAATACTTTACTTCAATATGCAAATAGATTTCATTGTATTTAGAAGCTTTAGTTTTCAACTATACAGTATTTTGGAAAGCCAGAGTAATAGAAATTTTTATCCAATTTTAATTATTTATGATAGCCACACTAAGATAATATCCTGAAATTTGGCTATATAATACTGGGTATTAGCCTGTTTCAATTCTATCGCATCACCAGTAAGAGAATGTAATAGAATAACATTTTCACATTAAGTTTCTCCACGGTATTCGAAAACCATTGGAATTGAAGCTTATCTCTGCTCTTTTATTAAAATAGTGAAAAAATTGCAGATGAATCATTTATAAATTATTGATGTATATGGATATAAATTAAACATTTGACCCAAAGAGAATATAAATTAATTATGCCTAGACTGCTGATACATAGCTACATATCGGAAAACGCTGAAAAAGAAAAAAAGATAGATTAAAGCTTTTCAAGATATAACAGCAGTAGAATATTTGCAATTTAGTTTCGTTGTGTTTAATTGCTAATAGCTGCATAATGTATAAAGAAGAGTTAATTTATTAGGGGAATTATAAAAATTTGCTATAAAACTCTAAAGATTACATTCTATATCAAGAATTATTATCTTTTGTTTAATGACCTATTTTTTCCGAAAGGGATTAAAAAGTGTATCCAATAAAACAATGGAAACAATAAGCAGTAAAAGTCTCTTTTGCTTCTTTACTTAATAAAGAATACGATAAAACATCAAGCAATGATATAAATATCAAAAGTTTAATTCAAGAGCCGGAGATAATAATTTATGTAACTGTCGGGTCATATCTGAATAATTGCACTTGCTAAGAGTCACCATAAATAATATTAAAGCTATCATATGTACCTAAATTGTGGATTTGACCAATAGAAAAAAAGCTGACAGATTTTAGAGAAAACTAAAAAAAGCCAATGGGTAAATATCAAAGAGTACATTTTTTAGTGCAATAGAAGTTGTACCTATTTAAATCTCAAAAAATATCTATTAAAAAATGCTGATGATAAACAAACTCCCCTCTATAATTTATTTTTGTGACAAACGTTAATTGATACGAAAACAAATTTAATACTATATATAGCTTACGTAAATAATGATACATTCTCTTAAAATCTCGACAATTTTCCTTCAGCATTTTCTCTCCAGGATCTTTCTAGACTTTTCACTAAAATGTTAACAACAATCTAAGACCCTTTGTTGGATAAGGAATAAAAATATAAAAATAAGAAACAAATTTGGTTTGTGAGTTTATGCTTTAGATGGTAAATCTTTAAAAATGACCAAATGTCTGAATACTCTAATTATTAAACAAAATTTCAATTTCCATACAAAGCCTTCAGATGAAAAGCTGGTTTAATTCCATTTGATTATTTATTTTATGGTAACATATAAAAGCAATGAGAAACGTAGTATAATTTATTACTGATTAAACTTTTGCCGACATATGCCAAAGTAGCATTGGTGTCTTTAGTACAAAAGGAAAATTGAAATTTAATGTCAAATAAACGCATATTTTCGTTAATTGTTTATTTATTACTTAGTTTTGCAATATCTATAGATAGAAGGGCTTTTCTAGTTTTCCTGATCACACCAGATTTAATTTTTCTTAACAAAAAAAGAAATAAACAAAGCTTTAATTAATTAAGTAATTAAACATTGTTGTTTCTTGTTTATTCTGGTTTAGTATAAACGCTAATTAGCCAACATAAAATTTTTCTGTAAATTACTTGTTAAAAGTTGTAGTAACCAATCAATGATAAAAACAAATTAAGCCTATACAAATAATCTGGCTCTAGGCCAAAACGTGAGTTAGTTGACCTGGTACCGACATTTTTACCTTCTATATATCGAGTTGTGTAAGGGTACTAATCAAGCATTTATCAGTTTTACAGAAGCTATATCATGTTGGCGACTATCCAGATACCGATAAATGAATGTAGAAAGATCAAGTGTGATAAGTGTGGCAAATGGACATGGATGGGTCTGTTCATATCGATATTTTTTTAAAATCATCTTTCAAAATATCAAATTTTATTGAATTTTATTGAATTTAGATTAATTTAAATGAATATCTAGAGATTTTTAAATATTTTTAAATATCTTTTTTCTCAAGGTTGTGGAAAACATATTGATACAGTTCTAAATGATGTCAAGGCAGAAGATAGATGTGCTTGTAAGAAATAATAACGGAGTCTTCTAGTCAAGAAGTATTATTTTAATTGAAAAGTCACTACATACAATACCAACGGCAAGCACAACGCAATTTATTCAAGTGGATTTAGAAATATCGATGTTCTATTTTTAAATACATATCTTTACACTCTGGAACATATTTTGTGCCATTTACTAGACAAGACCTGTCTTCAATGTAGTGTAATTGTTTTATCACAAATAAAAAAAGTTTTTCAAGAGCTCGTAGTTTTATATTCTATATATTTTAAATCATTTGATAAAGATAACGTGAGATTGTATATCATAAACACCTTTTTTATATTTCTTACATTCTCCTCACGTCTTCGCTAATATATGAAAATATGGCCATATTTAGATCTCTCTAATTACTTGCAACAGCATGGAAACTTCAACGAAAAATTGACTTTGATGTAATTCTCCAACTGATAAATCAAATACCTGAAAAAGGTATGTGTTTTATTTTAAAAAGCCATTACTCAGCATTGCAGCAATTAGGAATAATCTCCCGAAGTACGAAAGAGGGAGCCACAGTCGAAGAAGTCATAATGCCAAGTCTTTAATGATTTAATGGCGTTGTTAATATATCTATATCTTATTCAAGTTGTTAGCTGCGTATACAAGTATAACTTCACATTTATCTTCTAATTCATCTATCTATAGTTATTTAGATATAAAACATCACAACAGATAGCTTTCGATTTCTTGGAATTTGAAAATCATCAATAGGTGTTTTTTTGGAACCAATGAACCTATAACCGTAACTTGATTGTCCAGACTACTCGATTAATCTATATACTGTCTATTACGTCTGGTTACATAAAACTTGAATCGATTATTTCGTCAGCATATCCCCACGTGCTAGTGCCAAGGCCAAACTATAGCGTGACTAGCTAACCGCCGCTACATGGGCACGTGTTTGAATATAGTGCAATGCTATAGTCGATAGCAAAGAATCTTTGGTTGTTAAAACGAAATGAAGCTTTCTCAAAATTTCCCCTGTATTTGAACTTTACTATTCTTTAACGTTCTCCGTTTGAAAACAATATGATAAGGGTTACAAGCATGGTTTCTTTTTGCTTATTCATCTTTTGTGTAAGTTAATTTTAGTTGTGCTTGTATTTTGATACTCTATTCTTGTGTGCCCACTAAAAATGCAAAGCGTTGTTTGTCTTGTCTACAATCCGAGACAAAGGTCCCTTTTTATCAATTGGGAATATCTCAATGAGGGAGATCTGGCCTTCGTCCAGCTGATTTTATACTATCTAAATGAATCAAGTGTAAAAAACAGTGAGAAAATTTAGTTAAGATCCTTTAATTGTTCAATTTCACAGATAATAAAATTTTAGTTGATATCTAATCTCTATTAAAGTCTATCTTTGAAGGTTTTTGTCATTATTCCATTTTAAGCAAAATTTAACCAACCGAAAGAGTCCAGCCTTTGAATTTCATTCCCTGACTAGGAGATTGTAAAAGAGATAGCAAATAAATTCATTTTGCTAATTTATGAGGGTTCTAAGTGAACAATGGTTGTTACAATTCTAAATGTCAAGTAACAGCTCGGGTAATTCCATTTGCGCTTTGGTCAAGAGAGTTTTTATTAATTTTTGCTTATTAGATAAAAAGTCGATCCGCCTAAGAAAAAAATATTTAAATTTAATAAATTATTGCGCAATAAAATATAAAAATTTAGAAGAAAGGAAGAATAACATTCAATATATCAATGTAAGAAGTAGAATCAAGGAAGTGCTCTTTCTAAATTTGTCTTATATACAAAAAGCAAAGTGCACTGATATTAAAAAATTTTTATACCAGAGGAACTTATAAAGCACAAGTTAGGCTTAGTTTCAGCCAATTTATGCTTTAAAAAGTAATAATTGCCTCTTTGAGTGGAAAATTACCTCAACAGTTGACAATTTTAATTAAACCAGCATTTGGGCTCCGACACGTGTGCATTGGACACTTTCAACTTTTGCACACATGTTAGCAACAACTTACCATTGTGTCCCTGAACTGCTTATGACCTTTCGATTTAATGGTTTTCCTAAGTTTTATAAATTTATTTGAAGTATTAATGCTATTGATGTCTTGATAAGTCGATATTTCATCGACAACAGTTCAAGGTTACTATTTCTCTTACTCATAAAAAAAGAGATTAACGTTCAAACTCCTAATATCACAAAATCTCTTACGAGTTGCAACATTTGGAATATTATTTTCTTATATTGAACTACTTATCGTAGTCAGGGGGTGGGGATTTAATCAACGCATTGGTATTTCTCTGGTCAGTCACCGCTCACGTTATGGCGTCTAATTTATTTGTAGGTGACATTGACAAAGCTGAGTGAGAGTTCCGCCATAGAATATGCATATAAGCTGGGCAAGAAGCTAGCTTATACCAAGGTCAAATTACAAATTTCAAAACAAAGCCGTACGTCGTAAGCATTATTGTGTCCAACAATTTAAAACGTAAACATGGATTTTAAAAGTAAAATGGAAAATATAGATAGATCTTGAAACAATACAAACATATTTTTATTATCGTATATTGACACGTATAAATGTATACATGTCTATTTATTTATTTATTTATAATGGGCAAATGTGTTTGATAGAAAGTATTTATATATTTACATTTATATATGATTAGCCGTCATGTTTTTCATTTATTTAATTACGATCATTAATTAGCAATTACGCATGACTTTATTTACAAGTTCTAAATGTAACACTTTTCAATTTGAGCTACTTTCTTGAGCATAATAGTTTGCTGGAAGGTATATTTTAATCTTTATGCTATTATCAGATTTGGATAATCTGAAAATTCTATATCCATATTGCTTTACCTCAGCTAAGTATTTATTTAGACAACTAATAATGGCTTAAAATCAGTCTAGTCTAAAATTTAGACCACCCCTCAGCTGATATGTAGATGAGCTTTTTAGGAAAGAAAGCTGGGCTATACTAGAGAAATACAATACTTTCACAAATACTGAGCATTATCGAAACTCTTCTTGTGGTTACATAATTTACTACAACTTTTACTGCTTAAGCCTGCGCAACCAGACACTTATGAGTTAGTCGACAGACTGTTATCAGACTTTTCTCATATGTAGGAGCTGTTTAAAGATTAAATTTTCTTTTCTAAAATTTCAACAGAAACTCCTTAAAAATTGAGTTAAATTTCGAAATAATCTTTAAATATCGACGATTAGCAGATTCTTTTTTATTGATTTCTCCGCACCGGAATTAATAAGGTGACTAACTAATGACGTCATCTGGTATCTCCTCTCTTCGCTGATTGGTTGAGAGGTTAGACGTCACGTGATACGTGATCCACGGTAAATATTAATGAATTCGTCCTTCAGCTGGGACATATGTCGAATTCGCCGAAGCGGGCTGCTCAATCTCTTTTACCGATTACAAATTAGTTAACGGATAAGAGCATGCTAAGTGTGCAGAGCATGCCTCTAACGGGAACGCCATTCGAATATAGTTCCTATCTTCTTGCCAGCTCTCCGCCCACTTTTGAATTATTTCCTGTCAGAGGAGCATCTAACCTACTCTGTAACAAACCAACTAGTAATCCCGATGAAATTTTTCAAGAATTCACTTGTGATGCTTGGCGTATACCAAGATCAAGATCTGATTCGAACGTTTCTTGTGGTGGTAGTTCCACTTCAACACCTACAAAATCTGGCCTCAGAACACCTAACTCTCCAAAGCCGAGGAAGAACGTCTCTTTTGCTGATCAGCTTGGAAAAGCCTTAGTAACTGTGAAGGTTTTGGGAGATACTCCGATCAAAACTCCAGCGACTTATTTAAAGTCAATTCACCACTATTATGAAGATAATAGTCAAGGTCCTCAGTTAAAGCTTAATTTCGAGCAACCGGCTGCTCAGTATGTAACATTTCATGAACGACTCTTGAAAGATTATGTAAGCTTGGAAAATGTTTTACTCAAAGGTCTGAAGGTCGCAGGTACGATTAAAGTTAAGAATATTGCTTATGAGAAGAGGGTCACAATTAGAGTGACTTTTGATAAGTGGAAGACCTCGGAGGATATAGCAGCCCTGTATGTCGAATCAACGTGTTCTTCTAGCAATTACGACACTTTTGCTTTTGAGTTTCAAGTCCCAGATCGGCCCAGAATTGCATCAGCTTCGTTTTGCGTGTGCTTCGAGGCTAATAGTCAACAATATTGGGATAACAACTCTGGAAGAAACTATGAAGTTTCTTCTGCAGCAGATTGGGACGAAACTTCTCGGTCTACTGAATTTAATCATAGACTCTTCGCTCAAGACCACTGGTCTGAATATTCAGCCTGGAAAGGGCGTGAATATCTAGATGTACCATATTGGTGAAATTATTGTTTCTCTTATGAGCAAACCTTGATAAAAATAGTTTTATAGAGTTAGAGAAGTTGACAGCAAAGTGTTTCCTTGTATTTTATCCTGCAGAACTGTTTATGTGCGGTGAAGTGAGTTATGTACTTGAAACAAACACTTTGTAAATATACGTTTAGAAGGACCGTTTTTAGAAATCAGTTTACAATCAAATGTTTGCCGTGTTATCGTTTACTTGTTTATAAACGCTTAAAGTTTTTGCACCCTTACAAACCTTGTGTACGGAATTTTCCCTTACAGTTTTCATGTTAACTAGTCCGTTGACTTATATTTTTGTAATAAACTTATATTCTCGTTTTCGACAAAGGCTAAAGTGGGATAAAGATACACGTATGATTTTGTGCATGCACATCACGTGTTACCTGAGGAATACCTCTTCATACTTTAGAAATATTGATATAGAACCTCTATTCTTCTGTCTGATGAAATACACCTAGGTTAGTGAAAATTATGCAAAAATGAATGTCACTAACAGGAAAGGAATAAATAATAAATGATAAAAAATCGATTTCCTTCTAACATACTTTTGTGCATGGCTATAAATATATGCATATATACAGTTTATTCATAGACCGATCAAAACACACTCTTTTCAAATTATTCAAGAAACCATATATATTGAACTCGAATTTTCTGCCAATTTTTTGTCAATATACAACTGCGTATTATTATAATGAATCAAAAGCGTTATAAAAGGATTTTGGCACGTGTTAATGGCCTAATACGTAAATGCTTTTTTCAGAATTTATAGTATATATATACGCCATCTATTGTCCATAGCAAGTATGAAAAAGCAAAATTTATTGCAGTGGGCAAATTTTTAGTAAACAAAGAAAAATCTTTGACAAAGTCAACAAATTTCCTAAATAGTAATGCAATCATCGAATAACAATAATATTAAACAATAAAAAAATATATGGAATGTTACTTTTATTTAACTATTGAAGTTTCTTAATTCAACAAGTCGAAGAAGACTTCCAACAGCGCCAAAATAACCCTATAATTGATTTAAAAATTTTGTTTGTTTAAAAGTTATAAAATATAAAATTAGTTAACCTCATGCCGAAGGAAAAGTGCTTTCAATTGACCCTTTGACCAAAAGTCCATAGCATAGGCCAACATTTTCATAGAGAGAGAATTTACTCGAAGAAAGTTTCCAACGAAAACAACCCTTTCTACTTTATGAGCCTGAGCGCATAAAAGTGCTATTGAACCGATATTATTTGTAATGGTAGCTAGAGTTGTTCTAGCTAAATCTGCTTTCGAAACGGCTTCTCTCTTTTCCTCATGCATCATATGGCCAAAAGAAGAAGCTACAGCATGAGCTGGAAGAGAAAATCTGTCGTAGCTGCCTCCATATATATCTCCTACCAATTTATCTACATTGTCATTACTCCCCTTTTCTGCCAAGCTTATGGCCTCTTCAAAACTTTCACAATCAGTTAAGAGGCAACATAGGCCAAGAAATGTCCCACCTCCTAAACTTGTACCCGATATTCTGGAATATTCTGTTTCCGATCTAACCAAAAGTATGGAGACGCCAGAACCAATATTTACAGTTAAATATGGATATGGATCAGTAAAGTCATAAGGAACTTCTCTAACAGCATCATCAAGAGGCTGTTGAAAATAGTAGCATTCTGATTGGGAGTTTATTCGTTCAATATAGTGAATGCCACTCATCAAACATGCTAGTTCGTCTACCTTGAAAAGTTCTAATGATAGTTTGGTATAAATATCCATTTCAAATTTGTAAGCTCCACCTCCAGTAGCGCAAACGGTAGTTGCTAATGAAGAAAAGTTTTTGGATTTTGCGAGCTCGATAAAAGCATTCATTTGAGATGTTGGAAATCGGATAAAGTGAAGGTTTCCCATATGTCCATCTATTTCAACACCATCCAGTTGAAGGTGATCATCTCTTATTCCAGTTTTACCATATGCAGTCTGGGATGTTAGATAATGGCGGAGGGTTTTCGCTGTTGGAGTTTCTGCATCGCTGGGTTCTAAAGGTTCAAAGTATATCAATTTCGTTAGGGTTCCCCCAATATCAAGGCCAAACCAAGGTTGAGCTAAAGAATCAAAAATTTTCATTCTCAAGAAATGCGGTTTTTCGTATTATCTTGATTTCACTCACATAACATATCCGTTCTTTATTGTGAATCAACCAGCGTGTGTTCAACTATTTACAATTTACTAAATTCTTGCGTTTTAACTGAATTCGTTTTACATCTGTTGAATCAAATGCGCCTAATTAATAGTATGGAAAAAACCATTATACAATTTTGCATATGCAGGTTCCGGTGTTACAATTGAAGCATATGTTGATATACCTCCTCAGTTTCAATTTTAATAGAAAGAAGATAGTAGAAAATTCAGTTTGCTTAAAAAAACAACATTGCTCTTAAGGAAAAAGTAGGTAAAGGAGGATAACTTTCAAATTTAAAGTACTCAGTATTAAATTTCTTGATAGTATTTCTTCTAACCACTTGACCTGTTGTTTTTATGTAGTACAAAATTTAAGATTACAAAAAATTACCAATGACTAATTTTTTTTAACTTATTTTATGTTTTTTTTTTATTTTACTGCCCTTTTTCAGTATTTCTCATAGAATTGAATTCACTTTATACAATTTTAAGAGATTACACCAGCTGCTACTTTAATCTATTTTCCCACATCAAACGACGCAAAGTTTACATTTTACGTAGAAGTTATAACATTTTCATTGAAAAATATTTTATATTTAAATAATATGCCGATCTATATTGGCAATCTCGTTGCAGGTCAGCTTAATCTTTGCCCGTTTTTAGGTCAAAGTTTGTTTATTGACTTTGACATAACAAACACAATGAAGCTTTCGTGAAAAACGACTATTTTTATTATTTAAACAACCTCTTAAGTCCCTTTATGAAAAATAAAGTTGCATTTCCTACAACAAAGTGCGTCCTACTGATTGCCCTAAGTGCAACGGCTTTAAGGAAACTAACGAAAATACTCACAAAATAAGGTAACCGTAAAATAGACGATCTATTGCAAATATATCAGAATTTTTTAGAGTTGAATAATTTTATTTATATTAGAAACCGGGCTATATCATGTAACTTTTTCAGTATGACCTCTTTAAGCGATCAGTTTAGACTAACTATACATCGCAATTGAAAACAGCCTAGTAAGGTTCTACATCCGGTTTGACTGAAACTGTTGCGCAATTCAATAATAAGCAATGAACTTTATGTATTGCTTATAAGAAATTTTCAAGCCTCTATTCTCCTTTGGCGTTCTTGCTCTAGAGCTTTAGCACAACTCCAGATATCAGCTGTGAGTGTCGTTTCACTTCTACTCAGAGTAAGAAGTCTGAAAGAAAATAACATGTTTCTGTGATACTATAAAGAATTTTCGCATTTCACCTTGCAAACAACAAGAGGTTTAAGAAAGCATCGGCTGTCATTTTGTTGTCTTGTTTTCTCATGTCAACAAAGTATTGTTCAACTTCCTGAAATATCAGTACAAAGAAAAATTACAGATGATAGAAAAGTCTTATTTCGAAAGTTTAGTTTAATTAAAATAATTTAAAATTAAAAAAAAAACAAATTTAATAAACTTGTACTTCAACACAAGTTACACTTAAAATTATTTAACCTGTTTCAAGTCATCAGGAAATGTGTAATCTCTGAAACTCATCATTGATATAAAGTTACGAAAGTCTTGAAAGTTGGATTCCTGGGTTGCCATCATTTGTAAATAATAACTTTCTAAATTATCTGGATTTATGATTGTCTTTAAAGGTAGTCTGCAGTCGCACTAAAAAAAATAATATTTTCTTATTTACTTTTTTTTCAAACAATATTGTTACTATACCTGGAAAACAGACTTTCCCTCTGAGAAAACAAGAACAGGAAAGTCAGTAAAAAATTCTTGCTTGTGATAAGTAAAGTCATATTCTAATTTTTGCCAACAAACAACATCATTTAGAGATCTAGTATTTTGTACTCCAATAGTGTCTAATTGACCAGGTTGCAGGGCAGTTTCATCCAAAATTAGTCGAGTTCCATCAGGTAGCTGTAAGCTTCCTGACATTAATCTATTTGATTTATAGTCTTTGTATGGAGTCATCCTCCTCTTATTCATGTTCTCCAAAGATAAAGGGCAATATAGGGACTGAAAGTTTGAAACCTCTATTAATAATGGTAGAAACTAAGTTAAATTTCTCGTACCAGAGGAAGAATTCTCTCTAGAGCGGTATAAATATATTTAGTGTGTTGACTTTGAATATTCAAATTAGTGAGATTGAGGCTGAATTTTCCAATCGCCCTGGAATCTTTACGGGCATATCTGTAAAACATTTGTAAATAACAAAAAGAGAATAGTTACTTAGGTAGTTTCTATAATCTGTAGCGATCATATTTAACTTTATAAAACTTACACTCTTGACATCAAGTAGCAGAATAGATAATCTGCTGCTATTCTATCACCTAGGAGAACCTGTTGAAGGTAGTCTCGTAACTTTAAAGAAATATCGTTCAGTCTCGATTCTTTTAAAACTAAAATAAATAAGAACATATAAATTTATATATATATATATATATATATATATATATATATATGCAGTATATATCAAGACATATTTGTATGTTAATATTACTTAATTGATAAGAAGGATCAATGTTTTCTAATTTTCGAATAAGGACTATGTGAATCCTGTCATTTGAAAATCAACGTTATTTATGAAGGAAATTATTAAAATTTAGTAAAACCTTGGTACAAGAGATGGCGGTGGTGATTTAGCATACATTTCATCCGTTTCAAAACCGCTTGCTGATCCATTTCTATTATAGTGTTTCATTACTACTATTAATATAATCAATTACATTTCTTACTCATTTAATGTGTTTGCTGCCAATGCGGGATGATTAGATAATATTCCATAAATTTCATATACTGTATTTAATTTTATGTCATCATAATTTTCATAAGCCACTCCTATACATGGAGTTTCTTTCTCCGTATCAATTGGAAAATTTAAGTTGAAAGGGATTTGGCTCTTCTTATCTGAGATAACGACATATTTGTTTCGTTGATAAATAAGCATTAAACATAATACCTTCTTCTTTTGGAGTTTTCATTTTTTTCGAACTTTCAGTTACTTCTCCAATATCCATGAATTGATTTTCGTCTCCACTGAGTTGACTTAGTTGTTCAAAGCCATTCGAATCTTCATCATCACTTTCCAGATTTCGTTTATTACGATTATCGTAATTGGAAGAAGAAGGTTGTTCCAGCAATCTTTTACTTTTATAATACTGAAGCAAATTATATAAGTTAAGATCACATTTTTAAAATTCATAGCTACATACGTCTTTGATCCAAGAATTCTCTGTCGGTATTGGTACAAAGTAATAACACTGTCTTTCAGCCATCTGAGCAGTATCGAAATCGGCCCTTTCGCCATCCTAAAATATTATATTATATATTATTATTTTATTTATATATTCATCAATCAGATATTAATTTCAAACTTTAAATTGATAAATATCTTGAAGAAGTCCAGTTTTCATCTTCATTGTGTTAGAAGAATCTACTACATTGAAGTATTCAGGAAATAGCTCTTCCCCAAACATATCTTGAACCATTCCCCGATATTTAATTAAGCTATTAGCCTTCAGTGAATCCTGACTCGTTTCGTTTAAACTGGGTATCTAAGAAATAAAAGATTACTTTAAAATCTTAAAACAATAAGAATTGAAAATCATACCATTTCGGACAGTCCTTTTTGAATCTTTTCCCGAAAAATGTCACATATTTGTGAAACATTCTTTCTTTCTGCTACGAAATGAAAGAATTGTGCGAAAAATAGTTATAAAATCAACTAATCGAAGAATTTACCTGCTAAATTACTAATATATGATAGAGGATCAACTATATATTTCTCTAGATCAGTCATATTTAAGTTTTTGACTGTTTAGTAAATAAATAGCAAGAGGTTAAGGAAATTGATATGAAGATGAAAACGGCGCCAAATATTGCCTCCACTTCGGCCTTCAATAAAAATATGAGTACATATTATATATATTTCTAAAAATATACAGATATGCATATGTATTGTCAATTTTTATAGAGTTGGTCTATAAATGAATTACATACGAAAATACGATTTTTGAGGAAGAGGAAATTAAACACGTTTCAAAATGGCGGAAAAGAAGAAAACAACAGCTTCTACTGCACCTCTTCTTCTTATGGGCACTTCCGATGGTTTAAATTTAAATCCTGCGCTGGGATCTAATTTATTCATGCCTGTTGTTCCCCAACAAGCAGAAAGCCTGGTTGAAACAGGTTTGTTATCAAAGAAACAAAAGAAAGTTTTGAAAGATGCAAAATTTCGTCTGCAAAACTTTGCTCTATGAGGAATTCTTTATTCCTAACAGCTGAAGACGTAGAAGCTGATAGTTTTATTGGCCAAAATGCATCACTTAATAGTGGAACAACTCTATCGCAAAATTTATTTCCAGCTTTAACTTCATCAGATGGGGATATATTCGATAATATTTCGAAAAAACCCCTCTCAGATCAGGAAGGAGTAAACAAAAATATTCAGGGGCCTTCCTCATATCCCAATCAACCATCTTTGACTTCGGTTCCAATAGCAATGGCTCCTCCTGCGCCACTACCAACCATAACCAATGGTGAATTTTAAACTTTTTGTTTTTTTTTGTAATCGCTGATAGCATCTTTTACAGATCAAAATATCTACCGTATGCAAAAAGCGACACGTCAGCCATATTCACAAAACACTTTTCAGCAACCGCCTCCTAGCTCTTTTGCTTCTCAGCCTGTTAATCCTTTACAAGGTAGCAGTTATGATTCTCCGTCTCTACCCCCTCCATCAAGTGAGTTGTTTACTGTACACATATTTAAACGTCTCTAAAGTCATTTTCTAAGGTATAGCACCGCCTGTATCTAATCTTCCGATCGGTCCTGTATATGAACCTGTTAATCATCACTGGTTTTATAGCCTTACAATTGAAACACGCACAGTTTGGAAGCCCTTCTCAGTTATAGATTCAGTCAGACTGGAGGATTCTTTTCGTAGCAGTAAGTATAGTCTGTTTTATTTATTGTAGTTTCAGTCAATGTTTCATTTGGAAATGTTTGTTCCGAAAGATACTGCAGAAGAGCATATTCCAACGAATGGTGGTAGATATGATGTGGATATCAGAACGAGATTACGATATCCCATATACTGGGATGAAGATCCATCGGACGTGCGAAGATGCTCTTGGTTTTACAAGCCAGAAGGTGATTCAAAGTTTATGCCATATATTGAAAATGATGCCAGAAAATTAGAGGTAATTTGTTGTAACTTTTTTGCAATATTTTCTGTTATGTTTATACAAATATATATGTATATATATATATATACAGGAAGAATACAAAAATACTTTAGTTAGTGGTCAATGGCATCGAAAAGTTGAATTATCCGACGGTCACGTTGTCGTTTTTCACTCTCCAACAGCAATAGTGCAATTCAAAGCAACTGATGCAATTGATGAATGGGGAAACGTAGGCAATGATTCCAGGCCAAGGATTGTCAAAAGAGGGGTAACTGATATGGATGGCATTGAGGAAGGAGAAAGCCCTCAGGTGGATCATCTAGTGTTTGTCGTCCATGGTATAGGTTCAACATGCGATCTTAGATTTCGCAACCTTGTAGAATGCGGTATATTAATAATTTCTGATTTCAATCAGCAACTAAGATTTTACTTTTTAGTAAATGATATGAGGGAAATAAGTGAAAAATTGATACAGTCTCACTTTGGACACTACGTTAGAGAAGGCCGGATAGGACGAGTTGAGTTTCTACCAATTAATTGGCATGCTGCTCTTCATAATGATGCGAATGTCATAGACGAGTATACATTTGCCAAAACTAGAGTATCATTATTATATTTGATTTTATTAGACAGTTGAAGTCAATTACATTGAAAAGTATAACAAAGTTAAGAGCTTTTACAAACGATACGCTGTTGGATATTTTGTTTTACTCAAGTCCTAAATATTGTCAAGTATACTTTTTAGATTAATGCGATCATCTTTGGTAATAGTTTTCATTTACAGAAAATTTCTGATATTGTTGCCAAGGAAATGAATCGTGTTTATGACTTGTTTTTACAAAGAAATTCTGATTTTAATGGTGATGTGTCTGTTTCTGGTCATAGCTTGGGTTCTTTGATTTTATTCGACTTGCTATCTCATCAAAAATCACTAAATAGCAAAGAACCAACTAATTCAGTTCCTCCTGTTCAAGATTTAGCAGTAGGTCAAGCATTTAATGATAGTGGCCTCTCTAGATCGTCAACACCTTCTAGTCTAGTAGGTGAACTCGTTTATTCTAATAAAATTATTTAACAATTAGTATAAAATCTTTTCAGACAATTGATGATCCTAAAAATGAAAATATAACTACAGTTTTAGAGAAACTATCACTAAACGATTATAAAGGAGTTTTTGAAAGAGAACATATAGATCTCGAAGCCTTGGTAAATCAGTTTTAATGCAAATCACTTTAAGAGCTTATTGTTTTCTATTGCAGCAAATGTGTGACGAATCTGATATTAAAGACTTAGGTCTACCGATGGGACCTCGTAAGAAGATTTTAGCTTATCTGAAAGGTTTAGCAAAAAGACAAAATGATTCGAAAACTGCTCATGAACAGATAAATCTAAATAGTCGTGAATCGACACCCTTCTCTTCTGGGTATGTTTAATGTATAAAAAATACTTGTTTCTTCCTTAAATGCAAAACTTCATTTTGACAGCGCAAAACTGGAGAAAAATGCATCTCTAATAGAATATGATATGACTTTAAGGGGAATTGGAACACCCCATGTTGAATATAGCCAATTATCTTTCTCAGTAGTCAACATGTTTGCTTTAGGTAGTCCAGTAGCGATGTTGTTAACCGTTAGAGGAATTTGTAACTTGGGAGAATCATTTCAATTACCTACATGCGTTGGCTACTTTAATATTTTCCATCCAGTAAGACTACTTTCCTTCATTGATTTAATGTAACTTTTCTGTCTAGTTTGATCCGGTAGCATATAGATTGGAGCCTCTTGTTACTTCATCACCTCCCCCTAAACCTGTCCTTATGCCTCATCACAAAGGAAGAAAAAGGTTACATTTAGGTAACTAATGCAAACAGATTTTGTCTCCTTGTGTGAATTAAGTTTTTTGTAGAATTAAAAGAATCGATGATGAGGATGGGGTCTGATATCAAACAGCAAATCCTTACGTCAGTTCGAAAGACTTGGAACACCTTAGCAGAGTTTGCAAGGTCTCATAGATCCTCAGCTGAGGTGGAAAAGGAAGTTGATTCAGTACTTTCATCTTTAAATGTACCAGACGAAACAGATACAGCTTGTTAGTATCTTTTCATTGTATAGATACAAATACTTTAAGGATTGCCTTTAGCAATAGCATCAACTGTTGTTGAAGAAGACATATTGGAGGGGCAGCTGAACCAAGGCAGACGAATCGACTATGTTCTTCAAGAGGCTCCTCTAGAGAGCTTTAATGAATATATATTTGCATTAGGGAGTCATTTGTGTTATTGGTGAGTGTGATATTTGCTCGTAATTCTAGTTTCCTATGTATCTCTAAATTGAATGTTCTTCAGGGATTCGGAAGATACAATCCTACTTTTTCTGAAAGAAATTTATTCATCGTTTGGCATCGCTCCTATCAAACCAGGATCAAGGTCTTCATTTCAACTATTCTCATCGCCTTATCAAAGTTTAGCTGAGCAGGCTCCTGTAATGCTAACCGCACCTACTAATACAGGAAGCCAATTTGTGACACCAGGTGCTCCTCTAACAACGACTGGAAATTTATCAGTTTCTGCTCCTCCTTTATCTGGTTTCGTGAGAAGATAGACATATATTGATAAAATTTAAATTATTGAATAATTAAAGATAAAATTTCTTTATAATTACTAATTTCGTAGAAAGTTTTTAAGCATTGCATAATTTAACACGCGACATATTAAGATTAACATGCTGAAGATCCTACAAAATTTGCTCATTTTAGAAGAATTAGTATTTTTTCAGAAAATATACGAATACTTAAATTCATATGCTATACTCAGTGATAGTTAGTGACTAAAACGGCAGGAAAAAAAATTCTTGACATTTTAGAATGAAAAACGACAATAATATTTACCATTCTATAATTTTCAAACAACTCGATTAACAAGATTTGCAATACGCAGCTATTGCTTAATATGATGGGAAGCATTTAACTTTAAAGGCAATTTTTCCGAAAAGTTGTACAATTAGAACACGATCGAAAAGAAAGATAAATATTTTAGAAACAATGCTAATAAAAAAAATCATAGACAGTATTAGGTTGACTTCGCCGTAGTAAGCCTAAACCATTAGAAGCCTGTAGCTTAGTAATTTTTGCAGTTTACTGCCAGAAAGACAAGGATTAAGTATTAATTTCTTTGATATTAGATATTCCTAAAGAGTAACTCATTAAAAGTCAAAACCAACAATTAAACTGTCTTAATTTTACCTTACTTTGCATAATTCGTAGAAATGTCATTTAACCAAAGAAAGTGCGCTAATCTAATAACGACATTTATAAATGAGTTCGGCTAACGGGAAAAAAGCTGGTTTCTAGAAATGTATGTCTTTCACTGTTCTTGAAACGTTATTTAGCGAATTTGGCAATATACATTTCTTCTTGTATCGATATGTGAAAGCAATGTAATTGAGTAAACATATAAAAAAATATGTGATTACTGTGATTTACTAATTGAACAGCTGACTGAATGTTATAAAATAATTTTTAACATATTTTTAAGAAAGCTCTACAATGATAATTTATGGTTTGTCTTATAAAGTTATTTAATTGTATTATATTTTCTGAGATATTTAGCAATTAAACTAGGCAAAAGGTGCGTTGGTTAATATTTTTAGCTTCCTGTTATTATAATTTATTGATTTGATAAAATGTATATAGTGCAAACACAGTTTTTCGAACATTTTGTGCTCATATACAGTACAAGTATACTTTTATTGAGATGCATACATTTTCATATAAGATATATAATAATTCTATTAATATTAATAGCTAAAATATTAATATTTTTCGATTTAGTGAAAAACAACATAACTGCCCAAGGGAAAAGTGGACTTTTTAGCTATTTTTTCGGAATATCTAAGCATTAAATTATAACAGGTCAAAGACAATAAATCCATCACTCGTGTCTTAAGAATAAATAATGCAAAGCAATAACTACTCTCATGTTTATAAAAGATTACGATTTTGAAGAAAATTTGAATTATAAAGAATAATAAGTGATGAGGTTGCAGATCATGTATATTTGATATGGTTTTTATTTATAAGTCCATACTGAAATTAACTTCGAATATGCATTAAAGCAAGTGCATCAACACGTTCTCGAGCCTTCAGTTCTATGTTCGTTGGTATTTCGTAGTTTTCTTTTGTAAATGGGGTAAAAATTTGGAGTGCCCTTAATGGAGAGAAGGCAGAAGGCAAAGATAGGAATGGAGTTCTAAATAATTGCTGATATGCTTGTAGTCCATTATGCTGTTGGTTTGTCCATTGATTATTAGATAAAGAGTTATAAAGTTGTTGCCCACCAAGTAAACTCTTTTCTTTCTTACGCCATTTAGCTCTTCTATTCTGAAACCAAACTTGTATTCGAGATTCGGGTAAACACAAATGAGTGGCCAGTTTTTCTCTCATGAAAACATCAGGGTAATGAGTTTTCCTGAATGCTCTTTCCAAATCCTGAAGCTGACCTGTGGAAAAGGTTGTTCTTTGCCTTTTAATCTTTTCAGCCTGCTGTGTATCTAGTTTTTCTTCTTCGCTACTTAAACCTTCATCATAATTCAAATCTAAAATTGAATCGATCGAAAATTTCATTCGAGGAATTCCTTCCATGACGGAGTCGAAGCTGCAAGTGACAGAAATCTCGCATAAGCTACTATTAACGATTAGAACATACTCAACATAAGCGTTTGAAATTCGCTAAAAGAAGTTGGTTAGCATCAGTCATCTGGCTTCCTTAAATAAAGATAACGAATAAGTGCATTTGACTACTTTTTCCAAGTTTACGTCGGTGCTTCATTTTAGAATCAATAAAGGGTTGTTTTTAATTTAATTGTATAGTTTTCATATGGTCCATTACTTATTTTAGTGCTCTATCTTTAAGAAGTGGCTAGATATGCTTTGTAGTGTGAGACAAGATGTGTAAGACTTAACCTTTCAAGAAATATTTTTTGGATTCTGATATCTAATTCATACAATAGCAAAAAGTTAACATGTATTAGTTTACGTGACAATAAAAAATCGTAGTTGTGATTTTGTTTATGGTAAAACTCGTTCAAGCAGATGATAATTTTTATTTGCTTGATTGCTTAAAATCTAATAGTTTTAATATTAAAGGAAATTTCTAAGTTTTCATAAACGGATGCAATATTTCTTTGTTGTTTAAATGATGCTTACAGTCTAGGAAGCAATCCAGTAAATAATTCTTGTTTGCCAGTTCGAATCCTTTCATCTCTCTTCTCAGTCTTTTTATATCATTTCAGAGCTTAAGCTTCGTTCGGTTTTTTGTCAAAAAGAATTTTAAATAGATAGTATATTTCTAATAGAAGCCTTTAAAGTTCAATATGGTAGAGGAGAGCTTCAATATAATTCAAAGATAGGTAAAATTTCATCGAAAGATAAAATAGTGTATTTTCGTTTAATTGTGCATTCTCTTTAGCAGGAATACGGTCGTCTACTATTATATTGCTGGAGGAATCTTACATTTATGACATGCTACTTTTACTTTTACGGAAGTCTAAGATCTTTCATTATGGAAAATTTTAGTTCACAAGCAATAAATATCAGGTTGTTTTAAAAATCCACTAGATGGTGGTAGCGTAGCTTCTACTATCCAAATTTTTTTATTTTTAAAGAACTGAAAGAGATTCATTAACTTTTCAAAATATATTTTCATATTCCGTTTTGTAAAGAATAAACCGCCTTTTAAAACATTTTCTGTATCTAGATATAGTAATTCGAGTAAAGCCATTATCAGCTAATAATAAATTGTTTGCTTTTTCAGTAAATATAGAAATTCTTATTCATTGTTTATGATTTTGTTTTTGCTTTAAACGAGATTTCTACTTCCCTAGTTTTAAGCAGAATAACCGCAAGAGGTACGTTTAAATTTTTGAAACAGTGAAATTTAAATAATTTGTCATAATTATTACAACTATATCACTTTAACATGTGATCTTTTTAAGAGATATGGAAATAGCAGATGTTGATAGCTTGTCACTTTTTGCATATCTGAGATCACTAATCAGATGACATAGTTCATTCAATATAGTATATAAACAAAGAAGAGATATTTAAGAGCCAGAACCTTACCTTAAGCATAATTTAAGTATGAACTCTCTTATGTAAGTGAATCATACTTTTTAACTCAAGTAGAAATAATTTATCAACAATAATCATAAAGAATTATTTTATTTTATTCCTACAGTTCGTTTCTTTTTGCGACTTTGACTTTTGCAACTCTACTTTTAGCAGAAGAAGGTTTTAATTTTATTACAATTGGTGATTGGGGAAGAACACGAACCGCTGGCGTACCGAATAAACAGGATGATGTTGCCAGGCAGATGGATGTTTGGGCACGGGAGAATAATGCTGAATTCGTTTTAACTTTGGGAGATAATTTCTATCCCGATGGTGTGTTCAGTGCTGATGATGAACAATTTGAAACAAAATGGAGAAACGTAAGTCAAATGAAACTTTTAGAAAGAAATCTAGTTTTTTTTTAATAGGTCTATTTAAACCCATACCCGTCCCTAAGAGTAGAGTGGAAAATATCTTTGGGGAACCATGACCACAGAGTCTTCACTGGTCACTATCAAGTTGAATTTGGAAAGACAGAACCCCTTTGGGAGTTACCTTCTTTTAACTATACTTTTACCAAAACGTTTGGTGATACATCAGTTTTTTTTGTTGTTGTGGATAGCGATAGTTTATATTGGTTGGTAAATGATACTTTGAATGAGCAAGTATCGTGGTTAGACGAAACTCTAGAACAAGCTTCAGCTGACTGGGTTATTGTAGCCGCCCATCATCCTGTTTATTCATCCGGTCATCATGGTAGTGATTTCGGAATGATTGATGACGTAAGACCAATTTTGCTTAAACACAACGTAGACTTCTATTTAGCTGGTCATGAGCATGATTTACAACACCTTAACGGACCGCCAGGAGATTCTATCGAGTACGTAATTAGTGGTGGTGGAGGAGCCTCGGCGAGACCACAGAATGAGATTGCGGTAGAAGACTTAAAAGACATGAATGTTACACAAAAAATGTTTAATAGTATCAATGGTTTTACAGGAATTAAAGTAAAACAAAATTCCATAACTGTAGAATACGTCGATTTAGAGGGTACCATGTTTTATTCTTTTACTAAATATAAGAACTAATTTTAAAATATTCTCATATCTTATCATTCTGAGAAGAACTTTTCATTGAATTTAGATAAACGAGTTCTATTTTACGTTTGTGATAGGCAATATTTTTCTTATGAAAAGATTCTCTTCTGTATAAAGTTCTTATTCAATTTCAATATTCTTTTCGAAGTTTGAAAATTTTGTGAGAGCTGTTTCGAATCATTTTATAATTTATGCAACCTGACGATGATTCTTCTTTTCACCAGAGCACGCATATTCTTTATATGCGTATAGATTACAGTCTTAAGGAAGTTTTTAACAAACTTGAGATTATCATTTCAATATTATTAGCCTCTTATTTACGAGAGGTGGGTTTAGGATTACAATTAGTGAGAAAATTGACTTTTTAAAGAAGATTCTCATATTTATAGTGCTTAGTTTATAACACTAGCTTTTCTTCTTGCTAATGCTAAATAATACAAATAAACTATTAAAAGCAAAGTGAATACTTTAGAATTTCCTACTCTATTAAACAGCTTGTCAGAGTTCTCTCTTCTATCTACCCATTCTGAATTTTCTCAACACGTAATTGAGTATTATTTTGGTGTATAGAAATTAGTACACGTTATTTTTATCATTATATTGTGAAATTATTGATATAATTTTCTAAATAATTAGGACATTTAGAAATTTGAGATAAAAATTCCACGTCTTCAATTTTCAGTTTCACTTGTGCACATTCATCTCGTTTTATTAACGGGTTATAGTCTGTATTCCAAGTACAACACTAACTGCAATGTATAACTGTCAACAACTCATTTTTGTAGAATTCTTATTTATATTATTTGTCTTTAATTTTACAGCAAGTACATAGTTATGTAATGGGTTACTAAAAGATATTAAGATATCAGAATAATAAAAGCTGTTGACTTTTATTATTACTCTCTTTGTTAGCATCAGTGTATATCGATGGAAATTGACAGGTGATTAAAGTATATTAAAGCAATAAAAACAATACAATTATGTAACTGGCTCTAAAACATGCTTCTTCCGTAAGTTTCTCTCTTCTATAAACTCATAAATATTTCAATTTAATTATTATAGGTTATTGTCTGTTTTAATCTTTTTGGATGTCACTTCGAGTATAAAAGATCCGGAAGCATTAAATTTTATTGCTCTTGGAGATTGGGGAACGGATAAGGTACCGGATGAAGTTGATTATCAAGAGAGAGTGGCGAATAAAATGGCTGAGTGGGCAAATGAAACTGGACTTAATTTTATATTAACTTTAGGAGATAATTTTTATCCTGTGGGTGCCAATAGCGTTGACGATGAACAATTCAATAGGAAATGGAGACAAGTACGTAGATAAAAATCTTATACTTCAAAATCTAAGCGTGTTGGAAACTAAAATTTTATATACAATTTAGGTGTACTTGAATCCACATCCATCTTTACGAGTTGAATGGCAAATTTCATTGGGTAATCATGATCATTATTTAGATAACGGAAAACATCAACTGGAATTTTCCAAAGTCGAGCCTTTATGGAAAATACCAAAGTTTTTTTATACCTTTACAAAAAAAGTAGGATTTCTGGAAGTATTGTTTGTAGTAGTTGACACTGAGTCCATGTACTTTACTTCAAACAAAGGAGAGCAATTGGACTTTCTAAACACCACCTTAGCTAATAGTCATGCAGACTGGAGCATTGTGGCTGCTCACCATCCTATATTTTCCACTGCCCTACATGGGAATCATGAAGATTTAATAGATGAACTTCGACCAATCCTTATAGAACATAAAGTTGACTTTTATATTTTTGGTCATGATCATGTCTTGCAGCACTTAACTGGTCCATCCTTCGATAGTGTTACCTATATCGGAAGCGGAGGTGGAGGTCAATTCCCAACTGTACAAATACCAGAACATCTTGAAGAGTTAAAAAAATGGAATATAACTTCTAATATGTTTAAGAATACGAATGGCTTCACAGCAGTGAAGATCACAAAAGAATATACTGTAATAGATTTCATCGATTATAACGGTGAAAAGTTTTATTCAATTACGAAGACTAAATCATAAAGTGTTAATGATATGCTATTAATACATAATATGAAATACAGTATGTTAAGAATTCTCTGTGCCAGAAAAAATTCTGTATACTTTTGTCTTTAATATTATTTCTCTGACATTAACGAGAAAAATTTTAGACCCCTAGATTCTATTATGGATCATTAGTTTACTGTAGGCTAGAAGAAATTCTTTCAAGTCCTGTGTACTTGTCGAATCCCCATCAAACTCTTTCTTTGTATACAAATATAAAGGCAATTCTGTTTACATCATCTTTTTCTCACTTAACGATGCTTTTCTATTATTAAAAATATAAGAAATAGGCGAATAATTAACAGTACTAATCAAATATTCTATCTAGTTCATAAACAAGTGTGAAATGGTAATGGGAAAAAATATGACAGTTGAAGAGACTGTTGCAGAGAGAGAGCATTGTAAATCAAAGGAAATAATGATACAAAATTTCAAATTTATTATAAATTCCAAATAATTATAAGGAAATGATAATAAATTGCGCAGAAAAAAATCGACAGCAAAAAATTTTTGATGCTGTGCAGAACAAGATTTCTGCAAAAAAAAATTAAAGAATTTCTGTCACTGTCAGGCTCTAAATAAAATTATCAAAAATATTTTAAAAAGTGAGGGTAGAAAGTAAAGAAACTTGCGGAAAGAGCCTTATTCAACAAACCATAAGATAAAGAAGAGAAAATCTATATAATTGAACAAAATGTTAAGACTTTAACATAGTCAGAGAGTCTCCTGGGAAGTCATAGCAAGACTTTTACACTGCAAAGATAGCAAGCAGTTCAATAATATTCAAAATCTTAAAGCTGCGATCTTCATACAAAGATTGTTCGCCACTGTATACAATATATGTAAAACATATGCAAAGAGAAAATATGAAATTGCTTATTAATTGTTTCCCTTATTTTTAAGGGAATGCTGTTCGATAAAATAGATAAGAGATTTGATCTCATTTGGAATGCCTGTAAATGATCGTTATATGACTATGCTGAGATGATTTCTTTTACATCTACTTTCTGTAGATTTTATGAAAGTAAACTGAATAACGCTTTAATACTAACTTCAAAGAATTCAAAGCTATCTAATATTTTTTCATGTTAGGAGATTGAATTCATTTTTGTCTTTGTTATAAGACTGTTTATTAAATTTAGGATCTTTAGGTGTAAAAGATATATCCTTCTGCTATATGCTAACTGATAAATTTAAAAAATAATTGACTCAATAAGCAGTTTAATAACATATTCTCATTCAATCATCCGTAAACTGATGACTTTTTGCTTGATCAGAGCAAAGTTTTTCAGTAATACAAACTGAATTTAATCAAGACTTCAATATTAGTACGAGCTATACCTGGATATTGGCTCATTTTGAAGCTTAAGAAATCGTCTTCTCTTCTTTTGAACCGATTATCGGATTACATGCCTCAATTCGAACATCATTTATTAGTACTAAACTTTTACTTTAGCTAAAAATGGATTTAAGCGGTGCTTCGTATTCAGCTTAGATAGATATTGCTTTTCCATGTCAGTACATTGTTCGATTTGATTAAGAGAGATCAAAGCTAGCTTAGGATTAATCTGAGAAATCATTTGTATTTATTAAATATATAAATCTGTATCGAAGCCAATTTTAAGTCGATAAATGTTCTTTGTAGATAAATCAGAAGGCTAAAGTTAATTCTTTGACTTATTTAAATCATTATAAATATATTGGCAGGATTGAAACTTGATTTATTTCAAAGAACTCACTTATTTTGCAAAATAGCTCCAAAATCTTGGAAGACCGGAATTTATCCCCTGCTTCGTTTAAATCTATTTTACAGAGTATTACTACTAAATACAGAGACTTTGATGATGAGTATAGAAATAATAATTGCAATTGATGGAATAGTTGAATGAAATTCAACTTATAATGCAATAAATTATAGCCAATAATTAAAGGACTTGAAAGGCCTTGTTATAAATAGTTATCTCTAAAGGAAACTTCCGTTGTCATATGGATAAAACTACAAAATGTAAGCCTGTTTAAAACTATTATCTTCCTTCTTGCCATTTAGATAACAGAGATTTTATTGTCAACTATTAAGCTGTACAGGACATGTTCTGGATAAAATGATTGTTTTAACAGTGAAAAGTTTAGTGGATATTTTGATATAGTGAGACGTTTAAGATAATTAAAATTCTTTGAAGACTTGTATGGGAATTCACATCTAGCTATCTCATCAGTACTAAAAAGAATAAATAACTCTAGGGGGAGAGGAGGTTGGAAGGGGAGGGGGAAGGAAAGAGAGAGAGACACTCTTTGATATGAAGATATAGCAATATCTGAGACGAAAGAAGACTGTTAATTTACAAAATCAATAGATAATAAAGGTTATAATCAATAAACTACTTTATTATTGTTTAGTCAAATAAGAATCTGAAAGATAAATTTTTTGTCAGATTTCCAATGTATAGATCTTAAATTAAATGTCTTTTTCATCTTTATATAAATCTCCAATGAGTATTGAATATCAGAGAAACACTAATTCGAAAGATATTTTATTTTTTCCTTAACTAATTAGACCCTTTAAAAGTCATATTACGACTACACAATCCCAGATAAAATTTCGGTGGAGTAAAGGAATACACATTAAACATAATTCTTAGTTATCATCATCAACGAACGTTATAAAGAAAATTATACAGAAATTATTCTAAAATTATACGACAGCTCTTCTCCATCGAAAAATTATTGTTTACACATAATGATACAAAATTTGACTGTAACATTTATTATATTTTGAAATTGTTTTTTGGTACTGTATATATATCTTGCATTCTATTTATCCATAAATAAAGTCGCAAAACTTTAACCTTCGCTAGAAAAGGGGGAGTGCAAGGATTTATGGTAGTTTTTTGGATTAGAAAGATTACACAAAAGATCGCCCGTTGAAATTTTACGTCAGATAAGATACGGGGGAGAGACTTATTTTTCTATTTTCTATTGATTTTTTCCTAACTCTTTTCTTTTAATGTATTATATCATGCCTCGATATTCTGATTGACGGTTATTTCAAGGGACCATAAAAGTGGCCTTCAAAATACCCTTTCTTTTTAAATTACATCAGTTATCCAGATGAAAATCAACTGCTTTAGATGTAGCAACTCGGGCATTGATGAGACCGTACAATAAATCCTAAAGAGATTTGATGAATGAATAACTTTCCGATCTGCTAACTCTTTTATCCCTCTAACTTTTTTTTTGGCAGACGATTGTAGTTCCATTTGACACTGGAATTGAAAAATATAGAAAATTTGTAATCAAATATTGCAAACAATTATACAATATAACATTGTATATTATTTATGTAAGGGAAGAGTTTATATTTAATTTTTAATATTCATATGCAATTTACTTAAGATATGTAATACTATTAATTGAGTAGTTTTGTAGGTTACTCCTTTTTCTAATGAGTAACTGTAATCAGTAATTGGAATTTTATTGTAGCTGACAAAAAGAATTATGATAAACTGCGAATTTTGCTGATATCTTTTTCTTTTTTAGTAAAAATTTCAATATTGAAGATGTTTCAACAAGTTTTTTGGATTTCAATTTTCTTAGGCAGATTGTTCATCGTGTTGAGGTTTAATAAAAATCTATTTTTTTTAATGATTGTGCTCTGTCAAATGATTATATTACTTAAGTTAATATTTATATAAAAACAGCTCTAAAGACGCAAATGAGAAAAGGTTAGTTTTTAAACAGTTTTAATAGTCACCTTTAAAGGTCTTAATAATTAAGTAATTACTACTAAAAATTACTATATTACTATGCAAATTGAATTTCACCTGTAGATGGCATTATAACTGCTTTCATTCACGTTAAATAGTTTGTTTCTTAACAGTTATTGAGTGATGTTACCTTGATATTTTCTGATTAAATGCAGCCCTAAAATGTCTAAAGCTTGTTACGAAATCTATTCTTTAACCTTGGTAGATAAATTATGTGAATATGTTAGCTAAGAAATATACGTATTATTGAATCTTGGATTTAGACAGCCTTGTAATACTTTTTAATAGCAATACAACTAGAATGATTGAGAGTTCCGGGACAGAAGAGAAATTGGAGACAACAGCAGAAGTGAAACCAAAGAAACCGGATCAGCCTCCTAACAATTTATTAATTGTAATTACAGTCGGGGCTGGTATTGCAGTTGCTATATTACTGTTCAGTATAGTTTGCGGTTTGTTAAGGGGGCAGTGTCTAAAGAGAAAGAAGAGAACTTCCCGGGGTATATATAGAAGTTCTAAGAAACATGTAAACCGACTCTCTACCGTAACGGCTCGGTCCAGCTTCGAAGCAGGCCACCGAAATCTACCTAATTTTAGGTATAAAGAAATTTGCATAAAAGAAATATATTTGATTGCAAAATTGAAAAATTCTAACAATGATTTCTCGTTAAATTTTCAGATCGATGCATAGATCACTATTACAAATTTACGATAGTGTTGATGCGGCTGAAGTGACAATCGAGTTACCAATACATATAAATGAACAACAAGAAAAATTTGTCAGATACCCAATTTTAGACGCTAAGAATAATACTATTACAGAGATAACTATACCACTTGGGAATGAGAATAGCATATATAAAGGTGTCACCGAATTATAAATCTTATTATGTCTTAGAAAATATTTAATTATTTTCTTTTTTTACCTTGTATAACTTCTTTGTGGAATTTTCTTTTAAATTCTGACTGATAAAAAGTGGCATATTAAGAGACTTTTTGTAATTTTGTAATCATCTTTGAGGCGACAGAAATTTTTGTCGCTTTGTTTTTATTGCTACATGGAAAATTTGTGTGAAATTGAATTATATGAATATATAATTTTTAATGAATATTTATTAATCGCTTTATTTATTCAAGCAATATTCAATTATTCAAGTGCTTAACTGAGACAAAAAAAAACAAATTGAGAACTAATAGAAAAATTTTTCTATATCATTTCTGGTGTCTATGGAAATATAAACTCTCTTTCTTCGTTCAAAACCTGTCGGATAAAAAGGGTACATTTAGATGATTAATATGGGGTATAAGAATGCAAATGACGAGAAAAACATCATGTAGCTGAGTAATTAGTAGAAATCGAACGAAATATATTATTAGTCTGTTAATATTGATTTATAATTATAAGTCTGCAGAAAAATATTTTTGTTAGAGTCAGAAAATAGCCAATATTAGTTGAATATCTCCACTCAATACCATTCGTCTTCACGAGCAAGTGGCTTTGGCGCTGGCATCTTGTAGCTTTTAAACCTAATTTCATAAATCAGTAATTTATAAATCTCCAATTTACACGTTTCAAGACTTCATTTTAATTAATCAGAGACAATAAATATATAAATCATAGTTACTTTAAATTAGGATACAATTCTTGCTGTGATGGAGCCTCTGGGACCGGACCATCTAGAAAAGCAAAAAGGTTTAAAGGTTTATTCATTGGTAACAGAATTTTTTTCTACCTGTGTGAGATACTTTGTTTTTAAATGGTGGTCCTTTGTTGTTTTGAGTAGGTATATGATCATTTTGCATCGGTAAGCTAGAAAAAAGTGAATATAAAATATTCATGACATTTATTGTATAAATTTTTAAAGAATGAAAGAAAAGTAACGTGGTCGACATTTCCTTTTTGTTTTTGTTTCCCAACTAAACAAAAACAATACAACACGAAAAGGCTTTTACAATAAAAGGTAATATTTTAGTAACTAACCTCTGGTTTGTATTCGGTTGAGAATGAATATTTTCGAAACGCATTTTACGGAAATGTTTTGCTAACTTAACGCCAAAAATTACACTTGGAATCATAAAAAATATAGCCCATCCTATGCCAAACCAGAAACCATTCTGTAAAGACGATGAATTTTTATATAAACGCCGCTGCAAAGGATATAAATTATAGTTTAATGCAAGATTTTCTCACCACTGAATAAGTAAAGTAGTGACATAATCCAATATTAAAAAGGCTGTCCCAGACGTTATATATAGTAGAACACCTTCCCACATCAGTTCTCATCTAGATAAAAAAGATCTAATTGACCAATTGTTTTGCTTAACAAACCACTTACAGAATACACTGCTTGCTTTTTATATTGATCGGCAGGATGAACAATTCTTTTACCGTAGTTGGAGGCCGCCTAGGCAAATTAATTCTTCGTATTAAATTAATTGTTAAATCGTGAAATATACACGCTCCCTACATTTTTAACGTCGGTGTCTGATTGAGTTGGAAAATAATTATTGCTGGCTTTTGCTGTATTTATTGCTGTTTTAATATCAGCTTGAGTTTTCGTTTTATCAGTTTGCAGCTGAACGACGTCTCTCAATAATTGATTTTGATTATTATATGCCGTTGCATAGGTTCCAGTGTTGTAAATTGCTTTTAATTGGGTAGCATAGGCTAACAGTTCGTCCTAAAAAGAAAAAAAGAGATCTTATTGATTAGGTGATTTAAGTATTTTCTTTTTATCTAAATTTCTTTCTACTTTAGCTGGATTTATAGTTTGACCGTCATTAGCTGAATTTTCCATTTGAGTGGCAAATGTCCCTAGATCAGTTCTTGTCGTCGATTTTGAGAGCTGAAATAGAAAGGAGACAGTTGCACTCGAAACATCAAAGAAGGTGCTATTAGATTAAAGTACAAACCTCATTTATATATCCATTATAATTGATATTAAGGGAATCGTGAAAAGCATTTAATAGATCTTCCATTTCCTGATTCATAATTTCAATATTACTTAAATCAACTTGCATCTTATTAATTTCTCCCTCGATGTCGATTGACTGTATAACGGTATAGTGTGTGAATTGTTGTCGTAGTTGTATACTTGTACAAGTTTTATTTTGTTTTAAAAGTATGGTTATTTTTATTTACGGAAAAGAAATTGAATAAATTACTTTCTTGTAATCGGAAGCCGTATCCAAATCAAATTTCCTATCGAGTTTTAAGGCCGTGAAGGCCGCCGTATTTAATTTGCAGTCGCTGAAAAAGAAACTTATTTGATTCTCAATATTAAATTTCTTATTTTTCCTAACACTTTCCCTCTTCATTCAATTATGTCTGTTATAGATTCGTTTAAACACGAATGATTTAAAAATATTGATTACAAAAAATAGTAAAGACAAAAAGACGTCTGAATCGATAGTCTGGAGGCATTTCTTTATAATTAAATTGATCACCTTCAGATGTTCGAGATTACTAAGCAGAATATACTAATAGAACATGGTCATGTGAATTATAATACTAATTAAGCTATTAACTTAATTTGTGACCAGACAATAAGAATTTCAAAATATGTTGTTACCTTAGAACACCGGAGAAGGTTAAAGGGACTGTATCGTTCTGGAGAAACATTTCGCCTAAGTAATATTTGTTTTTACCAAATATGCTCCTGGGACCATCAAGGAGTACTTTAATTCCAGTCATTTCCGAATCCGTGAAAACGTCGCACACAATTCTCTGAGTCATAGCTCCAGCAATCAAATAAAGTATTGTTGTAATAAGCATAAAAAGAGGAGTAAAAATGAATATAAAGGCCGTTGAACTAAAGTTATTGGGGATTAAGACGTTAGTGTGATCAGTGTCTCTAAAAAAAATATTTCTTACGAAATGAGCGTATTTCCTCCATGATTACTTAAAGAGCTTCTATCCACGGGCGAAGTTTTATGATTGTACCCAAGTAAACCACATAAAAGTCCGAACAAAATCAAACACCCTATTAAGGCTATTATTCCCCCAAAGCCAAAGCCAACATATCTTCTATAAGGATTGTAATCCTTTGCGTAATCAAGATATTTCAAAACGTCTTTCTTTGAATCATCTAGATTTTCAGAAGCCTAGATTGAAAAATAAATGTAAGTATTTGAGTTTATTTGAGTTCTTTTTAGGGAAAAAGTATCAAATGAGATTCTTACGTCCTGGGGGAGTTTATTGATATTTTCAAGCAGATCCGTTAAAATTTTACTAAAATTACTTAGTTGATTTTTTACACCTGTCCAAAAGAAAATTTGCTTAGTCTGGGAATAAAACAATATGAAATAATATAATTTACTGAGTAAAGTAGGTAGCGATTCATTTATCACTCGATAAGGTATCAAATCAAATTGTGTTTTACCCTAAATGTAAGACAAACGTTATATATTCACAAACTTAATTAAATAATCATAATGCTATTGATATAATAGTAAGCTGTTAACAATATTATACTACCTGATCTGCTTTTTTCGCAATGTCTTGAGCCTGAACAGCTCTTATAGCAATCAAATCTGTAGTTATATCGGGTAGCTAAAAAATACACACGAGCACAATTCATTAAACAGAAGTAAAAGGACAATGTAGGTAAAAGAAAAATCATTACTAGGTTGTAATCAACTTCCATAGTAAGTAGAGTTTGGTCTAGGGCTTGGCAAGAGGTTAAACAAGCTCCTGTCTGAGCTTTAGTAGCGGCTATTTTGTTTCGCATATCCAATAAACTGGCTTCTAAATTCGTACCGTCAGGCTTTATGCTATCGGTGTTATTTTTAATAGTACTCATCTGCTTCTCCAGTTCATCGACTCCTAGATTATTTAAAGTAAGTTAATTAAAAGTTTTTGAAAATATGATCAGAATATACTTGGATCGAGATTTTTTATGTTATTAATGCTATTATCAACATTTGCTCCTGAAGAACTACCAAGATGGTTTCGTAGAGGAATTCCCATGAGATAGCCAACATCTAAAATATCATTTTGTTAATTGTTAGTCTAATCATTTATTATGTTTTCTTTTAATAGCTTACTATCTAAATCCCTATTTATAACTGTGCCAGCAAAATCAAAGCTTCTCTTTGTAGCGTGATTAGTCTCATCAACTACATTCTCCAAAAAAGTGTTCAAGTCATCATAATCATTGGATATAATATTATATAAACTATTTATGGCATCTGTTGTATACTCGCTAGTTGCTATCACACAAGCTGCACTAGTTCTACAATAGTTATAATAATATATATAAGAAAAGTGAGTAATATGTAATTGTTTATATCTCATCTTCAAAAAGAAACTATGAAAGATTTATTTACTATACGCACCCGATAAAGGCTGTGAATATAACCAGTAAGGCCGAAAATATTATCACTTTTACTCTATCATAAGATCCTTTATTTTGAATACGTTTACCCCCGCAATTTCCACATAAGCGACAGCAACAAAAACATAGTCCAATAATGGGCATAAATATTACAAATAAAATACCAAGACTCCCACAAATAATAATGCCTACTCCATATTCCTTTATGACATTTTGAATGTCCAATGAGTTACCCTCCGTATAATCAAGTATCTCTGTTAATTTTAGCGTTAATTTAATTAAACTTAGATTGAATAGAAAAAAATCAAGAGTATACCGTGAAGCGGAGTTTTCGGCTGAGTAGTTTTCAAGAAGGAATTTACAAGATTAAAGTAAGGCTGAAGACCTTTATCTTCAAACTTTGTTTCGTTTTGTTTATATGATTTTCCTTTAGGCAATTCAGACCATGTTATATTACTGTCTTCATTGGCACGATTGCCTAATACATCGCTAACTTCTTTAGGTTGAAGAACTGGATCAGCAGAGGATGAGAGATCACATGTACAAAGAAATATTAGGATAGAGGACACCAATAGCTGCATCCCTCAGTTCATTTAATTTAGAAACTCTGCAGAAGAAATTAAGAATACAAATATAAGTTGTATCCCTTTCTTGAAGAATATTCCTTAATCCTTTATCTCCTAGTTACTGTTAAAAACATTGTAGGGCAAAAAATCGTTAATACTGAATTGTAAACAGGATCAGCTATATAAGGTGGTACCGATTTTACTGGCCAATTGATTGATTTTTTTTCACAATAACGATTTAAGAATTTTGACCCAACCGAAAATAAAGCTTATTGCGAATGTAGTCAAAACTATATTGTATTGTTTTTTTAGTTTTGGTAACTGTAAATATTTTTTTATGAAATTGAATAAGATAATGGATCAATAGAAAATAGATTCATGATTATTGTTTCAATGGAGCACGTTGAAAATAAATTTAATGAATAGTAATTAATTACGTCCTGGTGTCAAAAATGTCACTTTTTTCGTAAACTATAGGTATCTAATCCATGTCGTTCAATATTACTTTTTAGTCAAATATATTTGACTTAAAATACATTTTGTATGGCAAGGATATTTGCTAATTTTGTCCTTTCGTTATCGTATTTGCGTTACCGTATATTAATATTCAAAAGTCTGTCTCACCTTTGCCTCTTTCTTATTTAGAAATTGAATTTATTACCTTCAATTTCTAAATTCTTCCAATTAAGGTAAATTTATCTAAAAGAGTAAATGTGGGTCTTTTCTAGCAGATCAATGTCATAGCCAAAGCATTATGAAAGTCCACCGCTCTGGAATATGTAAAAGCTAAATTGATCGACGCATGCGCAAACAAATGCATAAGACGATGTTTGTACCTGTACAAAGTATGATTAATGAAAAAAGGTATAGAGGGAAACAAATATGTGAATCAATAATTGAGGAGGTTTGCAATAACTTGCCATTCACAGTACTTTTTTCAGGTGAGAGAGGCACGTAAGTTTAGGGGTATAGCCAGCATGTATAAACATATTCCACTAAGAAGCTTAATTTTAAACTGAATAATCGGGAAAGATGAAAGTTCGTTGAGAAATTTTTTTTCTCACTCTATAATTGAAAAAGTGATAAAATTTACTTCAGTACTCACTTGTCTCTGTCTCCTTTTGAAAGAGATATCCTTTGAAGACGCTCTCGTAATCATTTCTTCTCCATAGAAATCGCACAAAAAATCTCAAATTAGCATTTTTAAAAATAAAGAAAGAAAATTCTGTCTTGATGATAGAATAAATATAATTTGAATTTGATAGATCTAGTATAAAAATGAGAGGCTCATAGAGTTTCACAAACTATTAAAGTGAATCAGACAAAGAATAAATTATTTGTATTTGAGAGCACATCGACATGTCTGTAATATTGTTTATAAATGAAGATAAAATGTAGTCCTAAGGTAATAGATCGTAAGATGTTAAAACCATGCATTTGAAGTTTAAAAATCTACTCTAAGCTTGCTATATGAAAGGGAAGGGAACTGATTTTTGGACATAGCTACCATTCAATGGAACGTCAAGGCTCCGCTGGCTTTCCTACTGACTAACTTTAGCTTTGCAGATCACTAGGGTTAAAAGACAATTTACTCATCTGATTTGACTGCAATCCCAGCCCCTTAAAATTTAGATAATTTTCTTAAATGTTTACTTTTACGTAATTTAAAATTTCAACTCGTCAAAATCAGTCTTTATTTTTGGAGCCCAATTTCAATTCGAAACAGATAAGAATCTTATCTAACTGTCAACCTTTCGAATGATACAGGCCTATCTGTGTATTTTTAATACATGTTACTGTCTCACTGTACCGTTTGATTGTATAGGTTAAAAGGAAGACCTTTAGCTTATATATTTGATAGCAAAAAGTTTCTTGCATTAATAAACTTGGAATTAAAATGCCCCCAGGTGAGTTTGTTCAGTAGCATCCGCTTTGTGAATCACTAGGGAATCAATTCTTTTTTTGTCAATTATTTTAAGCCTTGGAAGCCAGAAATAGAAAATTTTTTCTTAAGAAGAAGCAAATCCGGATTCTCAGTGGAGCATGCCATTATTTTCGAATTGTTCCTGAATATTGGAAAGATAGACTAATAAGACTGAAAGCAGCTGGTTTAAATTGCGTTGAAACGTAACCAATTTTATTTAATTAATTTATCTATTTAGAAAGTTGAATGCTTCTCTTTTTCATTATTTTTTATCAGTTATATTCCATGGAATTTCCACGAAAGACATAGAGACAATTTCGATTTCAAGGGATGGAGGAATATTAGGTTTTTTGAATTTCAATATTTCGTTTATTTAACCCATTCCCCTCTATTAGGCGTTTTGTAATGCTGGCAAAAGAATTGGATCTTTTGGTTATTATCCGGCCTGGTCCCTATATTTGTGCCGAATGGGAGTTTGGTGGTTTACCTAGGTTGATATTAAAAGCCTTAAGTAAATTTTTGTCTATTGTTGTACATTTATTGTACCTTAGAAGTTTTTTTTTGGTACAAATGATAATTAACGAAATTAGAATATAAATATTTGCATAACTGTTACTTTAATTACCATATCTTTCATCACCCTATATAGCTGGCTGTTGAGTGACCCTTATATGCAAGTTAGATCTTCTTATAAGCCTTTTGTAGAGAGAGTAGAAAAATATTTCCTTTCCCTCTTACCGGAATTAGTTGATCTACAAGCATCTAATAACGGCCCTATCATAGCTTGGCAAATCGAAAACGAATACGGCTCATATGGAGAAGACAGAATTTATACGAATTTTTTAGAGAGCTGCTTGAAAAGAGAAGGAGTAACAGAGCTGTTATTTACTTCGGACAACGGTGCCGGAATTATGAAAGGCCCTTTATCCGGTATTTTAGCTACTGTTAATTTCCAAGAATTGGAGCATGGGAAACTTTTATTTCATTATCTGAAGCATTCGCTTCAACCGAAAATGCCGTTAATGGTAATGGAATTCTGGTCAGGGTGGTTCGATCATTGGAAGGGAAAGCACGAAGTTTGGCCAGCAGAAGGTTAAATTTTCCTATAAATGTCAACTTTTCCTAACTATGTAAAAGGACATAAAGTAAAATAATAGAAAATTTACTTAGGCGGAAAAGTAGAGACTAGGGAAAGCTTGATTCTAATTTATTTTTGTAAATCAGAATTTGAAAAAGTACTTCGTTGGATTCTGAATGAAGGAAGTTCGGTGAATTTTTATATGTTTCATGGTGGTTCAAATTTTGGTTTTTGGAATGGTGCCAACGAGGAATTGTCGGCAACTAACGAACAAGAGGCAATGAACTACGCACCAGATGTCACTAGCTATGGTTGGAAGGAGGCTAAGAAAATTTGGTAGCAGATAGTAAAAGCGCTTTTTTTCAGACTACAATGCTCCACTTTCTGAAAACGGAGATCGCAATTTAAAGTACGACATAGTCGAAAAAGTCTTGAAAGAAATTTGCCCCAAAGACGGTTAGATAATATATAGGTAATTTGTTGCAAGAGAAACGTCACAAATTCTTCTCCATATTCAGTTACAAAACACCTTCCACCGTTTCCGAATACGATTCCAACGAAATCTTACGGTATTGAGCATTTTAACTCCATTTTTTTTTTGCTTAAACTGTGAAGCGTATATTTTTAGATGCTAATGATATATATATATATTATAAATGTTATATATAAGCTTATTCCGGTCCATATGAATTATAGGAAGAAACTTAACAAGCTAAACCTGTACATTTCGTGATGTAAATAATTTATTTAAGAAGTAAACATAATCGGTTAAAGAAAGCAGAGAGTGAAGAAAAGAACAAGTATGAAAGAAAGAGAATTTTATTTTAATATCCTGTAAACATCGTATATAGTCAATAGAACGATAACGGCTTATTTTTCGTTAATCCGCAAGCGTATCTGAGTATTGCAGATGGAAATGTAGCTTCTTCAATTTCCAAACGTGCAATTCTCTTTTTTTTTCTTGTATCACTTGTATTTAGACTAGCATTAATCTATTTATTTTTGGACGAAAATTGAATATACTGTATTTTCTTAGGGAAAGTGAATATAAATAAATACATAACCCTCAACGATGCTATAGGCCTTATTGAGCCTATTAATTCGAAAACCATTCTAACAATGGAAAACCTAAAGCATTCAGCAAATAAGTATTCTGGGCAATCGTTAGGTTATGTTCTTTATAGAACCCATATTTCGAAACGAGTGTCAAAGGTCACTATATCTGGAGGCATCCGAGATTACGCAACGGTATATTATTGATTTATCAATCGGTTGCACCGTATTTTTTCTATTATTTTCCCCCCTCGTTCAGGTTATGATCGACGGTCTTTTTGTCCGAAATATTGATTGTAAGGAAGAAAACGTAGTTCTAGAATTACAAGAAGATGGAGTCGAAAAAGTATTAGATATATTAGTAGAGAATTGTGGAAGAGTGAATTACTGCGGCTTCAATAGTTCGTTGCTAAATGATCAGAGAAAAGGTAAGCAATCTGATTTTATTTCTCAAATTAGGCGGCAACAGATTTCTTCAACTATTCAGGGTTGAGAGGAAATGTCTATGCCGACTCGGAGGTTGTTCTAAATTGGTTGATTTATCCCCTGGAAATGGAAAGCGATTTTATAAACGAGTGTGTTTTTCATTTTTGTTTAAATTTATTCAACCTAAATGTTATTTCATTTATAATTTAATTTTTTTTCTTTTCTCTTCAAATGTTATAAGTTCTTTTTTCTTAATTGTTAATTTAGATTTCTCTTAGGTCTTTTATTAAAAGCCTTATGCAAGAATTATTAATTTTGCTTATCAGGTTTCGTACTTCAATGATCATCGCTAAATAGAGTGAAATTTTTTAGGGCAAATGATTTTCTTTCATTTAACTCATTTCTGTTTCAGGGATAATAACTCTTCTTCTAAGTTAATTGCCGTATTTCTCTTTAACTACAGATTGCTAGAAAAAAAAGACGGCTGGAAGGCAGTCGAAATTTCAAAGAAAGATAATGTTGGATGCAGCCACTTCTGTTTGGCTACACTAACCTTGAACGATAAACCGGATGCAGACACTTTCATCGAATTACCTGACTTTACTAAGGGTTGCTTATTCGTTAATGGATTCAATCTGGGTCGATATTGGAAAGTCGGACCACAAAAAAAACTTTACCTTCCAGCTCCTTTATTAAAGGAGGGAGAAAATTCATTGATCGTCTTTGAATCGTCGCCGATATCAGGCAAAGATTTAGCCTTCTACGCTGAAACCGAGTTGGGAACAGAAATCGTCCACAGAACAGATGTTCCTCCTCGAGAGCGCCTCAAAATTCGTTTGCTTCGACCTCTACTGTGTCTTGGTCCTTGCCTTTGGTGTTGTTTAAGACCGTGTACCGATTAGTCAATATCCACTATCGATTAAACAAATACCAAATGAGTTGATAGAGCAGTAGCTTATTTGCAGTAATGGAAGTGATTTAATGATAATATAAATATAAATATATATATATATGTGTGTATATACTGTACATATACTAATATACTGTATATATATATATATATATATACAGTATATATTTATAAATTTGTTTATTTTCAGCATGTGCTAATAAGAAAATATATAAAATAAATTTTAACTATGTGTTAACTGCGTGTTACATATTTTCTAGGATGAATGTTACTCACTAGCTCTCTAAAAGCAGCAGTATTTCTGTCTAGAACCGAACTAACACCGAAACGCTGATAAAACGTTTCAGCTAGGCCGTCCTATCCCTTAATCCCTAAAGATTAAGAGTTGAACGACTGTTATACAGTTGTATTGATTGAACAAACAATAAAAAGGGTCGATGGAGAAGCATATTTACAATAATGGAATGATTGTTTTCTCATAGAAAAACAAAAAAACAAACATATTTAGTTGTTTAAAAAGAGAAACAATTAACTTTTAAATACGTTTTTGTTTGCGTTTTAGGTACATGTTAGCTTGTAAACTTCATTATTTACATTAATTAAATTATTATTAATTCTATTATTTATTTATAATGATTATAAATTTATACTAAATAACTGATTCTCTATTTGGGGGATCACTAGAAGTGCTATCCTCTGAACCGCAAATATGCATTTCTATTTCGTTCAAGCGCTGTTGAACGTTCCAATTTTGCTGATTAAGTTTGTGCGACATAGTCGCATTCTCTGCTTCAAGAGTTTGCAACCTTTCTCTTAATCGCGTAAGTTCAACAAGTAAATTCTCTGGTTGCTGTTGCTGTTGCTGTTGAGGTTGCTGCTGTTGAGGTAGTCCAGAATAACCGATTACGGGTGTTGTAAGATAGCCGGAGGGTGAAACGGATCTTACTCCTACAAGAGGTACATGATCCGATTGGGCAAAGGAAAGAGGTTGGAAAAAGGCCGGTTGAGCATAAGTTAAATGAGCGTCATTATCCGGTGTTGTTGGTATAATGGTTACACAAGGAGAAGGTGATTGTTTGTTAGAACTTGACGCTCCATCCGCTACTGCCAGGTGTTCCTCTTTAGATAACTTTTCTCCGACCTTCTCATTTTCTATAAAAACACAAGGCGTTGAAACTGGTGCCGAATGAGTTGAACCTTGTGAATTCCTTTGTTTAAGGAGAGCTGGAGGTAGAGTATGGTGCTTTGGCATCATTGCTATCACTTCTATCGGCGTTTTTCCAGAGGATTCTACCAATCCTGGAGTACTTTTACTTCGTGATAAGGCTGACAGAAATGAAGTACCTCATGAAAGAAATTATAAAAGAAAAAGCCCTATAAACGGCCTACTTTGTTAGCTTTTTTTCATGAATGTTAATTTTTTGTGTATCATGATTATCATTACACCATTTACGTATTAATGTATTAAAACCCGGTAGGTAAGCTTATTATACGCAGTATCTATCTATCCTCTCATTGTGGTCTTTTCTGCATTCATTTACCGTCTTATTTCGCTTTTTTCTTCATTTCTATTTTTTCCCCTTACACATCTACTTACACCCTCGCTCTCACTCACTCACACATACACTCGCATACACTAGTATACATTTTCTGCTTTTCTTCAACCTCTTTTTTATTTTTTTATTTTTTCCGAAGTCTTCCTCGATATATTTACCTTTTGTATCATCGCCTTTGTTCTCCAGTGGTTGTTTCTTATATTTTTCTAATCGCTTAACAGCGATAGCCTCCAATCTAACCCTTGCCGCCGGATAGTCCTTCAAGACTTCCCACAAATCATTTTTGCTGAGAACAAACAAGTCGGAATATCCGACTGATTTTACCGACGCTGTTCTTCTATTACCGGCATTTCCCATATTTAGAATTGATATCTCCCCGAAATAGCTTCCAGGTCGCAAGGTCGCTAAAACTGTCTTTCCGTTATCAGCGACGACTTGTAAACGACCTCTGCTTACAATATACATCTCTTTCCCAACTTCGCCTATTTGTTGACAAACAAGAGTAAATGAGTATATGTAATTAAAAAATAAATAAATAAAAATAAGTGTAAAAATTTAATTACAAAAAATCAATCAGAAAACATTGCATTTTACTGAATTGTCGTAGGGAAATGCACCACGGCGACCGCCTTTCTGCGCCAATCTATAAAATCAGTCAATTAGACGACCTACGGAACGCTTAGCAGTCTAACGGGATTGGCTAAAAGTCAAGAGTTCCTTAACCTTTGAAGGAAAATAAAATTTTCCTGGTAAAAAAGGGAGCAGAACAGGTTAAAAGAGAGTGAGATTCCAGCCTTTTTTGGTAGAGTAAATTGTATTCTACATGGTATCCAAATGAAATTTCATGATTTGTCACCTTAATCAATTATCAATTTGCAAACTAATTTAAACTATTTTTTTAATAAATTAGATTGTAATATTTTGAATTAACACATGCTGTATGTGCACGGTTGCTATTTTTGATATTAGGTTGTAAATCGAAATAAATCTAAATGGATTTGCGTGGAATGAGTACCGTATACAATGGAATTTTTTATAATTATATTCTTAAATCTAGGCTTACCTTTTCTACATATGTAGTCTCCGGGTGAGAACAGTACAGGTCGAAGTTTTAGAACAAGTTCGCAAAGGAAACCAGCTTCCGTATTCTGGAAGATTTCAACCCTCTTTAAAGTATCTAGATGAACGTGAAGGGCGATTTCCGCTTTGAGCTTGTCCGGTAGGAGGTTGAGCGTCGATTCTTCGTTCGACGACTTCTTACTGAGCCACAAATAATCGAACCATTTAATCACTCGATCCTGCAGTCTTAAAGGCACTCTTCGCAACGTCATGTACGTCTTCACACTATCCAATTTCGCTATTGTTGGTCATTTTTTTTTTGAGTAGAGAAAAAAAGAAAAAGGACTATTAGTGTTAATAGTAAAATAAGAAATTTTTAATTTGTATTGGGCGCCATCTACTAACAAATCGTGTATTCTAGTCACGCCTAAGTCTAACAGAATATGTTGCCAAACGTCAATTCACCCATTTCTTCTCTCTGTTTCTGTCATTTTGATTTGCAGCCTCGCTACGGTTTTTACATATATTAAGTCTATAAATAGGCCGAGAGCTGGCTAGCAGCTTTGCATTAATCGACAAGAAAATTGTGGCTGCTTTCTTACACTCAAGCTATTATTATTGTTATTATTCTATAAAATGTATAAGTAAAGATAAACTGTACAAAAAAGTTTCTGTACACAAAGCACATATAAATGAAAATTCTATAAAAAAAGAAAAAAAAGAAAAAAGAGAAAAAAAGTAAAGTAGTCCTATATATCGTATATGTGTATAATTTATCTGGGCTATAAATTAGCGAAAAACAGATGCTCGTTTTTCTCCCTTTGCTATGTATTTACGTTGACGGCCGACCCCCGATATATTGATTAGGTCTAGGCAAAATTTTCTCCTGAGGCCTTTCTTTTTCTTTCTTTGTTTAAGCAGACGCCAGACAAAAAAATCGAGTTAGAATTTTTTGCGGTTGGCCTACGGGTTCTCTTTGCAGTCGGCAACTGCATTTTCGCATTATCTCACAACAATTATATACGTCTTTATCAAACATTCAGCAATAAATGCGTATAAAAAGATAGAGCTGTTTGCAAAAGTACTATAAGATTCGTGAGAACGGCAATTAGGCCTAATGCAAAAGGTCGTTTGTCATTCCAACTCCGCCTTCCAATTTAATTAGTAAAATATTTCCGCCTGCATCTTTTTCATTCAAATATTTTTTTTAACGAGATTGTAGAAAGCGCATTAAACGTGTTGCCTATCTGATCTGCAAACTTGTGGGTTACTTTGAGGCCTATGTAGAATTTTAATCGGATTTATATCTCGAGAAACGCATCGATTATAAACTAGAGATGGTTTACTAGTTTGTAATCAATAGACGAAGTGTTTTCTTATTGAGCTATTGGCTGGTATTTCCATTGTAAAAAAGAAAATATTGGAATAGCTTCAATTGAAGCACTTGAATATAACAACAGCTTTTAAAGTGATTGTAAACTTTAGGCATCTAGGGTAATCTTTTAACCAGGTTAAGAAAAAGTCTATAGAATAGTTCCAAAAGGATACTCGTTAAGAGTATATAAGCCGGCTCTCTTCTAATTTATATTCTCAGCAGTTGTCTTTAACTGAGATGAAAGGGTCCAATCAAATTGTCATTTTATGTTCTTAAATAATACTTAACATTAATGTATATTTGTATATAAAATTCTATTATACAAAAGAGATTAATTAAAAAAGTTCATCTCCTCTTTTTCCCCTAATATAACCTGAAGAACGTTAATAGTAGAGCAAATCCCAATTATATGATTGATTAGAAGAGATGCATCAAACGTGTTAATTTTACCTTTGCTCATTTAAATGAACCCGTATGTTCATAATTAAAAATGGAAAACAAAAAAAAGCAACGAGGAAAATCAATGAAATTTCCTAATAGGTAATACATAAGAGGAAAAACTAAATTAGGAAAGAAAATAGCATCACTCTTTCTCTCTAAATGACCCCACCTCAAGGAATAACACTGAAACTAAACCTCTGCAGACGAATAACTTGTTAAATGCTGATCTATTGAACTAGAAAATAAAGCCTTTTGTCTTGTAGTGTTGAAAGATTATTCGGAAACGGAAGCAAAGTGAATGTCGAAGCACACACGATTCCCTTTCTGTATTCGTATAAAGTAACATGATGTCGGTTACTTTAGTTTTTAGATACAGTATTGCAGACTGTGTCAAGAGTCTTTCAGTCAAATGGAAGCAGTACGCACACTTTACATATTTACACATATATATGTCTTCTGTATATTTATGATGCATAGAAATATACTACTTTAAATATTTATTTATATATACTATGTTTAAAGTATATATTATGCACAATAAATATACATATAATGTATATAGCTGTCTAAATGTTGTGGGAGTATAAAAATGCAAAACGGGATCGATCTATAATTGTTTGTGTATGCGACAGATGTTTAAAAAATGCAGAATTGCCTCAGCAGTTTTTCAGCAGCACTTGAAAATTAAAAAAAAAACTGCAACAGATGCTCAATAATACCGTCGTCCGGTTCGATCTAAATCGAAATCTAATTTGCTTTATTATGCAGACGATATTCCCGTACTTGTACAGGAAATTGAAAAGCAGTTCTGGGCTTCGTCCAGGGTCGGCATTAAGCGTTTTCGACCTTGGCAAACAATATACGACAAACTGCATAGACGGGCTTGTAATGAGAAATTCGAGGATCTGTAATTGTCTCACGTTTCTTTTCTTTACCTCAAAAAAAAAAAGAAATCGGCGTGAGAATGGATTGTAAAAAGCCAATTTTGGTATGGGTAGAATTGAAGTTTTGTTCAGGGTTCCTTTTAATGGAAATATTTTTCCAAAAACATGGACCCTATGAAGGCATCACAGGGCGTCTAATCGATTGGCAATGTATTTATCGACAATCAATGCGACTTTTATAATTATTCCAACCAATACCCTCTTTGGGCTGTTTGAAAAAATAATCCTATTTTTAATAATGGCGTATAAGGAAGGGAGTAAAAGAATCTTAGAGGTCCTTGACCTTTTTACTGTCGATTACAGCATATGGCGCCAGATTTTGTCTTTGCAGCAGGTGGAAATCCAAATAGATAGCAAACTATCGTCTAAATTTTAATTTATAAATCTTTTTTTCTAAATTAATCTTACATTGTCTTACATCTTACAGTTTGCTGATCCAGAATTTTTACACAAAACAGCGTTTTCATGAGAATAAAATGAACACATTGCTTGTGAAAATTTCAAAAGCTGCTTAATTTCCAATTAAAGCTGTAAAATAATGCCAGCAGCTAATTCTGTCATATTTTCATATCGTATACAGTCATTAGACTGTAATGGGCAATTAACTAATTAATTAATTCTAAATTTGATCATCATAGCAAACATTGCATCATTTCTTAACGATCGTGCAGCAATCTTAAGCATGAAAAGAGTGACAAAATTGAAAACAATGTCGAACTAAAACGAACATGCACGAGATGAAACAGTTTGTAAAAGTCTTAACAATTAATTAGGGCCTTTATATAGCTAATAATTAACCGTGAAGTTCGTGCTGAAACATCCCAGAATATATATAAAACATATATCGGGTATATATAGTTAGAGAACGGGGAATTGATAGGTTCATAAATATTTATAAGCGATTTAATTTCGTTTGCTCAATCGTGCGAAATATCTACATATATTCTTTCATACGTGTTTCGGAATAAACAAATTTCCCTATGGGTGTCATATGATGCAATAATGACTTTACTTTAACGTATTTGTAGTTGACTATGACGTCATGTGTGATTGCTGTAGGCCGTATGAAATATTCGCTTTCTAATTCTAAGGAAGACTGTGATAGTTGTGAGAGTCTATTCATGTCAGACAGTAGTAATTTTTTCCTTTAAACGTTTTTGGCCACTAGTTTAACCTTGATGATCTTTCAGACGCCCGATGAAATCTAAATTAGTTTGGCAAGCAGAAGGTTTTTTTGTAGGTTTGCAGAACTACTCACATACTTTTCAGAAGAAGAAATCTTTTTTATTCCATCAAAAGTTCGATAGGTCATTCATATCATGGAGTGATACCTCAACTAATTATCTTAAGTTATTTGATGATACTTCCTATTTAAACATTAACAAGCTTTCATCTTTCATTTCCCTTAAATTAGGTTAAACGATTAAGGTTTCCACACTTTCCTTTTAAAAAGACGCTATTGCTAATTAATAAATACATATAAAAATCTAATAAATAATTTGTACCAAACAAGTAGAACAACATCGTACAAGAGTTTAATTATCTAGTATTAGCTTTACATTCTGCTACATTAAGTTCACATTAACGCTGTGGGTTCATTTACAGAGAAAGGGAAATGATGTATTCATTCGCCAATCAATCTTGTTAATAAACAATAAGATAAAAATCTAAATAATATATGTTTTTTTTACACTTTTTAATTATACTATTTTAATGTGCATGAGGCCAGACATATTTTTAAGCATGTGAATAAATAATTCTCACTCTGAATTGTGAACAAAACCAAATAAATTGTAAAACTAAATACTCTCCATAAAAAATAATTAAAAAGATAACTACAGAATACAAATCTGTAATTTTGAAGAAACCTACCTAGCATGTTTCCTATTCGTTTATTCTTAGTAATTGCACACAATGATTCTCATTCTAATTCATCATTATCTATTAAATATCCCATTGACATACTTTCTACTTTAAAGTTTAATATCCTATAAAAGGGATATTAAAAAAATATGAGAGTCATTGAAAAGCACCCAAAGTAATCATAAAGATAGAAATATTCATAAACTGTAAATTCTTCAGACCATACTAAGCGATGAGTCTGCCAATATGTAGCGTATGAGTGTATAATGTGCCTTTTATGCGAGTGTAATTAGATATATCTATAAGACCAATACTCTTTCTTTGAATACATTAATTTCACTCCTAGTGATAAGTTTGTGACTGAATACTACACAAATATTCCGCTAAATTTATAGCATACGTTTACAGTATACTATTTATACAGTATACCTTGCTTATTGCTTTATTATAAGTGTACTTACTCTGAAAGTCTTTTCTGGCTGTGCTTATACTAGCGACGATGTTGGCGACGTGTCCAAGAATTGTAGAAAAAAGAAGAAGAGCAAAAATAAATTGCACGATTACAAAGACATATTCTCCTCGTTGGTTTGGTTTTGGAAGAGCGTCGATCGTTGTCAGAGTCATCGTTGACCAATATAGGGAAATAAGATATAAACTAAAAACATCCTTCTTCCTTTCACTATCGGTATCGAGTGGGAATCGATATGATTCGTTTATGTTCATCTTTTGCACAATTATCGATATGAAACAGGCGTTCCAGTGATATATGGCAAAAAGATAATGTAAAAGCGATACTGTTCTAACGACGTTTGGATAATTGGTATGCCTTTCTGTCCTGTCTAGAAAATTCCAAAATCTATAGATTTTTACCAAACGGAAACATCGTACTATGGATTTATATCCTATAGACAGGTAGAGAAAATCAAGTGGCAATAAACAAAGGCAATCTATATAGAACACTGTTGAATTCATATAATGTATACGCAATTTAGTGCCGTCCGTCTGCAGTACCCCATCCTCCAAGTAACCAGTCCGAAAATGGAAGGCTATATCTAAAGCATAGAGGAGATCGGCTATATAATCCATAGAAAACCAGATAGCTTTGTTACTGTGGTCGATTTCATCAAAGGCAACTCTATATATCATCACCCAAAAGTTATAGATGAATGCCATACTAACAATCAATGACCACCAGTAGGCCAATCTACCAGAAGGATCGAAAACAAACGTCCAATTGCAGGAGTTTTTTTGCGAACTGACTGTAGAGGAATCCAAAAGATCGAATCGAGCTCCGCCTTTTCTTGCCCTCTTACCAAATTTTTCGTCAATTTCCTTCCTTCTCAATTTACGTACATCCTTCCTAGCTACCTGATCAGAGATATGAGCTCTGTTAATGTATGCGACTGACTCTTTTGAAAATGTTCTATTATGTTGCTTCTTATTAAATTTATTTGTCACAATTTCGAATAAGGAGCCCCTGGATGTGGATTTCCCTTTTAATTCGGCATTTCTCCCAGAAGAGGAGGGTACAGATCCTATTCTAGCCGACCCTCCAATTAATTTGGTCCTATCTGTTCGAGGGCCATTGGCTATATCCTCTGTATCATCATTACTGACATTCGCAACCGGTTCGCAGCCAGCTTCTTGGTTTTCATCTTCCGTTTTTGCGCACGCCGAATATCTCACAGAATCATTCGGCGACCTAACTAGCACCGAAGTCATCGCTATGTGGCGACGACGTCCAAGATAGACGTAAGCTAACCAATATAGGTGGTCTAGACGCTCCCGCCAAGTTGGCGCCGAGCCTGTTCCAGTAGCCAGGGTCTTACATCGAAACCTGCATTTCGAAATATTAATTAATATTTATTCTTTTATGTGTACCCCGATTTTCCTTCTGAGCTTTACATATAATAGATAGAGCCAACATATTATATTATACATACATATGTGTATTTATATTTAGACTACATGTGTTTCTTTATTAATACTATTGTGTTTTCGGTATTGAGAAAAATACTATGGATGCATACACTCTTTCGTTGATTACTTGTCCGTTAGAATAAAAGAGTGAACAATAATTAGAACCACTCGGTGATTTCTTTTTCATTTGCTTTACCCTGAAACTCATTTAGATTTGGTATCGCGCATGCGTGCTGTTCCCTCATCTTTTCCTGCTTTGAAAAACGCTTAAAGCCGTGTATAAGAGATAAAATATGACGTCATTGAAAATGCAGAAAAGATGTATGGAAGAGAAAAAAAACCATGTATGATTAAAACTAGCTGTAATGCCTACCGCGCTGCAGTTAGCATGGGAAAATATATGCAAGCGGCGTTCATAAACAAATTGAATTAGTGGGTAAGGCGCTTTGACTCGTTTCTTCACGTATACGCAAAGATACTTGTCTTATTCCAGTAAAAAATATATGACAGCTTTTCTTGGACGTATAACTGTCTTTATATATTATCAAACTTAAAACATTACTCTATACATTATCAGATATATATAATTATACATATATTAATGCAATAGAATATGGTAAAGGATATTGTTTGAAAGAAAGATGATAAAAATAGATAGTTTTAGAGATCTATCCATAATTTTTCATAAAATCTAAATATATATATATACATTTAAAAAGCATTTGCAGTATACAGATACTCTATAAAAACAGATATATATATATTAATATATATATATATATGTATTTTATATATTAATTTTTATATTTGTGTATTATTCCTAGAACTAAGTTATGTATAAACTGAGTAGTTTATAGTTTTGGTATGATAGAAAATATAATTTTCCTAAAAATGAATATATGTATTATTTATACACGATAACCCGTATTAGGATATGTATATATACGATATAAGTTAGCATCTTCATGTGCACATTAAGTATTTATATATTATATGCTTATATAGCATTATGCACTATATATACACTTCAATATTTATTTCCGGAGTACATAAAAAACGCGTGACTAATTAACGTGTATATAAGGCGCGAAAAGAAAATCCTTACCCTAGCCAAATTAGACGGTTGATAGCCAACGAATGGTTTCATAGGTAAAATAAAAGACGTTTGGAAAGTGAAGAAATAAACAACATGTCACACACTATGTTATCCTATACTCTAGCATATCCCACAGATCCGGTTTAAGCGTCTCTTGCCGTCAGCATTTAGACGCCGACATACTCTTTGCTTGACCAGCGTCAAAGACGTATGCTCACGAGAGTCTACTGCAAAAAATTTTACTGCGCCAGCTACCGAACTGACACCTGTTGGCGAGGTTGGAAGAGAGTGAGCGATTTGCGCAACTCTTGTTTACAAACACGGTCAGTTCGACTTTTGTTGTGATTAAGTTGACCTGTAAAATAGCCAAATTCAAGTGATTAAGTACGGAGATTCTAATTAACGTTTCGTAGCACAAGCTCTTAAAGGATTATTAGCGGATAAACATCTGGACGAGATTAGTCGGCCGGCAAACATTATAAATGTGCAGTGCGACGAGCACTTAACCGGCTCGTTGAATAACTAGGTCAACTCTGTCGGTGATTAACAGCAGAAAAGAGTTTTGGAAAGGAAAAGAACATGAATATCTGAAATTCTGCGAGAGGAAAAATGAAGTAAAGCTTTTTTTTAAAGGAAATCACAAACACTTTTTTACTTTCAGCTGTCATCTAAGCTTCTATATTTAGTTAACTACTTTTTAGAAATTTCCTCAATTTTTATCTGCAAACCACAATTTAAGTCCCCGATTCTCCCGCCAAAATGTCACGTGATTAAATCATCCAATTAGAAGAGAAGATGAGATTCGACCTAACCAATCATTTGAACGAAGATCTTCACAAATTTGAAACCTTCATAGAAGGTGTAGCTATAATTAGAATATAATGTAATCAAACAAGTTGTTGTAAAACAAAAAGGTGAAGGCAAGGCTATATTAAAGCTTTGTAAATCATTTCTTTTGCCAACTAAGAACTTAGTTTGCACTAAAAATATAGTTTTACATAGAATGAAACCAATCGAACTTCTTTTCATGCATGTATATTCTGTTACTGTACTTATAATGCTGTGACCTTTATAGGAGATTGCTTGTGATACAAGGAGGTGAAAATAATGTTTCGGGTTGAAGGCAAACACTCCGCCGATTGATTATAAACAATACAAGGCAAACTTGTTTTCTGGGCAAAGGTTTACAGTGCGAAAATTGATTGGCCAACATCTAGCTAATGCCACGTATATGATGTGGGCAATCGCCGTAAGGAATTAAGCAGATTTTTTTTTTGATTTAGGCCTAGAAAACCGCTTTAATAGCGAATCGATTGGCAAGTGGAGGGGGGAGAGGACTTTGCAGCACTGTCCTCCAAATCAGATTGATGTCGTTTCTTTCAATGATATCATGTTTTTAATAGCCACTGGCATTTTTTCATCATGTCTTTTTTTCTTATTTTATTTATAGAACAGCACAAAGACTTTCTTCTCCTCATTGTAAAATCAATAATTTGCCTCTTTTTTATTTGTATATCTATAAAATTCCTGTTACATAACCTAATGCTATTTTTTATTTGTATAGCATATCATATAATTGACCTTGTTTATTGACATGACTATATAATCACAGATCGAGTTCTTTATGTGAGAGCATATTATATTTAGTTGCAAATATACCAACAGGCATATAGACTACAATGTATTAATGTAAGAAAAAAATATATTAATATAGGTGAGTATATTGTTAACAAGTTCTGTCTATTTATACTCTGCGCTTTCTGTACAGTGTTCACACCTTTCTGAAGAAAGAAATGTATACATTTACTAATAAATATAAATTAAATTGGCATATTTTATATTACTACGCAATGACACACTTTACCTCTATATATATATATATATATATGTATATGTACATATATAATACATAATTCACTTTCGCATAGTTGAATTTTTCTTTTTTATGCTCCTCAGCATAAGACAGAAATTTTTTTGAGATATCTATTCACATCGTATGCCCGAGGGTTAGAGACAGTCGTTTCATTCTGAGGTTTCCCACACAGAACGATCCAAAATTCTCACACAGAAAACTAGAGGCATCACTTTACAAGGTGATCGATTGTTATTTTAATGATAGGAAATGAATGGCTGCTTCATTTCAAAATAATCAACAAGTCGAATCTTGTACTAAAAATACATATATATGAATATTTTCTCCTTATTGAGCTGAATATTGCAATGAAGACAATATACAATAATATTAGATCGAAATTATGCTCAATAAATTCATTTATAATACTGTTATTCGAGAAACTTGTCTTACAAATCGAGTTGAAAAATATAAGAATTTCTATGGAAAATCTCTTTAATGTGTAAAGTATAAATGCTATCTTTCATATTTGAATTATTTTAGATCAATTCGTTTAGAGATACGTTTACTGTCCTTTTATACATCTATTTCCCTAGCAATAACTAACGCATACAGCTCTTTTTATGACTTTAATTTAAAGATCTTTTCCTTTGACTCTTCTCTTTCTATATCTCTACAGCCTGTTTGACAAAATGATGGGTTGACGTTATCCGGCTTATGATCAATTAAAACTAATATATCATGATTTTCTATGAAATTACATTAAAGCTAATAAATTATGCCAATAATTAAGGATCAACTAACTCACTTATCTAAAAGTTTGTAGACAAATTATTTCCCGTCGAGAAGCAAATTTGATAGGACAGTTATTTGAAAAACAAAAAAAAATTCTTCACAACAGTTTATTTTAGCACTTTTTTTTATCTTAACACTATCCTTCTCTCTTTAAATTCTATACCTCGGCGTCGAAAAAAACCTACAGACAGGCGTCTCTCTAGGGAATAGAAGGCGGGTCAATAGGCTTAACCCGTCTATAATATTTGCCGGCCAGATTTTTCTTTATATACAGTTTCCTCTCTCTGAAATGGGCTGGGTATAAAAAGCGTACTGATTTACGACTATATGCTCTCTTGTTATGCTTTTTATGCTAAAATCCCAAAAAATCTTTAAGCCTCCGTGCGATACGTCAATAATTTTTTTTGAATGATTCTTACCACATCTCTGCTTATTATGCAGTGTATTTTATACATACTTATAATTTCTTTGCAAACAAACATATTACTATGCCAGTAAGTGTAAATGCTTTAAATATAGATATGAAAAGAGCAGATTCATTTTTAAAATAGCATAAATTGTATATATAAATACTTATTTACTTATTTATACAAGCACTCTATAGATATACTGTTTGAATCCATAAATGCCTTTATGACATACATAATCTATTTTAGATGTTTCTAGAATTATAAATAGAGGATGTATAAATGACGTATAGCTTTTAATGACTTCGTGTAGAAGACCGTCTAATAGTCACAAAACCTGTTTTGCCAAACAGTTTCCATAGTAACGTTGCTATAAACTGGCCAATAAGAATACTCTTTGGCCTTTTTTCTCTCGTTTTACTTCCGTATCCGGATAGATTTAAAGAGAAAAAGGCTTCTTCAGATAAGGGACCTCCTCCTATAGAAAATCCCATTTTCAATATACCTCACCATTTCAAAGTGAAGTGAAATAAAATAAGGTTGTGAAAGAGAAATCAGCTAGGCATTGACTGTCAGAATATATTGCAGCGAAATATTACGCAACAAGTTACATTTACGAGCAAAAAGGATATAACAGAAGAATAAGACTTCCCTGCAGATGGCGGTGCAAACATTTGATAAATGGAAAAATGAGACGTTAGTCCAAGAAAACAATGAACCAGATTGCCTGTTTTATATATATATATATATATATATATACATGTGTGTGTGTGTGTTTATAAGAAAAAAGCGCAAAAAGCATTTGTAATGTTTAAGAAAAACGATAACCGAACGTTAATCTTAATGGTTTCTTACCGCTGTAACTGCAGGGGCAATATCTCAACAGTTCCGGTCGTTCGACCAGAAGGAAATTTTATTAGTTATGCACTTGCCTTTGACGCTTTTGAAGTTGACGAAATTGAGTATATTATTGTAGATAACCGATTTCACCTTCTTCAATAGATAAATGAACAATTTAACCTCGTAAATTTCATATTAAATTGTCTTATAAACAGTATTTACAGGTTGTAATCTCTAAAAAAAGAAATATATATTT